GGTCAAGGAGTGACGGCGACTCCTCCCAATTGCTCCCAACGACCCAGCGCCAAGACCTCTTCCCCTCAAGGTCAGCCGTTAACCCCTCCATCCCGCACAAGTCACTGGCCCAATCACTCCAGCAGCGGCGCACCCCCGGCAAATCTCGCAAACTGTGACGTAACCACCGCAACAGTCAGCAGCCCACCTCCATCTCGAACAGCATGTCCGACTTCTCCTCCCTCCGCCCACCCAGTGGTGCCTCGCAGCCCCACTCCATGGGCACAGCTCCCATTGGTCGGTCTTCCAGTCCCATTGGTTCAGGCAACGCCTCTCGCTATTCCCTAGGTGGCATGTCAAATAAAGGCACCCCATCTGAACAGATGCTCCGCAAGGCACAGCAGCAACAGCAGCAGGAAAGCCAGTCGGCAGGCGTCTCCAACCACCGAAGTCCCAGCATGGGTACAATGAACGGAGGCGGCAGCGGTAACAGTGGTCTGTCTTCAGCAGCTGCCATCTCCCGCTTCGGACCCCGGCCTAGCTCAGAGATGATCGGCATGCCTGGTATGAGACAGAGCACAAACGAGACCGATGCCATTGACAAGTGGTTCGAAGATCTACAGCACTACGAAGCTACCCTCGAGGAGATGGCAACTGCCTCTCTCGACCAGAATTTCAAGGAGGAATTGAGCGCAATCGAGCAGTGGTTCAGGGTACTGTCCGAGGCAGAGCGTACAGCTGCTCTGTACAGCCTGCTGCAGGAGTCCACCCAGGTCCAGATACGCTTCTTCATTACTGTGCTCCAGCAGATGGCTCGCAGCGATCCAATGAGCGCCTTGTTGAGTCCCAGCATGAACAGTGAGTGGTCGCCACGACCAGATTCGCTACCCAGCCCCGGCACCCCGTGGCTTCACCTGCTCACGACTCAGTCTCATCTTCCTTCTTTCTCATCTCTTCCCCTTACTGCTATGACTGAATTAGACTCCATGGCTGAGCAGATGGAAGCTAAGCTGGCTTCGCTCGGGCTGAAGTCGCCTGGTGGTCTGAAGTCTCCTGCTTCACCGGGTGCTCGAGGATTTGCCCGTCAGTCAGAAGCTTTCCTTTCACCACAGACTGCTCAGATGTACAGTCCAGGTGGCGAGGCTGCTGCTACTCTGGCCGCACAGCGAGCCAAGCTGAAGGCCAACCGGGTCAGCGCGCCTGGCACCTTTACCGGCGATCAGAGAAACTTCACCGGAGGCAATCTGGACCAGGTTAGGGAGCAACGTGGTGGTAGTCCCAATCCACTTGATGACAGTGGCCGCAATCTCCCGGGCTCTGAGTCGAGCATGGGGCGCCCCAAATCCATCGATGGACTGTCCCAGGCAAACAATGCCGTCAGCACGCCTCGTCGAGCTGGGCCGCTGGACAATGAGCTGAGTCCGATCCCGAACTCGGGCAACTGGTCCAGTATGGTCAATACTCCCCTCAACAATCTCTTCGACGACAATCAGACCGCCAATATCAACCTTGACGCTACCTCCAGCCAGCTGGCCTCGCTTGCTGAGCAGGCCAATGCCACCAATCGCATCCTGCTTGAGCAAGATGTGGCAAAGTATCAGCGCAGAAAGAGCGGTCAACCCGGTTACGATCAGCAGCAAGGCTCGCCCAACTTGGGCTCCGGAGGCTGGGGTGGTTCTGGAACCTCGAATGACTTCCTGCGTCAAGCTATGGCTGCCTCGCCGGGCGCATCTGGATATGCCAACTTCTCAAACATGTCACCCAACTCTTTTGCGGGATTGCAGAGTCCTTCGGGTGGTTTCGGCAATGGCGCCAATATGCAGATGATGAATGCCATGGCCACGATGGGCGGCCTCAATCATGCCAATGCAGCACAATTCTTGGCCATGCAGCAGCAGATTATGCACAACCAGCAGCAGATTGCGGCCATGGCTCAGGCTGCCCATCAGGGAGGTGGATCTCACTCCAGCCGTTCTCGAGGCGCCGGGCTTGGTGGTCTGGCAAGCGGAGCGAACATCGGCATTGGAGGTAGGCGAAGCCCCGCCGCTGGCGGTGGGATCAACAATCGGGCTGTGGCAGGTGGTACATCCTCGACGACTTCGAAATCTGCAGCCTCGCAGAGCGGAGGAGGAGGAGGCGAGGAAGAAGTGCCTGACATGTCCCTCCTTTCGGACATTCCCGCCTGGCTGCGTCACCTACGCCTGCACAAGTACACGCCCAACTTTGAATCGTCCAATTGGAAGGAAATGGTCGTGCTCACCGACTCGGACCTTGAGGCCAAGGGAGTAGCGGCTCTCGGAGCGAGAAGGAAGCTGCTCAAGACTTTCAAGCTTGTGAGGGAAAAGTATGGGATCAAGGGGGCGGATGATGCAGAAGTTGCTGGGGATGGAGCGGCTGGGGCCAGTATCGAAGAGGGAGAGGAGAAGAAGGCGGCGGCGGCGGCGGGAGAGGAAGGGGACAGTGCTACCAAGGAGGAGTAGAGAGAAAAGAGGCTCCAACTACTACTGCACATCAACTCTCCACCTGCGTCTCCTCTTCCCTTTTCTCGCGGCTCTTGAGGCCCAGTCAGTCGCCTGCGACACCAAAATTACGCGTGGCACACTGTTCCCCACCTCTCTGTTTCCCTTTCTGTATGTCCCGCCATTGTTCTTATCTACCATTTATTTACGCTTTTCAACAACAGATCAGATATGAAATTTCAAGCCCGAGCAAAAGTAATGCTGTGATCTGTGATACGTTAGTGGGGGACTGCCATCTGTAGTCGAAGAGTAATCGGTGTGAGTCGTGTGAGATCGTCTCTCTTGTTGGGAGGCACGCGCCATTGCACACACCAGCAGCAGCTGCCTCTGTCCCGTGGCGCTTGGCGCATGGCGCAAGGTGCCGAGGCGTGTGCGTGTGTGTGTGCGTGTGTGACTGCCGAGGGAGCGGGGTTGTCTGTGGAAGGAGAGACACAGCGAGGTGAGAGCATCGACAGCCAAATAGAAGCAACAGCTATTCACACACGACGTCTCTACCTCTTCTCGTATTCGCACTTTGACCTTGATCACGACAACTCGTCGGAACCTGAGCTCCGATTCACGCAGTAGCAGGACATCCTCCATCCCAGATCTGACTGCTAGTCGACGCTTACAGGCCAGCGGTGATCTGCTTCATCATAGCAAACGGCTTCCACTCTCCCTTGGACAACATCTGCCTCTCAGTATCACCTTAACACCATAGACCCTTCACTTTCCACCGACCCTCTTCTGCTTCTCTAGCGAGTTCCAAGCATGGCGCAGCCGGGTCCCTCTTCAGGTCTCTCACAACGTCGCAGAGGCGGTGCAGGTGGTTCCACTAGTGCAGCCTCTCCCTACGCCAGCAACGGAGACGACTATTCTGATCTTGCTGGTGGTCGATCCTCTCCTGCTCCCGCTAGTGGCTCAGGTCTCAAACATCGAACTGCTACCAATTCACCAGCTGGGTTAAGAAACGCGACTGGAGGAGCTAGCAGTACCCTTAGTGGTGCAGCAGATGGAGCTGGTCACTCTCACCGCATCGCCTACGACCCTCGCGATCTCAAGGACGAAGATGAGGAGTCTCTCCACCCCCGTCTGACTTTGATGGAAGAAATCCTCCTCCTGGGTCTCAAAGACCGGCAAGGCTACCTGAGCTTCTGGAACGACTCCATCTCCTACTCTCTCCGTGGTTGCATCATCCTTGAGCTTGTAATGAGGAGGAGATTGGGAGTTGTGAAAGATCCGAGGAGGGGAACGATGGAGGTTAGCGAGCGGTTGTTGGAGGTGGTGAGCGCAAAGATGACCGGAGAGGTATTGCTGGATGAGGCCTTGAAGTTGATCAAGAGCAGTGAGGAGAAGAGGAGCATCGTGGAGTGGATTGATCTGCTGAGTGGTGAGTCGCTGAGAGCACAACTAGGCAGGACGGTCTCAGTCTGGCAGTATTGGTCGAGGTCTGATTTCAGTTGCCTCTTTTTGTATTTTGACCATCCTTCAGGAGAGACGTGGAACCTCTCCAAGATTGGCTACCAGCTCAAGCAAGTGCGGGAGCGTCTAGCCAAAGGTCTAGTAGACAAGGGCATTCTGCGTACCGAGAAGCGCAACTTTCTCCTTTTTGACATGGCCACTCATCCAGTCGCAGACGCTACAGCCAAAAAGGAGACGCTACGTCGTGTAGAGGCCCTCTCCTGCGGGTCTTCATCACGCCTGCCTCCACGCATCTATCAAGAGGGCGAATCGATAGCCTATCCTGCCACTCGCGCTCTCCTCCTCGTCTGTAGCGCCTTTGCTGCAAATGTCCTAGACAACGCTCTCTTGCACCTCACCTACGAGGCTCGTGAAGCTACCTTTCAGAAGATTGAAGATTGGTTAGAGGTCTTTGGACAGTGGCCAATGGCACCCAAGCATGGCGGAATCTCCGGTGGAGCAGGACCTGCTATACCCGTCTCCTTCTCCAGCGCGGACGGTGCAGGGGGCAGTGCCGCCTCATCAACCAGACGGACTCGTCGCGCTGGAGCGGGCGGTGGGCCACGCATCGCCGAAGGTAGTGTTCTTCCCGATCCAGCCGATGCGCTTGGAGCAGGTGGTGGTGGTGGTGGTCATCCAGGTCCTCTTGGAGCTGCAAACATGATTGTTGATCCAGAAAAGATTGGAGTGGCTACCAATGAATTGGTGAGAGCAATGCGTATTGAAGCTGCAGGAGCACCAGAGGGGACTTACGAGGCAGTTGCGGGTGTACTGGCTGTACTCGGAAGGATGGACAGTCTGGTGAGTTTTGCTTGGACAATTGTAGAGGAGCACAAGGCGATGGGCCGCAGAGTTTTACTGACATTTGCTGCACCCTCTTTTTCGAATCACTGACAGCTATGAGCCGCTCAGGTATAACTTCAGGTGGGCAGAGGGACAGCAAAGAAGAGGAAGAGGGGTGACAGGGGGGGATGAAGCCTCAAGCTTGAGAGGAGCCCCGATCAGAAGTGTCCCTGCGGTCCAGCTACAACAAAGGACAAGGCAGAAGGGGGAAATTTACAACAATGCATATAGTGTCTCATCTCATCTCATCTCATCCATCGCCGTCCAACTCAACGTGCAGACGCTCATCAGCGTACCAGCGTACCAGTGCTATCTTCCAACCTTCCTTCCCTCCCACCCTGACCCCTCCTTCGTCCCTTGCCTCTCCTCTCCTCTCCTCCCATCCCCCCACCTTCACCCACCTCTAGAAGCCCACTGCACCACTTCCGACCCCAATGTACCCCTCTTGCCCCGCTCCCTTGCCACTGCCAAGACCACTTGAGGCTCGATGATGGAGCGGACCCGGAGGTACTCTTTTCTCACACTGCTTGCACCAGCGCCGGTGCGGAGGGAGCTGGCTATGAGGGGAGCGGCAGTCGCAGTTGCAGCTGCACTTCTCGTTGTTGTTGTTGTTGATGATGATGCGCTTTTACAAGAGGTGCCCATAGCAGTTCCAGTGGTGGTAGTGGTGGCAATCGTGGTAGGTCCATACGCAAGGGTGGAGAGAAAGGCATCGGGTAGAAACAGGTCCAAGGCCAGGAGTTGGTCAAAGGCCATTAGGGCTCGTTTCCTATCTTCCCACTCTCCGCCACGGACCTCCTCTCCTTCTCCTTCTCCCACTGCCGCTTTTGCTCGTTTTGCGACACCTCTCCGAGCGACTCCTTCACTAGGCAGCACAGAGTCCTCGTTGCCCTCGTCCATGTTCAATCCCATACCGCCCGTGCCCGCTCCTTCTCTGTTCCGTCTGCTCTTGCGGGAGAATCGTGCCACCTCGTCAAAGCACACTTCGAAATTGAAGACGGTCCGATCCCTGGTCTGGAGATGCTTGGCTGCGATGAGGAGGAGAAAGGGGAGTGTAGGTAGGTCGTACAGACTGCTCAGGGTAGCGTCATTTTGCTGAGCTGCATAGGAGAGGATGAAAGGGTGTGCTGAGAGAGGCTCGGGTGGTGAGGAAGGGAGAGCGGCGATGGGAGGATAGAGAACCGTGAAGAGGTGGTGCACGTCTTTGCTTTGGTCGGTGATACGGCCCAGCAGGGAGGTGAAATCGCGATCTTCCAAGAGGGAAGCTGTGTTTCCTTGCCAGGTATTCTCCAGCGCCTTGTTCTCGGGAGGAGCGCAGAGCAATGCTTTTCTCACCACCTCCCTCCACTCATCCTCGCTAGCAGGTGGATAGCACTGCACAATGCGGTGCGAGAAGCGCGACTTGACCCTCTTCTCCAACAGATCCGTCGTATCCACCCTTCGAGTCATTCCAACGATGGCAAGACCAGGTCTGTAGGTACCCGACTGGACTGCGTCCAGAAGACAGTAAAGAAGGGCCTGCCTCGGCCTGGCGGTGAGCAGATCGAAGGAGTCGAGGGAAATGATAAGGGGTTTGGCAGAGCTGCCAGAGGCCGACGTCGAGGATGCTGAGGCGAGGAGGGCAAGGATAGAGCTCGTGGTGTTTGATAGCGATGACTGGAAGTCATGCAGAAGGAAACCTTCTCAGCATCACACCCCCGAACACACTGGCCTCGCATACACTGTACTCACGAGAACCGCATTTCCCAGCGCTTCTCTCCTCACTGCTTCTTCCTCCTCATCCAGTGCTTCCAGCTCTTCCTCCTCCCCTTCTCCCTCCTCGTCTCGGTCCTCCTCTTCATCCAAATTCAGCCTAGTCTCCGCATCGTGGAGATTGAAGGCGCCAGACTGGATCAGCTGACGAGCCAGCTCCCTCATGGCGGCTCGGTCAGTGGTGCATTGTCTCGCTGAGACGTAGACGTGGTGGTACGAGGTCCGGGGACCCAGGGAGGAGAGCGTCGCATTAAAGATCTATTGCGAAAATGGACGATCATGTCAGACATTGCAAGGAGAGAGGAAGCGATCTTTGGTCACCTATGAAGAGCCTTACTCACTGCGCTCTTTCCACTGCCCTTGGCTCCCACGAGGAGAATGCTGTTGCTCTCTCCGCGCCGTACAGTGGCATGAAGAGTCTGACGGAGCACAGCGGCTTGCTCATCTAGACCTACGAGATCCTCGGGAGAGGTAACCTGGCCAGAAAGGCGATTCAAGATGGCCTCTCTGCGTCCCAGCAGACCTTGTGAGGGTGAGGAGGCGGGCGGGGCTGCTGCCTCTGTAGCCGCGATACCACCTGTGCCCTCATCTTGTCCATTCATGGCGTCGCCTATCTGCGCCTCTCCCGCGGGTGACCCAGCACTGTCAGTACCGCCGAGCAGATCAAGCTCATCATCGCTACCAATGACTACCTCTTCCGTCTGCCGCTTCTGGCTGACAGTCCGCTGTGTAGTGGAGGGTGTTGCCCCGCCTCGGGCCGCCGTCTTCAAGCGCTTTGGTGTAGAGGCCGGAGGCGGCGAAGAGGATTGGTTGGGCGAAGCTCTGCCTCTCTTACGAGGCGTAGGCATCACACTAGTGCTCCGAATGTGTGTGTGTGAAGTCAGGCAGAGTGAAGGGCAAGAGACCCTGGGGGTGGAGAGGGAAGATGCGGCGATGGTACCGGAGCGGAGCTTGTGAGACCGAGGCGCGGGGAAGCGAGGTTCGGAAGCGAGCTTTTTTTTGGCCGAGGTGGGTGGGCGTGGGACACTTTGCCCTTGTCGGCGTTGGGCGCCTGGGGTGCCGCCTGCACCGCCTGTGCCTGTCTCTGTGCCATGCTTGACCTCTGTGATGCAAAGTGTACCTTCGCCCAACGCCTACGCTTCGGACGCCTTACCGCTTCCCCGGTCCCAAGTTCCCACCCTCTTCTGCCCTTTCACCCGATCATCTGCCACGAGTCTGCTCGTCTGCTCGTCTGCTCCGAAAAGGATTGGCCTCTGAGGGACCTGCGCGCCAAAGTATACTTCTGCCACCTCTTTTACGCGACGATGCTGACGCTCTCAATTCGGGCCGCTGGTGGCGTCGGCTGGCTGGATCTGAATCTAAGTTTGCTAGAGTCACATTGGTGTCGGCGATTGATGAAAGGGTACACTACGACGCTGCTGCAGCCAGCTGCGTGCGGAGAAGAGTGGAGCAAGGGTAGCAGAGGATCGGCGACCGCCAACCTTGAAGCAGCCACAATTTGCGTCGTGTGCCAATATGACGGGCTGCTGACCCCTTTGCCGAGGCCGGAGCAAGACCGAGGACGCGCAGCCTATCCGGGAATTTGGGTCCCTTTGCTGTCTGTCGTCACCGCAAAGGCAAAGCAAGGCAGGCCAAACAGTGGGTGCCCGGAGAGCCGTGGCTGATAATGAAAATCACCCGCACGGGAAGGGAAGGGGTTTCGCAGGACCAGGCAGACGGACAGAGGCGCGCAATGACGGCCCTCACTCTCCCCCTCCGCTTCTAGTCCTGGTCTCGCGGGACAGACTGAGACAAGAGGGGCGTCAATGGCCACCCATGTCTCTGACTCTACCTTCTAGCCTAGCCAGCCGTACAGGCCGCATCTTCAACGCGCCATTCAGGTCCTCCTTCCATCAGCACTGCGCTCCCATTGGCCAATCGCTCCTGAGCTCCTCTTCTCTCTAATCGTACATCCTAACGCCAGCTTCTCTGGTCCTAGCTCTCTCACTTTCACTCTCATAGGACAAGCTGCGTACCATTAATAGATCACGGCATTGCATCGACGTACCCGGTCTGGTTCAAGATTTCCACCACTGGCATCGCATACCACATCTACGCTCAAGAGTCCTCTGGCCACGCTGCATACTCTATCGCAGTGATTCATGATCATTGCTCTCCATTAGAGGTCTCCACCACACATCATCGCCATCGTTATGGCCACCTCTCCCACTCATATCCTCCCTCGGGTCACCGCATTCCCTATCCTTCCCGAGGGTCATCTTCTATACAAGGTATCCGACGCCCTTAGTCTACCGCCAAAAGAACGTCATGGTAGTCCCTTGATTGGCCAATATGCACCAGAGATCGTTCTCAAGGATCAGCTGGATCGCGATTGCGTGAGTAGTCGATGCTGTAGCATAGCGGGATCTTGTCCGCCACTGCGTGTCCCTTCTAATCATCTGCTCATGTCTATCCGCTTGCCTTATGCCTATTGCTCACAGTCTCTTCATGCCACAATAGCCCTCGGCCGGCCGATTATTCTCTACTTCTTTCCGCTGGCGGGCTCACCCCACTGCACCATTCAGGGGTGCAGCTTCCGCGATGCCCTCATGGACTCGGCCACTTTCGTGGAGCAAGATGCAATCGTGATTGGTGTCTCGCAGGACTCGCCAGACATGCTCAAGAGGTTTGTCAACAAGCATGATCTCAACTTCATTGTTCTGAGTGACGAGAAGAGGGAGGCATTTGACATCTTTGGCATCAATACCAAATTGTTTGGACTTCTCAATAGTGAGTTTGGCCGAACATTGTCGACAGCATATACGCGCTGCGCTGTTGCCCAGTCACTCATAACGGTCTTTCCATATTGTCTCGTGTGCAGGCCGGGCTACTTTCATTATCGATCCCAGCGGTATTGTCCGGGGAATGTGTGAAGGAGTGCTAGCGTGAGTATACAGCTGGACATTGCGAAGCTGATCCCTCGATGTGTACCTGCACAGATCTGACCTCGACGTCTCCACTTTCTACGTCGCCCTGCTCATTAGCGCTCGAGGACATATGGCCTTTGCGGAAAAGTGGCTCCGGCGCATTGAAGATGAGATGTGGCATCGGCCAAAGAACGCCATCAGCGCAGTGATGGTCTCTTCTCTCTCCGACGGCGCCGCGCCTGCTCCTCAATGGGCGCAAGGCTGGAACGTAGATAGGGCCCAGGAGAAGCGAGCCAATGGCAACAGCGACGCCGCTGCAGGAAGCTCTGCTCGAGGTGTTTCAGGGAAGCGTTCGCTACGCAAAGGTCTATTCAAGCGAAGTGGTACGCCTGCGCCACTTCCACCCACTTATCAGAATTTTGACTCGGGAGTTCAAGACTATGGCGAGGTGGAAGACCCGTTAGCCAGTGGGGCAGGAATGACGCGTCCTGGGAGCTGGGAAGGGCCCAGCACACGCAGGGTGACAGGACAGAGCCCGACCAGCATGGCACGGAACGCCAGTTCTGGTTCAACTTCACCATCTCGTCTCAACGGCGAGAGGATTGGCTCGCACAGTCGAACAGGCAGCAGTGGATCGCAGAATCTAGATGGCGTGGCTCGCAAACATGCCGGCAGCGAGGAGGACGATGAGACTTTTGTGCCCATTCCGATGCCCAAGTCACAAAGCACAGACAAGAAGGCGACGAAGAGCTCAAAGGATCGTCTGTCTGGCGTAGTAAAGGGTGGTGTCCTCCCTCCCATTGGTTCCTCACTCTCTCGCACTGGCTCACAGACGCAGTCTCGAGCGGTAGTGCCACCTCCAACTTTGGCAGAGGTGGATGAGGATCGGGAGACGGAAGCGGTTGTCAGACGCATTGCCAATGGAGCCGTGGACATTACTCCTCGGGCGGTGCCTCTGCAATCCGCGGCTCCGACTTCGCCCTCGAACCTGTCCTTCTCCATGGCTGGCCCTATACCTCAAGCGCCGAAGAGGACAACCTCCCGGATACAGCATCAGGCTCCGATCCTGGCGCAACTTTCGCCTGGCCGGATCCCAGCGAAGAGCAGCACTGACACTGTACTGGAGTCCACAAGAGGTCTTCCTCCTCCCAAATACTCCTCTCTCAATCCCTCTACTACCTTTGATGCGACACGAGGACCCAACGGCGTCTACTCACACAATCTGGCTCCGCGACCGCCCGCGACCCGGATTGCTCCTGTGAGAAGTCAGCCGCAGGAGACTACGAAGCGACACGTCGTCACTCCTGGTGGTCGGGACGATGAAGACTCTTCAGAGGGAGAGCTGACAGAGGGAGAAGGATTGGACGATGATGATCCCCTCTCTGAAGCGGTACAAGTGCAGGCTGCTCACCGCATGACTCTGCATTCGCAACCCGTTTCGCCAATCAAGAACGTCGACTTGGCCGCCATGCGGCACTCGCGATCGCGATCCTTGTCCAAGCTGGGTCTCTCTGGGGATCACTCCATGACAACACCAGCTTCACCATCCTCTTTCGCTGGTTCACATGGCTCTGGAGGTGGACGCAGCAATCCTTCTTACTCCACTGGTGCTAGCCTCCGCAGTCAAGGCCCCGCGCCAGCCCTTTCCCCTGGCATGTTGAACGCAGAAGGTCGGGAATTGAGCTCAGATGCAGGCAGCAGCAGTCTTGCCAGCACCAGTGCGAGCGATCTTCAGCGGTTGGACATGGAGCGTAGAGGATCAGAGAGGACAGACGCTTCCTCGCATTTTGGTGCCGAGGAGGCGCGAAGGGAAGGCCAACGTAGAGCCAGCGGAGCAAGCATGGCCAGCTCCTCGAGCCAGAATAGCGCTGGAACCTTTGGAGAAGCATCCTGAGTACCGATCTTTTTAAGGTCGACCCTGCAAGTGCAGACTGGAAGCGCGGTATTGGGAGAGCCCTGACCTGCCTACTAACCGCAACGCTCGTGCAAATGCGCGAAGGTCTCCTCGTCTGATGGAGACTTCGATGTCAATGTCCCACTACATGTATATTATCAGTCCAAACTCTTCGCAAACTTTAATATTGCCCTTGCAGCCATGCCCTTCCCTGCCCTCTATCTCTGCCATCTGCTTGGCTTTCCTCTGACCCTTGGCTCGTGCGACACTTGTACTTGCTCCCTTGCTCCCTTGCTCTCACTTTTCTCCCACCCCTCCCCTCCTCCTGCTCAACTCCGCAGAACCCCTCTCGAGCTTGCACAGAGTCAAAGTGGAGTGAGTCATTGGTACCCAATCTGCATGGCGGCTGTGGCATCGGCTGTCAAAGAGCAAGAGCAAGAGCAAGAGCAAGGCGGAGCATGGCCGAGGCGGAGTAGAGCTGAGTGAGCAGGCACAGAGGAGACACGACAAGACACGACACGACACGACACGACACGTCGGGTCGGACGTGGGAAGTGTGAAGGTCCTTCTGGCTATCAAAGCTCATGTAGCAGGGTACGTGAGGGCGCGTCGGTAGGATGCTTGCTGAGTGCGAGCGGGGATTAGAAGCGGGGGCGGGAGCGGAAGAGGCAGAGCAAGAGATGGTTGATGTATACAGGGCACCCTACCGTGTACCGTGGACCGTGTGCCCTCCTCGCGCCTGTCAGCTCGCTTGAGGGAGAGTCGGCACGCGGTACAGAGCAGCCGCACTCCATGTGATTGATCTGCACTCGCTAATTCGACCACACGCCGTCGAGCGGTACAGAGGCAGATTGAGGTTGCAAGTCACCGCTGAGCACCTCGGCAGGGACGGTCGTCATAATGTCGCCAAGTTGCTGCAGTGCGACAGCGTAAGGGTCAGGGTGTGACGGCGGGCGGGGAAAGGGATAAGACTGCAGAGAGACCCTTTGGAGTTTTGTACCATGCAATTCGAGGCGTGATAGTGCGTGTCAGCCGGCACGACGTCTGCTGGCCATCCTAGCTGTCTTTCTTTGAGGCTGAGGCATGTCGCCCGTGAGAAACGAGGGTAAGGCTCTCACCCCCCTCCACTGTCCTTGGATGCCAATCTCCCCGACTGGACAGACAGGCGAAGCAGGCTTGGTGGCACGTCGGAGGAATTCTGCCCTTGGCCGACGACGTGGGGCGGCTGCTGCAGTGCCTTGGCGCGTCTCGGGTTGCCTGACCCTTTGAGTGCGCGCGCAGCCCTTGGCGCCGTGCGCCACTCCTCTGGCCTTGGTGCCGCGCCTCCGCCGCGAGCTGCCGGGACCCTTTGAGCCTTGCCTCGTTCGCCGGCAAGCCCTTTGCTCGCTCCCAGGCAACCAACCGCCCGCCCCCCGGCGCACCCTTACGGATTTCCATCGCAACCTCCTCCTGCCTACGCTCCCCCACCCCACCACCACCAACCCAACCACTCTTGGACCATCGACGTACCGCTACCACTCTAGCTAAGTCGCCGTCCTTTTACCACGTACACATCTCTATCGCTCGAAGCGAACCAAGAGATTTGATCATCCACACACATACACAAACATCTCTACACACGGCTGGAAATCTTTCCCCAGCTTCTGCAGGTCGTAACGACCCTTTTCGTCCCGTTGACGGCGTAGATCTCTCGTCGCCGTTGACACCGACGCACTTCAGTGCACAAGGTCAAAGGACTCTTCCAACTACACCACATCGTCTACAAGGCTGCCGATATCGCTCAGCCGTTTCTTGACGATTCATCGACGCAATCTCGATCTAACGTCAATTGTCTGCACTTGTTGCTGCTGACACTCGAGAAGGCAAAACACCTTCGACACACACACACACACCCAAGTTCATACCAAAGGCTGCCGATATCGCTCAGCCGAATCTCCACCTAGTCACATCGCTCTGTGACGACCAAACAATCTCGACACACACTCGTGTTGAGATCTTCTCTTCTTTGAACACTTCGACCTCACGGATACACGCACACACGCCTGTCCGAGTCTTTTGCGACTGTTGAGGATCTTTGATATCGAGTTATTCTCACACTCGAATCGATACTTCTCCCCGTTCGACAAGCCTCTGCTGTCCGATTGCGCTACAGCATCAAGGAGGTCGTCTTTACCACCCACTTTACACCGACGGAAAGGTCTATTCACCTACCGTAATATTACGACACACATCACCAACCCATCATCAACTTTACAGAGCACGATGACTTACAACTACAGTGACTTTGATCTGTCTGCGTTCATCAACTCGCCAATGCAGACCGAGCCTGCTCCCATTGCTGGCGCCCGTCAACAGAGGGCCACTGTTGGGAACTTTGACACCAAGTCAGCCATGTACAGTGGCACCAACGATATGTACAGTACTGGAAGCGACTTTGGCACGACTGCACCCAGCCCAGCGACCAACTGGTCTACTCCTCAGCAGCAGTCCTCCCATATCTCACACGGTCAGATCTTGGCACCTCAAGTAGCCCCGGCCAAGAGTAGTCTACCACTAGACGCACACACCCAGGCACTATCCATCCATGGAGAGTCAGAGTCGGGCATCGAGGTGCCGAACCGAAATGAGATCGAATACTGTTCGCGTATCGCTGCACACCACGCTTCTCAATTGCACATGGCCGTGCCGGTGCCACCCGCATCCACGCCTGACGGACGGTCGTGGGGACAAAGCCGAGAGAACAATCCCACATTCTCGTTGCAACGACAATTGGGGCGCAAGGCTATCGAACCACCGCAGGCTCCGCGCCTTTCACTCCAGGAGCGACGTCGAAACACACGTCGTGCGTTGAACCAACAGAGTCAGCAAGCGCAGGCTGACAAGACTGCCAAGCATGGTGATATTGCGGCTGCCCAACCCGGTAGCTCCGGCATCAACACCAGCGGTCGTTCTGCCAAGCGTGCCATGACGACGTCCAGTGGTCACATCCATGGACCGGAGTCGACGGCATCGCACCGGGCGCCCGCCCTCAACAAGCGTCCTCCCTTGCATCCTCAGATGAGCGGTGTAGGCTCTGTGCTATCCGACTACTTCCCGCACGACACCCCAGCTCCATCCGTTGTGCAGAACGATGTCGTCAGTCAGCCAAAGCAGGCCCCAAGTGCTGGTGCCGCTTCTCGTCAAGCTTACTCCACTACTGGCTTCGATATGCTCGGTGCTCTGGCACGAGTCGTGCTGCGGCCTAACCCTCGCATCTTGCTCGGCCCCGTCGATCTGTCGGCTTCGTTCACCATCTGCGACGCTCGACACCCAGAGCAGCCCATTGTGTACTGCAGTGACACCTTTTGCGAGCTGACTGGCTACTCTAGAGACGAGATCCTTGGTCGCAATTGTCGCTTCTTGCAGTCGCCGACGGGTCGCGTTCGCTCCGGCTCGGAGCGCTACCACACCGACAATGCCGCCGTCCTGCATCTGAAGCAGCACTCTCGTGCTATGCAAGAGTGCCAAGCCAGCTTGATCAACTACCGCAAGGACGGAACACCTTTCATCAATCTCGTCACGGTTGTGCCTATTCCGTGGGGCAACAGCACCGAGCCCGTGTACCTGGTCGGCTTCCAGGTCGACCTCGTCGAGCAACCGAGTGCTGTCCTTCAACGAGCTGCCAACGGCACATACGTCGTCAACTATAGCACCGGCAGCGGTGCACCGACCATGCCGAACAGGACCATGGACAGTGTCACGCCTGCACCAACCCGCGACTACGAGCAAGAGGCAGCTGCACGGGAGATCTCGGTCGGCAAGGAGTTGGCTGAGATCATCGGTGGCAACGGAGGGGGCAAGGAGGATCCGACTCAGTGGGCACGCATCCTGCTGCAGCACTCTCAAGATCTCATTCACGTACTGAGTCTAAAGGGCACCTTCCTCTACGTCTCTCCATCGGTAGAGCGTCTGCTCGGCTGGAAGCCAGAAGAGCTCATGGGCAAGTCTATCAGCGATTTCTGCCATCCATCGGACGTTGTGCCGGTGTTCCGTGAACTCAAGGATTCGACCAGCAATGCAAGCATTAATGCAGCTGCCAAGCGATCCTTCCGTGCCGACGGCAACACCAACCGTGCCACCAAGGGTGGCGTCGGCCAGGGAGGGCCCGAGGTCAATCTGCTCATGAGGATGAGGCACAAGAACGACAACTTTGTCTGGATCGAATCGAAGGGCAAGCTGCACCTCGAGCAAGGCAAGGGTCGAAAGGTCGTCATTTCATCTGCACGATCGCGACCCGTCTACAACTTGCCTTGGGAGCCGGTCAAGGCTACCGTCAACTCCGATGAGCCCGCCTTCTGGGCCAAGGTATCCAACGATGGTCTGGTACTATCTGCTACCGAAGGTGTTGAGGCTGTTGTCGATGGCACGGACTCGTCTCGCTTGTACGGCAAACATCTGCACCAGATGGTCAACAAAGAGGCGATGCCTGCTCTTCTCGAGGCCCTTCGAGGTGTGCAAGTTGCTACTGTTGTTCATCAGATGTTCAATGCCGTCGACGAGCCGGTCTGGGTCAAGTCGACGATGTATCCCTCGGCTGTGATGCCGGGAACTCACATCATCCCGACAGTGTTTGTGCACATTGCACTGATCACGCCCGGTAGTCACGTCCTGGAGTCGTCAAAGAAGAATACGATGGAGGCCAAAGAGCTGGCCAGTATGGGCGTCGATGCTACTGCCGATGCTGGCGGTGTGCCTGGCTCGTCCGTCTTTGGCGAACTTGCAACGCACCGATCTTCCAGTCACATCTTTGAGCTGCACTCGCTGAAGCACGCCAATCGCCGCCTGCGAGAAGATGTCAGATCGGCTCAGAGGCGCGTTTGCGCACGTCAGGGCTTCGAGGCGACGGAGGGTATGGCTCTTCCCAAGGATCAAACTTTGGAGGCACACCATGTTACTGCGCCGCTCAAGGAGGGCTTTGTCAAGGCATTCGACGAGCAGCAAAAGGAAGAAGGCGAGAAGGCCAAGAACGCCAGCAGCAGCAGATCACACGCCCCTGCTTCTCTCCGAGCGCAGCCAGCTCAGAAGCTCCAGAGGCCCCTCCTGGCTCCACCTCGTCCCTCGACTACGTCCTCTTCCTCTTCCCGCGGCAACTCCAGCAGTGCAGGCGAAGGCGGCGTCTCGAGTGGCAACAGCGGTGGCTTCTCCAAAGATACGAGGGCTACCTCGGGAGGCAATTCTTCAGAAGAAACTGCAGCAACATCCCTCCCTTCGTCTTCCGGGGATTCGAGCGATGCGAGCGATCCAGATCTTGCAAAGAGCGCGGCGGAAAAGAAGGCACAGATGGTATCGGCGTCGTAGTCCAGCCAGCTTTTTTAAGGTTCCTCGGTCGTCATTCACTTCGTCGCCTCTCTCTCTCAGTACCTTTATAGTCGTTACTTCACTACCAGTCCTAGCAGATTCAGATTCAACTTCCTTTATATTGTCCAATTTCGGTTATCCCCACCACTACCACCACTACTCTGCGTCTCCTCCCCTCTCCTCCTTCCTCTTGACGATTGCAGCGACGCACGCACGCACGCACGCACTATAATAATCTCTTTATCTTCCTCCCTCTCCCCCTCTCTCTCTTCCTTTGTTTCTTTGTTTGTTCCTCTGTTTGTATCTCCCATTGTAGTAGCAGTAGCAGACCTAGCTAGGGGTCTGCCCCGCTCGCTTGGCCCTTTTGGTTCTGTTTTTGTTTGGGCCTTATTTGTCACGAAAAACACACGATTACTTTCTTCCCTCTTTGGTCCCCTTACCCTTACCCTTTTCCTTTTGGTTTTTGGTTTTTTTGGGTGTTTGGACGTTTCTAGTCTTGATCTTTTGTCTTTGTCTTTCTCTTGTCGGTATACCTCCTCCTTCCCTTTTTTGAAATTTCTGAGGTCTCGGAGGTCTCGAGGTCTCGTTGCAATACCACTCTTTTGTATCCTTTACTCTTTGCTCTTCGCAGGCTGCTGTTCGCTCTTCGCTCTTCGCTCTTCGCTCTTCGTTGTGCGCTTTTGTTTGTCTAAACTGGCCTGGACTGGCCTGGCCTGGCTTGTTCGGATTGTAGACTGTACGCTTGTGTGTGTGTGTGTGTGTGTGTGTGTGTGTGTGCCAAGGGATGGTGCTTGTGCTTGTGCTTGTGCATGTGATCGTCTTGAGTTGGGGGGATCAGACAAGTGAGGAGAGACGAGCGCAAGTGGTGTGGGGTGGTAAATGGTCATTGGACAGTCAAGAAGATAGAGAAAAGGATAGAGTACGTAACGCTCCGGGTGTGTGCAAGTGTAGCGACCTACAGGAGTTGGCCTCGCCTCGTCTCGCCTCTGAGCCTCTTCCACTCCCTCCCTGAAGCGACCTAGGAACGAGCAATCTAGCGCTCCTCCTCTCCCATCAACCAACCCATACCCCTCGTACCCAATGCAGCCCAACCCCCTCCACCACCTCCTCCTCCTCCTGCGGCTGTATATCCCGTAGCAGCATCGTCGAAGAGCTGTGCGGCTGAGCGTGGGGGTGCATGGAACTGAGGCTCAGCGCCACCAGCATTCTGCCCGTGATGACCTTGGGAGTCTCCCATGGCTGTCCCATTCCCTGTCCCTCCTGCAAAAGAAGGAGTGGTCGGTCTGCTCCTTCCTTCACCAGCACCACCACCACCACCACTGCTACTGCCGCCGGCAGTAGAGGATAGGAATCCGGTCAGACGAGAGCCATATGCTCCGTAACCCTCACCGAGCTGCCCAGCTAAGGAGGAGAGGGCGTTTCCTACCCCAGAGGTGCCGAGGGAGAGACTGCCTGTGCCGGCTCCGCCTGCTCCGGTTGCGGATGCTGACGCTGACGAGGCTGTGAAGGAAGAGGAGGAAGAGCGAGGAGCACTCTGCCCTGCTCCTTCCATCGCAGAAGGAGAGGGAGCGTGAGTGCTGCCGAGCCTCAATGGCCAGTGGGATCGATTGACAGCTGCTGCTGCCAAGCTGAAAACGCCTGATCCCAGCCCTAGGCCCGAAGAGCCGTATGCTCTGTGCGCAGCTGGATTGTTGTTCGTCGACAAAGACCCAGAAGAGGAGGGTTGGGACCGACGTGGCTGCTGGTGCTCATGTCCACCTCCGCTACCAGATCTGGACATCGGGATGCTTTCCCCGCTCCCACTGGCGGGAGGAGGGAGGGATCTCCATCGCTTCAGCAAGTCTGCCACACGCTCCTCGGGAGCGTACGCCATCCCCTCAGCAAGCCATCGTCGCATCGCCGCAGCGTCCGTGCAGCTCGGGTGCTTAGACAGGAGAAAGAGGGTAGTCCAGACTGTTTCCTGCCCTCGCTTTGCTTCTGCCTGTGCTACTGTAAGGGCCGGAGAGCCGGTGTTAGAGGTCGTTTGAGCGACTTGAGGGTTGGCGCTGAGACGGCGAGAGCGCTTGAGGAGCTCGCGGAAGCTTTGCAGCATCGAATCGACGTACTGAGTCGTCAAGGCGAGGTCGCCATTGGAGATGGCTGCCTCGGCGAGGAGGGCAAGGACTCTCACCTTGACCATCGATCGGCTGGGTACCGGCTCCACCTCAGATTCGCCACCGTCGATCCGGGCGCTACCTGCTTCGGCCGAGTGCTTGGCGTCGCCCAGCATTCCACTGCCCGACCCTTGAACCAGACCCCAGGCCGTGTCCAGCACGTCATCCTCCCGTTTCCAAGCCGTGTCATTTGTAGACCCCAGCCAATGGCGAATGATATCAACCTTATCCGCCGCAAGTCTGATTTCCACTGGCGACATGAGGAGTGAAGGGTGCAAGGACGACGAGAGAGGATGACTGAGCTGCATGAGCCGTAGTACGGCTTTGAAAAAGGCTTGCGAGCCAGTCATATTTGCCGAAGAGGTGGCATTCGAGGAGAGCGAGAGAATATTTCGGACGGTGCGCAAGTCGGAGACCGCGGGTCGACCACCTTGAACGCGATCGAAGAGCTCGCGAGCAGAGTCAATAAGGACACCATCGAGCTGGGGGCCCGGCAAGCTTGGTAGTCGGCCTACGAGAAGGGAGTATGCAGCGTCGGAGTGGCTGCTCAAGAGAGCGCCGTGGAGAAGCTCTCCTACCACATCTGTTTGCTCGAGAGCGTCGAGAAGTTTATCGTCGGAGATCTGGTCCAACAGGTCGTCACTGAGGTTCAGCCAGCTGGAAGCATCATCAAACCCGGCTTTGCTGACGCTTGCGATGAGCTTCTTGGCAAGGGCAGTCTGGACCCTCTTCTTGCCAGCAGCTAGTAGAATGACAGAGGGCGGCAGCTCCTTGAGAGCCTCTGCAAGCGGACCCTCCTTGGAGACACATAGCAGGTATGCCTTGCATCGAACCGCGAGATTCGACCCTGACGGTTCCGACTGTCCAACATCCTCAAGAGATCGATAAACACCCTCGGCCGAAGGCAAGATTGGCGTCTCAGGGATGCTGACACTACCGCTCTCCTCTAGACGAGGGAAGACCTGAGCGATCGAGAGTGCCATTACGACGAGAGTTGATGCTGCAAGCTTGTCGATCACCGAAGCTAGCAGAGAGCACTTGTGCCCGCTCTTGCTGGCCAGGATCATACTGATTAGTATCCGCTGGACTTTCACGGAATCCCCACCCGTTGCTTGTGTCAAAAAGAGGCTCAGATGTTCTGGAGAAAGATTCGCTGAGGCGTAGGCCTCGAAGAGGACCTCACGCGCTACGTCAGATACAGGGCGTCCAGTGCCAGTGGAAATGACGTCCAGCATTTTCAACAAGTCGACCGAGTCTGCGCTCCTCAATGAACCCAGTACCTGGCGTACAGGGTCTGCCAGAAGCTCTCGTATTCTTGCACCTCCAGTTACATGGGTTGCTTTGCTGTGGCCTTCTTCGCTCAGCCCCCCTAGCTGCTGCAAAGTGTCCTTCAGGGCAGTCTGCTCTGTGGCAGGCATCGTGGAGAAAGCCTTGAGACCAGCATCAGCGAGAGCAGCGGAGGTACTCGTTGCTTGAAAAGTACTCGTCAGCAGTCGGCCGAGCGAGAGGTACCATTCCGCAATTTCGAGCCCATTCATTGGGTCTGACCTGCCTACAGGCGATTGCCTCTTCGCTTCACTCCTCTCTCCGTCTGCGTAGAGATCGATCCACATGCCGGTCTCCATTCCTTGTTCAGATGGCAAAGGGAGCAGCTGACTTGAGGCTAGGGCACGCACCACTCCAGCGTCATCACCTGCAATGGCACTGTGCACCAGCCCGCTCTTGATGACCTCCAGACGGTGCGGCCAGACGTGAGCCAAGAAGAGATTCGTCGAGAGATTGCGGAGCCAAATCGCTAGTCTATCAGGGTATGGCGCTATCAGAGAGGCCAATAGTTCCGGCTTGGAGAGGGCCGAGATGAGAGACGAGAGCAAAATGGCAGGAGCTGCAGTGGGCATTGGAGAAGGCGTGGCCTTAGAGTCGAACCAAGCCGCCTCTTCGTCCTCTTCCTCCTCATCGTCCCCGCCATTGTCTGGCCATATAGATTCGGATGTCTCCTGTGCACGAGCTACCATGCCCGTCTTCTGCCATGCTTCGAAGGAGCTCTGTATTATGTGAAGCTGGGAGGGGATAGCCATCGATGCCTGCTGCGCTTGGGCAGACGAGCTGCTGGCCATACTATTGCGAAGATTTCCTGAGGCTCGCAGGCCGACTGCAAGTAAAGCCGACACTGCATCTATACTGGAGATTCTTGTTGCAAGCTGTACATCAGTAAGTGTGTGGAGGACTGCCATCGACACCCAAAGGTTGAGGTCGAGGTCATGAGCAGTGGTGACCTCTGTAGAGAGGAGCGCCTCGAGGGTATCGTGGAGGAGACTTGGCGTGACATTGTCAGCTCTGAGAAAGGCGACTTGTAGCTCTGCTACATCTGGAGGAGGCGAAGGGTCCGCCATCGCTCCTAATGAAATCTGAGAGAGACAATGCAATGGCAAGGTGGTAGAGAATGTGACTTGGTGTGGGTGGTGGTGTTGGTCTCTTGGCTGCAAGCAGATGCGCCCCACGTCACTTTGGCTCGTCTCCACTCGCTCCGCCCGCGACACTGGCAGCAATCAACCGTACGCATCCCATTCTACCCATTCCAACCCTACCCCGTACTTCAACCACCTCGGAGCTCCTCAGTCTGTGGAACAGCCATCCAAGATGCCTCCTTCGTCATCCTCCTCATCCCTCTCCCACTCCTACACCACCCTCCTCTCCACGCTGCATGAGCGCTCCTCTCTCCTCTCCACACCAAGCGCGACCATCCCTCCCAGTCTGAACCGCACTCTCAAGAAACAAATTGATACGTTTGCCAGAGCAATTGTGGATGGGAGTGCTAGTGGGAGAATTGTGGACTTGGGAGATGCGAGGATGAAGTGGGATAGGATAGAGGAGGCGCTACAGGGGGATGAGGAGGGGAGAAAGGTGCTGCTCGCGGTTAGGGATAGGTGGGTAGGTGGGGCTGGCTAGCTAGTTCATTTCGGCTTGCACAGCAGCTTGACATTGCCTTGTCTTTCGTCTCCTCTCTATTCAGTCATCCGGTTCTGCGGTTCGAGGAACAAGAGCCAGACATATTGCCCCTTAGTACTTCCCACCACGCCCCCAGCTCCTCCTCGCACCTCTCCTCAGAGCCCTATCGCGACGTGTCTCCCTCCCCCTCTTCACCAAAGCAAGATCACGCAGAGCTCTTCGAATCTCAACAACGCATGTTCGCCTCGCAGGACAATCAGCTGGACACGCTCACACTGTCCATTGGCAGACAGAGGGATCTCAGTCTGAGGATGAATGAGGAACTGGAGTTGCAGGGAGAGCTATTGGAGGAATTGGATGGGGATGTGGAGCGGACGGGATTGAGACTAGGAAGGGCAAGTGGACAATTGGAGAGGGTGAGGAGGGGAGTGAACGAGCATGGTGAGTGGGCCGGTGGGGGGAGAAGACGCAAAGGTGGACAAGCTGCCGTCGAGTGGCCACGAGCATAAGCCTGACTGGCCAACCTTTCTCCAACTCTCTCTTCCCCTCACAGCCTCCCTCTGCTCTCTATTCATGCTCATTGTTCTCCTCGTCACTTTGATCATCCTATTCAAGTGATCAGTAGACTTTTTCGCTCGTCGACATGTACTATAGTCGGATGCTGAGATATCCCGTGCTTTCCATGTAATCTTACTTGTACGCCTGCCACTCCCGCGTCACGACTCGGATCAGGCTCAAGCTAGGTGGAGATTCGCTAGCATCACACCGTCCATTCGAGTGAGACAAGTCTGTAATTGCTACAGTCAGTGGCGCATGGACAGATAAGCGACTGTAGACTCTACGACGATCAGGGCTTGGTCTGGGCCTTTTCTTGTTCGAGCATGGCCGACACGCCCTCCTTGCCTGCCTTTGAACGGTAGCTGTAAGAGAAGAGAAGATGCCAATGGAGAAAACAGAGGTCAGCGCTCGTCCAAATCGCTGCTGCTGTGACCGTTGAGTATCCAAGCAGAGGCGCCGTGCCAACCCTTGCCGCCTCAGGACATCCCACCCACAATCTCCCATCGCGCAGGAGGGCAGCAATACTCACTCCCAAATCCTATACAGCTGCATCAGTCCCGTCGTGCCGACAAAGAAGTTGACAGCAGCCAAGGAGTAGTTGACAGGTGTGATCACCAGGGAGTATCGTACCCAGATCATTCCCGTGGCGGACAGGGCGACATTCTGCGACATGGAGAGCTTCTCGGCTGGTCGGGAGAGGTCCTTTAGAGAGGCTGCTACTAGACACCATTTCATCAGAGGGGCCCAGAAGAAGACTGATAGTACATAGGAAGGGAGAAGAGGGATTGGGTCAGTCGGTACAATCTCGCTGCGATCTGTTCCAGCAAAAGCTGCAGTGAGCGGGGGGTGGGGAGAGAGGGCTCCTCACCTGTCCTGGGTCCTGCCGGGTGGTTCATGAAGGCTCTGAAGCGGGAGCCGCTGGATGCGCCGGCTGCCGATGCCATCTTGGTCGGTGTGTGATGAGCGAAGTAAAGCAGGTGACAGAAGTGTTTGTCCGTGTATCTACCGAGTCTAAGTGATGGTAATGGTGGTGGTCGTGGTCGTAGTGCGGTGGGTACGTGGGGGGGGGGAGTCAAGATTCCCAGTTTCGGCCTGTAGACTGGAGATGCTCCGCTCTGGCTCTCGCCTCCTCGCTCCGCCTGGCTGGGGCGGCGGCTGCAGTGGGCGGAGACGAGAGATTTTGAGTGCGGGAAGAGCAACGCTACGCCTACGCCCGACAGGATCGACTACGCTAGTATTCACAACCTCATTTCACCACGGCCTGCCCGAAAATAGGGATTCCAGCACCTCCAATGAGCAGGGAAGACCACTCGGACTTGGCAGTATCCAAGGCGGTCAAGCTCTCCCTCTCTCCAGCGCCTCACTCGCCCCGCATAAAGCTCGCACCCGCCTTGCTCAGGACACTTCGGATAGGCGCAGGTAGACCTGCCATCCTCAAGCTTAGCCTCCCGGACGAAGCGGGCGCTGCCTCCTCCTCTTCCTCCTCGCTTGAGACTGGCAAAAGGAGAGAAGTATGGGTGGCAGGCGCAGTATGGCCTTACAGACCAGAAAATCAGGACAAAAGGGCAGCTTCAGGAAGTAGATCCGCTAGCTCTTCTCACCCAACCAAACCACAGGAGGGCGTCTTTCCGAGGTGTCTCTATCCTGGGATCAGCACCTCCGGAGACGAGGTAGTCGACGTCGAAATTTTCCACACTGTAGCGGCTTCAAAAAGAGAAGTAGAGGAACTGCAGTGGGAAGTTGAGACCAGCGATGGTGCAGATGTAGGACAAATGAAGCTTTCTGCTTCGAGTAGAGAGATCCTGGCAATGGTGGTCAAGGAGCTGCTCAGTGAGTTCAGGGAAGGCTATTGTGAAGCTGAGCTTTGAGTGCTGACTCTCGAACATGCCTCGCTCATTGGCCTTCAGTCGAGCTCACTTGTGTGCTCCCATCGCAGCGTATCGTTGTGCCCTTTCAGTCCTCGAGCATCGTACTCAAGCTGGCTGGCAGGGAGACCGAGCTGGCCGACACTCCAGAGAACGCCGTTGCTAGCTTACTGCACGTCGGCAGAAGCACACACATTGCGATTGTCAGCTCTCCTTCAGTACAGAGGGAAGATGGGCCTGTATCCTTAGCCTCTGCGGGAGGCGACGCGGCGTCTTCCAGTGCACCTCGGAAAAGGCTAGGCGGACTGCAAGAGGAGGTCAGGCAATTGAAGGAGCTCGTCTTTCTGCCTCTGATGCGACCGGAGCTCTTTCAGCAGCATGGTGAGTCAGTCAGTGGATTGCGGGTAATCGTGAATGGTGTACTGATCCTTCTTTACATTCCCTGCAGGCCTCCAACCACCTCGAGGTGTCCTCTTGCACGGCCCGCCAGGTACCGGCAAGACTTCCCTCGCCCTCTCCATCAGCTCTTCATTCCTTTCGCCTTCGCAGATTTTCACAATCTCAGGACCTGAGCTCTCCTCTTCGTACCACGGCAGAACGGAAGCTCGGATACGAAAGGTATTCCGCGATGCTCGCAAGAATGATATGAGCGTCATCATCATCGATGAGATTGATGTGATAGCGGGAAGTAGAGAGGGAGGCGAGAGCGATGGTGTTGGCAGCCGAGTTGTTGCTACGCTTCTGACCGAGATTGATGGGGTGGGGCAGAGCTTGCAAGGGTCCTCGAGAGGGAAGGGCAAGAGGAGAAGTGGAAGGGACGATGACGAATCCAATGAGAGCGGCGACGAGAGCGAGGAAGAGGCCAAGGGAGGTCCACATGCTGGTAGAGTGGTGGTCATCGCTGCTACCAATCGACCAAACGCCATCGACCCAGCTCTGAGAAGGCCAGGGCGGTTGGATCGTGAGATCGAGATAGGTGAGTGGTAGGAAGGTGGAAGCACTGTACCCTCCTGAGGCTCACCCGCTTCTTTGCTGTTCACGCAGGCGTACCGAGCCCTGCTGCGCGTCTGGACATACTCACGACGCTCTTGTCCGACACGCCGCACTCCTTGACCGCCGACGATATCCACCAGGTCGCCTCTCGCACGCACGGCTTCGTCGGCGCAGATCTGAGCGCCCTGATACGCGAAGCCGGCATGAAAGTCATCCGACGTCGTCTCGCAGATGAGCAAGTAGAAGCCGGAGGTATAGACCATCTGAGTGTCCAAGTACAACAGAAGCTCAAGATTTCCCGGAATGCCCGTCACCTCCTTACGGCAGAGGATCTCTTCAGCTCTGTGCCTCTCATGCGCCCCTCTTCTCTACGCTCTATGCTGCCTCCACCACCCCTCTCCTGGTCGTCCATCGGTCTCGGTTCCCCCGACTCACCCTACTCGATTGCCAAGCAGCGCATCCTACAGTCCGTAGAATGGCCTCTCAAGTACTCTTCGCAGATGAAGAAGCTAGGCATCTCAGGCGGACGGGGCGTACTGCTCTACGGACCTCCCGGGTGCAGTAAGACTATGATCGCCCGAGCATGTGCGCAGAGCGAAGGGATCAATTTCATTGGTGTCAAGGGTCCGGAACTCTTCAGCAAGTACCTCGGCGATTCAGAAAAGGCCCTGAGGGACCTCTTTCGAAAAGCCAGGGCGGCAAGCCCAGCCATTGTCTTCTTTGATGAAATCGACGCGCTCACGGCTACGCGATCCTCTGGTGGTGGGGAGGATCAGGGAAGCTCGGCAGTCAATGACAGAGTTATTGCGACGCTGTTGACGGAGATGGACGGAGCGGACGTGCTGGACAAAGTGGTCATCATCGCTGCGACAAACAGACCCGAAGTCATAGTGAGTGAAGCGCAGCCTACGATGACAGCATCCAAGAGCCTCCTGATCGCGTACTGATCACTTGCTCTAACACTATCTCACTTGCTCTTCCGCAGGACCCTGCCCTCCTCAGACCCGGACGACTGGATACCCTTTTGTACATTGGCCCACCCGACAGATCTGCCCGTCTTTCTATCCTCGCACTGCGCTGCAAGAGCATGGCGACGAGATCGGACGAAGTTGACCTTGGCAAGATTGCCGACTTGGTGAGTAATGCTGACACGTTGTCCGTCCGTCCGTCCCTCAAGCTTGCACTGATGTACATGCCTTGCCTCTGTGTGCTTCTCCCCGACCTAACAGACAGATGGCTGCTCGGGAGCAGAAGTCGTCTCCGTCTGCCAAGACGCTGGGATTCGGGCCATGTCAGAGAATCTCGAGGCAGAAGTGGTGGAGCAGCGACACTTTGAGGCTGCAGCAGCGAGTATGAGGCGGAGGATCACGCCCGAGATGATTGGCAGGTATGAGAGGTGGAGGGATACGCTTGTTGGGACAAAGTGATTTGTCATTAGATGCCATCGTCACCTTGATAACAAAATTTGGTTGTCCTCAGTTGAGGTCTAGGCCCAGATCCTCTTCGACCTCTTCGACCTTGGTCCTAGTCCGTTTCTCCCTCCTCTGCACCTCAGGTCTGTCAGCCTCCCCCAGCTCCATCTTCCCCCCACTCTGCTGCTGTCCTCCTCCATGTTCGCTCTGCCATTGCTCTCGGAATGCCTGCCAAGCAGGCAAGATCCCCTTCATACCCGCTCCAGACTCATCGAGCATGGCGACACCCATGAGGCCACGTCGCATCTCTGCATCCGAGGGAAAGGGAAGAAGTTGCGGTGCCGATGAGGCATTGTGCGGATCGCCTTCCTCTTCTGGATGCAGGAAACGCGTTTGTGTTGGCCCTGCTGCTGCTGCTGCTGGCTGAGGAACGGTCGTGTCGACGGAGGCCGTGTTGGGCTGAGCGGTTGCGACGCCTGCTGCCGGCGTGGGTGGAGGCTCAGGAGCTTCTTCCTTCTTGGCTCCCTCTACTACAATCCTCGGGACGCTGCCTTCGCCTTCTGGAGCAGACACAGCTCCACCTGCGACCTGAATCTCTGTGACTGGAACGGCATCAGAGTGAGGTGAGGGCTGCCTGTCCTGTGCTGCCGGCTGCGTGAGAGCCGCTTCCACCCCTTCCTTGAGCAACTTGGCTTCAGAATAGCCAGGAGGAGCAGAAGTAGTGCGCGCTAGATCGGCTGCATATGCTAGCACTTGATGATAGTCCAGAGGAGCTGAACAGGATTGAGGTGACACCTCCATCGTTAGCGCAGGTGTTCCTACACTCGCTGTGCCTCCTCTTGCTCGACGACGTACCTGCTTTTGCTCGCTTAATCTTCTTCACCTCCTCCCGCCCCTCGAGCACAATTTCTTTGAGCTCCCTACTGGCAGCTCCGAGCACTCTCACCCTGTCCCTCCGACTGCTCTGCAGCTCCCGCACCTCCTCAGTCAGTTCACGGATCCTCCTGGCATTGGCTCTGTGTGTACGAGCTCGTAGGAGGTACTCATCCAGTGAGGTGTGAAGGATGGCGAGGGAGGGAATGAGCTCTTTGCTCGTCGGGGAGGCATTTGGTGGAAGAGTCCAGATCGGTAGTGACTCCAGTTCGACTGGAAGCTGAGCCGGACGAGGGATAGGCGAGGGAGGGAGAGCGGTAGAGTGGGCGGCATGGAGGGAGGTGAAGAGAGCTTGGGACAGCTGTTGGGAGAGGGACAGGTGCACCTGCAAGATGGAACGGAGCGTTGCAGGAGCACTCGTTGAGGAGCTGTCCTCCCACAGTAGCGTCTTGCGGGTGGTGGCTGGCACCTCGGTCGCTACTGGCGTCATATTCCGAGTAGTCGTGGAGGGATGCTGTTGCTCTGAGGAGCGAAGCAGATGGAGGCGGTGGGAGCGTTGCAAGTGCCGCCTGAGCGGCAGCATCGGAACGGAAGTTGGCATGACGGACTGGCGGCAGAGTCGCGAGAATTAAATTGCCTCGCGTAGCGCGACTAAGTAACACGCCTACTGGCCACCACTACTTACTTCACCTCCCTCCTCCTCACCTCTTTCACCACTCACAATGGCTGCCGCCGTACTCGCCCCGGCTCGGCCACTGCCACCTCGGATGGACCTCGATGACGATGACTTTGACGTGGGAGGAGACATCGACCACGCTATTACCCAAATCGACGAGAAGGCCATTGAGCGCAACGATTCTACCGAGCCAATGGCCATGCTCGCCTTCTACAAGCGCATCCTACCCTTCAAATCTCTCTACACTTGGCTCAACCGCGATCTCCCTCACCAGCCCACCAAGAACTTCACACATCGCGAGTTCGCCTTTACACTCACAAATGACGTTTACATTCGATACAACTCATTTGCAGACTGGGAAGAATTCAAGCGCGAAGTCGTCCGTCTCAATCCAGCGCGATTCGAGATCGGACCCGTGTACACGGCCAAGCCCAAAGACCGTAAGACGGTGCAGAAGTCCGTCTTCCGGCCAGTCTCCCGTGAGCTGGTCTTTGATATCGATATGACCGACTACGATTCGATCAGGACATGTTGTTCGGGAAAGGGCATCTGCAAGCGCTGTTGGTCCTTCATCGCTGTGGCGGTAGAGGTGCTGGATGAGGCACTTCGCAGTGATTTCGGCTTCAAGCACCTGCTGTGGGTCTATTCGGGAAGGAGAGGTATCCACTTGTGGATCTCGGACAAGGACGCCTGCGAGATGGCAGATGAGGCTAGGAGAGCCATTGTTGGTTGGTTGGAAGTGGTCAAAGGCGGATCCCAACAGAAGAAGAAGGTCGATGCAGGTAAGACTCTGCATCCGGCCTTGAGAAGAGCCGTTGGTGGTGAAGGCGGCAATGGACCGCTCACGGTCGCATTCGTAGAGACGGTTCTCCGCGATCAGGACTGCTTTAGGCAAAGAGAGCAATGGGAGCTCCTCCTCTCCCTCCTCCCTTCTACGGAAAGCGAAGCTCTAGGTCGCCTCCGCAACAAGTGGGAGTCTCATCCGTCGCGCAACTCTCAGGACAAGTGGGAAGACATTCTTGCCGAAGCGAAGAAGTCGAAGGCCGCCTGGAAGCCCGCGATGGAGGAGATTATCCTGCAGTACACCTACCCACGAATTGATGCAGAGGTGTCAAAACACAGGAACCACTTGCTCAAGTCACCCTTTGTCGTACATCCAGCCACGGGTAGAGTCTGTGTGCCCCTCGATGCCAAGAGCGTCGCCACTTTTGACCCTGAAGAGGACTGTCCTACTGTGGCTCTACTACTGAGGGAACTCAATGAGTGGGAGAGGAAAAACGGCAGGGGAGGTGTCAAGATGGAAGATGATGAGGGGAAGACGTCTGCGGTGGTTACCAAGGGGGATTGGGAGAAGACAAGTTTGAAAAAGTATGTGGATTTGCTGGATCGACATTGCGCTGCTATCACAAAGGAGGCTAGGGATGCAAAGAGAGGTGAGTAGACTCGTCGTTTAGATGAGACTTGTAGAGAGAATGCAGATTGAGAGCTATGGCTCACGTCATCGTCACTTCATCCCCCTCCTCCTCTTCCAGTCATGCAATCTCACTCGATGGATTTCTGATGACTCGCAGCCCCTTCATACGACCTTTGGCAAAGCCCTTTCCTTCACTTCTTGTTCCCCGGCATACCAGACTCCTCACACACATGTACTCGTTCGTTCTCTCTCAGTCCCCCTTGTATAGCAATGTCAATGTCATGACCCTTTCACGCTCGGGAAGAAGAGACTGGTGAAAATATCCATTATTGATCAATGACGGTGATGAGCAGTGTGTTGATGTGATGCAGATCTGATCCCTTGGCGGCAGCCTCGCTTATACCACTTCACCTTGCAGTGCCGCCTCCTTGTCCTCCCTCTCTCTCCTCAAGACTCGCAAAGCACCCCGGAAAGCCTCGCTCCAGGCCACTCCCTCGTCGGTGCGGAGCATCGCATATCCCATCTCGTCCGACTGCCAATCCTTCTCCCTCTTGAACCTCTCCTCTCTCAACTCCCCCTCCGTCTTTGGCGGATCATTCTTTTCCACTCGACTAGGCTCCCTCTGACCTCGAACGAGGGTGCGAGTATCTCGCAAACGGCGCGGAAGCTCCTTGTAGTAGCTCTCCTTTTCGTCTTCTACACGCTTGAGAATCTTGTGGAAACGAGGCGGGTAGGTGCTCTCCCCCTCCAGACCCCAGTCCAGATCTCCACCCTGAGGTGGTTCCTCCCGCACACTACCCAGCGCGTGATCGAGCGATGCATTGAATTCCCTGGCTGTGGACTTGTCACAGAGGGCAATCTGTACGCCGTATTCTCCTCCTTGCCTCACACGCTCTCGGTGGTAGAAGAAGCCTACCATGCGCTTGGGGATCTGCCGCCAGCCGACGAGGTTGACGTAGTCTACAAAGAGGAGAGGCGGCTGTGCTGGGATCTGCTGAGGCGGTGCGAGCAGAGCTGGGTCTACTTTGGGCGCAGCAGGCTTCGAGCCTCCGCGGGAAGAGGAGGATCCGGAGGAAGACGAGGACATGAGGTTAGGCATCGGTCCCCGGGAAGAGGCAGGGAGAGGAGCTCCTTCGTCTGCATCTGCACTTGCTTCCAGAGCTCTATTGCGCCTCTCGATCTCGTCGAGCTCTGCATCGGGACGAAGATCTGAGGAGAAGGAGCTTGTCGATGCCGACGTCGAGGGAGCGGCCGTGGCTCCAGTGTCCATCCTCGACGAACCCTCTTCTGGCACTTCATCGAATCTCCCATCATCGGAGAGGCGGTTGGCGAGAGGCTCATCCAAGTCCTGCCGTTGGGGCGGCAGTTCCTTCGTCCAACCCTCTCTAAGTCCCCACATATACTCCTTGTACGCCGGCCTGCCAAGGACGACGACTGCTCCGTCCAGCTCCCTCTGTAGCTGCTGCTGAGGTGAGAGTGCAAAGGCCTGCATAGCTGCCGTCTGAGCTGCAATGGCATCTGGCGATGTGGGCAACACCGGACCTGACCCAGCCGTAGAGACCTCACAGCCCCAAGGCTCCAATCCAAGCAACTGCCGCCGCCTGGCATAGATGCGCTGCTGTAGCTCCCTTCCCAAGCCCCCATGTCTCCTCCCATTCAGAATCTCAAAGTCAATTCCTGCAGCGACCAGAACGGGCTTGACGTAGCGCTTGAAATATATAATGCTCTTGTCATAGTCCTCGTCTCCCGGGGATCGAGCTCCGTACACCTGTACTTTGCGAGGATACTCGTACGGCGCTAGGGGCTCGGCAGCCAGGTGCTTGACTTGATCGATGTACTCCTGTTTCAGCCTCTTGCATTCCCTGCGATCGTAGTACCACAGAGAGACGAGGGAAGTAGTCACGACGAGAAAAATGGAAGTGTTCCTCGATGGGGGCTTGGGCCGATAGGTGAGGACACTGCGTGGAATGCCTAGGTAGAGGAGAGGTCGCAGGCCTGCTGGGATTGGGCGAGGAGGGGGCTTAGGCAGAGGGGCAGCCGCCTTGGGAGGTGGGATCACGACGGCAGGAGACCCGCTGGGAGGCGTGGGCGGAGTCGGTGTGGCCATGATGGTGGCACTGTCTCCCTGCTTGGGGCTTGCTGAGCTGCGAGCAGGCGTAGGACGAAGTGAAGATGGTATCTGGCCGTGAGAAGAAGAGGCGACCTCGATCACCCACTGCCGCCCCATCGCCGGAAAAATGTCAAGTGCGCGTGCAGCTCTGTACGGAAAAGGCCACTTCTTCCGATCATCATCCTGCCTGCTTGCTCGCCATCGTCACCCACAAGCAAAGACTACAACGACGATGTCAGCCGCTGCAGGATCTTCCAGGGAAACGCTTGATGTACGGCCCATAGATATACAGCTTCAGCTGGTGGGACAGCTCGATGGCTCGACGTCCTTTGCCTTTGGTGAGCATAAGACACATAGGCTTGGGCAGCTCACGGACATCCACCTCCACTGCGACACAGTCTGACCATCGCTTCTTTGCTCTTCGCTTCCAGGTCACCAGAGCGCACTCGGTGCAGTCAGCGGGCCCACAGAAGTGCGGATACGAGATGAGCTCACTGATCGTGCCACGCTGGAAATCAATCATTCACCCCTGAACGGCACAGCAGGTGAGTCAGTCTGCTGCTTCCCGGTCCGTCTACCACTTATGGTGAGCTGAGGCTGATTTCCAACGAGATCTGCTCTTGTTGTTTCTGTTCAGGAATCACTGCCGCCTCCTTCAGTACAGCACTGCACTCCGCCCTCTCCTCCGTCATCCTCTTGCACCTCTACCCTCGCTCGCTGATCCAGCTTCAGCTACTTACGACCAACCACCCCGCCCAGGCATACCTCCCTCCTTCGCTACAATCGACATTGAACAAGCCGCTTAGCCACTTTTCAAGGAGGACAATCAGACCTCTACGGCCTCATCCTGATGCTAGCATGGACGTCTCGGAGAAGGCGGCACTGATTAATGCAGGGATGATGGCGCTGATACAGGCTGGCATACCTTGCCTGGCCACAGTCTGCGCAGTGGGTGTGGCTGTTCTGCCCAAGCAATTAGCGAAGGGTCTCAGAAGAGGTGGGAAACAATCAAGGAGTTCAGGCTCCATGGCGATGGAAGAAGACGATGTTTCCGACAACAGGTGAGTAGGAGTGTGAACCCGCATGAATTGAGCTGGAGGGAGCTGCATCTGAAGATCCCGTGAACTACATCATGAACAGTCTAACGATCCTCGTGGACCCGGACCCTACGGAAGAGTCCCTAGCTCAAAGCGTGCACCTTTTCGCCTTTGCTTGCTCGGGGCACGTAGTGGAAAGCGAAGCGACGACACTAGACGATGACTCGGACGATATGGACCTGACCGACGGCACCGTACCCCCACCGGTATCGAAGACGAGTGAGGCAAAGCTGGTTCTTGCGGACAGTGCTGGTAAAGTCGATTTAGCAATGGTGAGTGGGGCGAACGTTCAGGCAGATGAGACGCCGCACCATTTGTCAATACTGAACCCTACCCCTCTTCTCCCGCCCTCTGCAGCACCAGGAATGTGTGCGATTGGCGCGGAAGGCTGCCCTGACTGTGCACTCGAGGATGCGGCGAAGTATGAGGGATCAGTACCTAGGCTAGGTCGACTTGAATGCTGCATCATGTGGACAATATGATAGGTTCTTCTCGGCACGAGAGGTAGCGTAGCGTAATCAATCGACTGCCGATGCTACTGTGCTTCTCTTCCATTCTTCTTTGCGGAAATTCAGCTCCGAGGACGATCGGGCAGAGACTGCACCCTTGATGTGATAGCAGTGTGCCTGAGGGGTAGTGCTCCCTTGCTTGCCGTTCTGCCATGTCTGTCAGTGCCTACTCTCCAAGCTCATTCCAATGGATCGGGCATGGACCCAATGGATGGATGAGGCTGAATCGACTCTCCTTTGTGTAGAGCGTGCCGAGAATTCCCCGGCCAAAGGGGGGGGGCGGTGAGGTGGCACGTGGAAAAGTGTGTGGCTGAGGCAGTGGGGTCTTTTTCTATTCTCAGCCCCCCCTCGGCGTGCAGCCAGAGGGTCAAGGCGCGTGACCCGCGTCGAAGTTGGACCTCTTGTGAGGAAAATAACACCTCGGTAGCTCCGCTTTGATTGCTTGGTTGCACGACTGCTGAGGGGAGACGAGGGGGTGTGCGGAGATGTGAGAGGTACGAGTGAGGCTAAAGCCAAGTCAAGCCAAGCCCAACCAATCCAAGCTCAAAGTGGTCCCTTCATTCCAGCCCAGTCCAATCTGATCGCCGAGGTCGGAGGCTGGAAGACAAGGGTGGGACGCGCCTTGGCCTCGCCTCGCTTCGCCTCGCCTCGATTCAAGGGTGCTTCTGCGCGTCGAGGACATCAGTGCGACAAGGTTGAAAGAGTCAATGGTCAACGAGAGGCTGCCTGAACCATGGCTGTGGGATCGGCATGAGCGAGTGTGTGGATGTGATGCTGCTTCTAGACCCAAGGTGCAGAGGTCCGTCCCCGCTCTGCGTGCCGTTTGTGATGCCGCGCCTGCTGCAGGGCCCGCCGCGTGTGTGCTGCTGCACCTCGAGTGTTGCCCCTGACGCCCGACCCCCCCGCCTTTCGGGCAATTCTAGTGTTACTTCGCCCCCCCCCCTCCCTCCTCAACCTTTGTCCACTCCTCGACGCTGTGCTCCGTCTTGCTCACCTCGTAACCTCCTTCCCGTCAACGCTGCCAGATCGTCACCATTCTCCTCCTCTCCTGGATCGTTGCTCACGTCTACCCTTCATCGTCCCGTTGCCAAGGAAATCACACTCGCTCTTTCTACCCTCGTCACGGTTCCGCATTGCTTCACTTTCCGCTACCCATCCCCCACACAAGCACTATACCACCGCGGCAGGACCATAGGGCCCTTCTTTGACATCGTCTCCTAAAGTCTTAGACAAGTTTACTTCACATGGCTCCTTAGACCTGCATACCCAGGTGCACACTCAGCACGTCTTCGCGTACCACGCTCGTTCTTTCTCTCTTGCTCCTCATCGTCCTCGCAAAGCGCCATCTCAGTGATGGTGTACCATCTCGAAGCAGGTCCACGTCCTCCGTTACAAACACAACGAAGTCTCGGTGCACTCCAGCAGCAGCAGCAGCAGCAGCAACAGCCAGCCGATGCCTACCTCTTCAGCCCACACTTTGACGATCTAAGAGCTGCACGCTTCAGCCGCTCCTATTCTTATTCGCAGACGACTTCACCATTATTGCAACCGCACAAGGCTTCATCGCCTCTACGGCGGCCAGAAGACCCTCCGTCCTCGGCGCCTTATAGAAACTACCACTATGACTATCGTGCCAGTCCTCCAGGGATAGGGACAGACGATTTTGATGATCACGCTGGGCCTTCGGGGTCAAGACAGGTCAATGTCGCAGGTCTAGGGGCTGGAGCGCGTAGGGCTATGGAAAGCGGTAGGAGAGAAGCTGAGCAGGCGCAGAGGAACAGAGAGATGGACTACCAACTTCAGCAACAGCATCATTATCAGCAACAACAGCAGCAGCAGTACGAAGAGGAAGAGAGGAGGCGCGCTTGGGAGGAGGAGCACTTCCAACGACAAGCGCAAGAGAAGGAGAGGGTAGCAGCAGAGCAGGAGCAACAACGGCAGCAGCAAGTACGCCGGCAACGTGAAGAGCAGATGCAGCGGCAGGCAGAGGAAGCTGAACGTTGTAGAATACGGGCAGAAGAGGAAGAAGTCGCAGCGGAGCGGGCAAGGATAGTTGAGCAGCAACGAGCGCAAGAGTGGTATCGGCAACACCAAGAGAGGGAGCGCCAGTATGAGCATGAAGCTCACTCTAGTCCCGCTGTCCCAGAAGCTGCCGTCAAAGAGGCCGCGCAAGAGTGGTATTCAGCTGAGGACAGGGGGAGCAGCAGGCCCCTCACCAATGGGCAGTACTATGCCCGTCAGAGTCTGACCAACGCGGATGACGAGGGCGAGGGAGAATCTCGCGATGTACTTGGAGATCTTCCCATACAGCGCACGGGGAAGAAGGGCCAGCGGTCGACTGCCGTCGAGGAGAGTAGTCGTGACTCTTGCAGCTCCATGGCCTCGCAGGCATATCTGGCCTACGATCAGCCCTCACCACCAGAACATCCTACAGATGGTACTCCAGTGTTCCACGGCCTCTCCATCAAGGACGACACTGTGCAACGGCGATCGAAATTCGACAGTCTGCAGGCCTTCTCCATTGCAGGTACGAATGTCGACTATCAGCGCGAGACAGTCTACGAGGACGACTTTGAGGAGGAAGCCCTTGGCAACCTCTCGCGCTACACGCATTACGGAGGTGGCCAAGACTCGATTCCCAGCCATGGAGGCTCAGCTTGGTCCGGAGCTCGCAAGTCCCTTTTCCGAGCCACCACCTATCAGCCAGTACCTATGGCTCGATGTGCAGATTGCAAGCAAGAGCTGGATTTGGAAGAGCTAGCCAGTCATCTCTGTGATCGAACATCGGCAGGTTCGACCCCTACTGCGACTGCCAGCCCACGTTCTCCCTTGAGCCCATTGGTGATTCCTGAACCGGGCGCAATCACGACGATGAGCCCCTCCACTTCGCTCTCGCCCTCTTCTTCGCGCTTCATGGAGAGGTACAATGCCATGGAAGCTACCCCTAGGAAGAAGAGCCTCTTCAACACTGCACACAGTCATTCACCCAAGGCTGCGAGTACCGACAGCTCAATGCACTCTCCACGAGCCTTGCAGGTGACAAAGGAGGAGATTGTGCGATCTTCCTCCTCTCCCGCCGCGTCGCCCCTGTCGTCTTCGCTGACCGCATTTGAAGCAGGCGTAGCGACGGAGAAGAGGCGGCAAATCGAGTCGCAGCGAGCTGCCAAGCAGGCCCTCTCGCCTCGGCCATCGGACTCCATCGATGGCTTTTCTTCTTTCCTCCAACCTTCAAGCCCCACTTCTTCCTCGTCTAGCAGACCAAGCCCTTCCCGCTCACAGTCAGACACAGTAGCAAATGGGCAACGACCCTCGGCAGCTGTGGACAACTCACGTCTGAGACCTGTCCTGACACAGCAGGAGCGCTCCAATTCGGACCGCATCGTGAGCTGTACCTCTACCTCGTCTTCGGCTTCCTCTTCCGGCGCAGGCTCCTCCCTCTTTGCTCCCAATTCGCCAGCAGTAGCAATTACGCCCAGCTCCAGTTTTGGAGATTCGGTCGACCTGGAAAGTAGCAAAGACAGCGATCGAGCAAGAGGAGGTGGGTCCTCGCCAGGTTTCCTGTCCCCTGAAATGGCCACGGCTGCTGGCGCTGCAGCTGCTGCTGCAGCTGCGACGTGGGGTCGTCCTATGCTGCCTGAGCGCAAGACATCGAGGAAGAAGGGCGCTCTGCCTGCCCCGCTTGATCTGGGTGAGGTGGAGAGGATGATGCGCGACCTCAAGGCCGATGTCGCAGCTGTCGGTTCCGTGTCCCAGCCTTCCTCTGCTGAAGTACCAGTACGTCGTGGTGCTGCATCTAGCCACAAGCAAGGCAACAGCCCCGGCTCCAACAAGAGCAACCTCAACCGTCCACCACGAAGCAGCAGCAGCAGCGCTAGCAGCAGACACAAGACCAATGGCAATGGCGACTCCCTCGCCCTGTCCATCACTTCCAGCTGCGCCTCTGCCTCTTCCATCTCCTCCTCCTCTGGCTCCTCTTCCTCCACAACCGCCGCCACTGCCGCTCGTCGCGGCGCACGTCGCGCCGCTCGCAAATGCTGCGTCTGCTCTTGCTCCTTGTCCCAACCAAGACCGGGTAGTTCAGCAGCATCTGAAAAGATCAAGTTTGTAGAAAAGGACGGTAGATATTTCTGCGCCGAGGATTATCGTCAACGCTATCTACCCAAGTGCGCCTACTGTCGTCTCACAGTGGAAAAAGGCGGAGTGAAATCTTCCGATGGTGCTCTCAGGGGGATTTATCACAGGGACTGCTTCCGCTGCTCCACCCCGACGTGCAGGGCGCGCTTTGAACAAGGGGAGTTCTTCGTCTGGGAAGGAGCGCCGTACTGTTTTGAAGACTACTCGAAAAAGGCGGGGACGATCTGTGGGGAGTGTCAGAGGGGGATCATGGGAGAGTGTAGACAGGTACTGCCCCCCATCGTGGGAGCTGCTGCTGTGGGAGCTGGACACTCCCCTGCAAGTAGTCACGATGTGGATCTTGCTACTGGAGTCGAGACACCAGCAGCAGCAACAGGTGCCCGCTTCCATCCTTCCTGCTTCACATGTCAATACCTCTACCACCCAAACTCCCTTGGGACGGGCACAAAACCCGACAACCACGACCACGGCCGACAGGGGCAGCGGCGGCAGCAGCAAGGGCGTTGTTCTGTTCAACTAGACGATTTCTGGGAGACGCACGATGGACGACGGGTGTGCGAGGAGCACGCATTGCTTCTTCTTCGTGAGGAAGAGGAAGAGAGGGAAGAGAGGGAGCAGCAGCAGCAGAGAGGGGGTGGGGGTGGAGGTGCTGCTGCTGCTGCTTGGCAAGACGGTGGTGGTGGCGGTGGTGGTGGTTGGGGACTGAGTGTGGAAGCTGGGAAAGGAGGAGGAGGAGGAGGAGGGAAGAGAAGAGGACCGTTAGCTGGAGCATCCCTTCGTGCGCAGAAGAGGGGGACGATGCTAAAGGCGCTCGTCTAAGAGCATACCAGCAGGCCAGGCAAGGCAAGGCAGAGCTGACATGCTGTGCTGCGATGTGCTGTGCATGGTGTGTGGGGTAGTGTGGTGCGATGTGGTGCGAATGTTCATAAGATGTTTATAGGATAACATGGACGCAGCAATGATTACGGACACCGATCCGGATTCAATGCGATTGTACAATACAATACCTTTGCCCTTGACCATTGCTTTCCTCCTTTGAGCGTATAGATTGGACAGCGGACGAGCGAGTAGACGAAAGAGTGATTGTGCTACTCCTACCTCTCGACTCGCGAACAGAGGAGGGCTCTGATTTGATGGATGAAGAATGCATTTGCACACAAAGGGGACGATGAATGGGTGAAAATGCATTGCACAGCACTGTATACGGCAATTGGCCTGGGCATGGGCAAGAGTTTTTTCACGGGACAGTAGTACGGCGACTGCCTCTGGCCCTTCTCTCTCTCCAACACAAGCATCGTGTGCGCACGCCAGCAGCTTACACCATATCTACAGGTAGAAGGCACACGTGAAGAAGAAAGGAGGTCAGCGCTGTGATTTTTACTATCCTGTGTGCCTCGAAGCGGAAAATTGCTCACCTTGTAGATTCACCGGCATCTCGTCGATGGTTGTCTGAGGAGGAGCGGCGGGAAAGAAGGTGAGAGAGGGAGATAAGTATCGCGCCGTCTGTTGCGCCAGACCCGTTCTGCCCGAAATTTGGTACTTACTCCGTAGTATTGCTCGCTGAAAGTCGAAAGTTGAGGACGATGGCGACTCGTCAGCTCTCCCTCCTTGCCTCTTACGGTCTCGCCTCGCCCCGTCTCGCTTGCGCGTACTCACATGTCCCTCAGAATCCGCACATCATCCACTGTCACAAAGCAGATCGAGACGCCCTTTCTGCCAAAGCGTCCAGAGCGACCTATCCTGTGCAGGTAATTTTCTCTGTTCATCGGCAGGTCGTAGTTGATGACCAGACTGACATTTTGCACATCGATACCTCGGGCCCACACGTCCGTTGTGATGAGCACGCGGCTGGAACAAGGAGGAGTGGAGTGATCAGCTCAGGGATCTGAAGCTCCCGACATTCTCCAGTCTCTGCGCTACTTACCTCGATCCTTGCCTGAATTCGCTCATGATGGCATCCCGCTCCTTCTGTTGCATCTCCCCATGCATACTGCTGACCTGGAAATTATTCTCTCGCATCTTCTCCGTCAGCCAGTCTACTTTTCTCCTGGTATTGCAAAAGATGACTGCCTGTGTGATGGTCAATGTATCATAAAGGTCGCAGAGAGTGTCGAATTTCCAGTCTTCCTTTTCCACTGCCACAAAGAATTGCTTGATGCCTTCTAGAGTCAATTCGTCTCGCTTGACTAGGATGCGGATGGGGTCAGTCATGAATTTTGTCGTCATCTCCAAGACGTCGTGCGGTAGGGTAGCGGAGACGAGTACGACTTGAGTAGCTGGGGGAAGGTACCGGTATACGTCGTAGATTTGGTCTTTGAATCCCATGTTGAGCAGCTCGTCACTCTCGTCGAGGATGAGCATCTTAATATTCTTTGTGCGCAGATGACGCCTCTTGATCATGTCAAATACTCGGCCGGGTGTACCAGAGACGACGTGTTGGCCGTGTTCAAGCCTCCTGATATCTTCTCCCACCGATGTACCGCCTGCAAAAAAGGTAGAAAGTAAGAAGATGTTAGGGCTGGCTAGCCCAATCCATTCGCATTCCGTAGCTGCTGACCCTTACTCACCAATGCAAGCATGACATTGCACATTCATGTAATCACCCAGGGCCAATACAACGCTCTGGATCTGCGTCGCGAGTTCCCTGGTGGGGCTGAGTACGAGCGCTTGTGTATCCCTCAGACTGGTATCAATCGACTGGAGCATTCCAATGGAGAAAGTGGCCGTCTTTCCCGTACCGGACTGAGCTTGAGCGATGACGTCCCTGCCGCGGATGATGGGTAAGATGGCTCTTTGCTGGATAGCAGAAGGACGTTCGAAGTTGTAAGCATAGATGCCCCGCAGAAGGTCCTCCTTGAGCCCCAGGGCTTCGAAGGTGGGGGCCACCTTTACGTCTTCGGAAGACTCGAAGTTGAGCTTGCCGTCGCCGGGGTTGATGCCTGGTCTCTGCGAGGGCGAGGGGGATGAGCGACGAAGATGAGCATCTCAGCCACTCTTGCAGTCTCTCTTTGCCTTGCCGCCGCTCTACTCACCGACATTATGGCTGCGATACGAGGTTGCTGGTGGTGGTGAGCATGGAAATCGTCCATCGGAAGCAGTGGTTGGTGCCTGTGGCTGCCTGCAGAAGCGCGCACCTCGGCCCAAAGGCGCCACTTCCGACGGACACAGGCCACGCACACGGAAAAGTAGCGACAAGGCATTGCACTCCTTCAGACGATCCTCACTCGTACGTCCACTCTATACTGGACTCACCTCGAGCTGCGGCCCTCACTACCATCCACCATGACAACGCTGCGAACAAGGAGTCTCACAGCTGGGCTCACCAACAGCAGACCCGCCCTCGCCGCCTCTCAGGCCAAGTGGACCACCACGACTTACACACCTTCCGCTCCGCTCGCAGCACGTAATATCGCTAGCTCCTCCAAGCTCTCATCGCCTGCACCCCCTCCTGCCTCTCCTTCTCCTTCTTCATCCTCTCCTACCTCTCCCACTTCCCCTCAGGTGACACTCACCTGGGATCAATACCTGCGGCTGAGAAAGTCTCGCAGATTGGCAGGACTGGCCACCAGTGTGCCCTCGACGCTCCTCGCCGCCGCTGCTTCTGGGTCGTACTTTTTGGGACAAGAGATCGACCCCGCCCAGCAAATCGGAGGAATTGTCAGTTAATTGGTGGAAGAGGGCGAGAGATAGCTTATATTCGAAGCTAGAAGCTGATGCTCCTAATCCCTTTTCCCTCTCTTTCATTGCCTTGTGTGGTATGTGCAGGAGCCACTCTACGTCTACGGAGCACTGACCATCGCCTCCACCGGTCTTGGTGTGAGTGCTGTCAATGCTGAGTCCCAGCCAGGTATCACACCTCTCACACACACTCTCTCCCGCCCATCTCCCCCTCTCATCTCTTCCCCTCCTTCCTCCCGACGAGCAGTACCTCATCGGTCCCTCCCTCGGCTCAAGCATCTGGTCCCTCTTCCACCGAAGTAAACTTCCCCAAATCAATCAAAAAGATGCAGACTTCTACGAACACATCAAGCGGAACCGTGTAGATCCTAGTCGGACCAATATGCAGAATCCCATTCCCGACTTCTATGGAGAGAAGATTTGTGAGTAAAAGAGTAGAGTAGACCAAAGGACGCTGCGAGTGTCCTCTCTTGCCCCACTTTCCAGTCTTTCTTGATCGGGGTTGGGAGTAAAAGGGACTTCCTTTCTGACTCCTTTCTCCATTTTGACCTCTTTGCGTTACCTTTCCTCTCAATAGCAAGTCTAAAGGAGTACCGTCGCTGGCTGCGAGACTGTTCAGTCTACCGGCGTAAAGCTGCCCATGGCCTCAAGGAAGAAGAAGAAGCAGCAGCAGGTGCAGGTGCAGGTGCAGAGGGTGGAAGTGGCAGTGGCAGTAGTAGTGGGGGACCATTGTAGTGATAGTATGCTGAGCACTTCTTTGCTAATGGATGGGGTTTTGATGAATGTGAATGCAAATACCATCTCAGAAGAGCTCAATGCGTAGAGCGACGAGGACGCAGATGCAGACACGGAATTGCGATTCAACGACGAACGATACACATTCACGTTCCACCAAGCATGACTCCTCGATCGACAGAGCCTTGAATCCCCACTTCTTACAATAGAGAAAGGAACGAAGAGCACAGAAACCAAGAAGAAGAAGTAGAAGGACGAACGAACGGGTAGAGGTAGTAGTAGCAGGAAGAATAGCTCAAATGGGAAAGTAGAAACATAGATACGAGTAGAACAAAAAAAAACCGCGACTGAAGCTGCAAGTGGAGCTGGAGCTACGACTTTGAGTCTGGAGGAAGCAGGCACAAAGAACAAAAGAAGAAGAAGAAGAAGAAGAGACAGCACAGACGAGACGGACGGACGGACGGACGGACGGACGGGGATCCTCCAGACTACTTTTGCCAGTCTGGAGTTGCTAGGCTGCAAGGCAAGGGAGTGGTGGAGCCTAAGGAAAGGCAAGGTGGAGAGGTGCAGTGCAGGACGCTCGTGGTTCCTGCTTGTGCGTGTGCATATGTGGGAGACCCTTCTTGACCGCTCAGAAAGTGTGGTCGAGCCCATCGTTGGCCGTTCCCCTACCCTGACCCGTGGCGCTACTGCTGCCCGAATAATCCCTTCCGGAAGATCCTCCTCCATACCCGCTGCCTTGATGCCTGCCGCTGCTCGTCGTCATGTTGCTACGCCCAGCTGCGCCTCCAGGCCTGTACCTGCTATCAGGATCCTCCGGCCCATCAACATCTCCAAAGTCGTATCCGGTTCCTGATGCCTGTCCACTTCCCCTCTCGTCACTCAAACTACTATTGAAAGATCCCCTATCTCCAAATCCATCTCCATGGTATCCCCTTCCATCCTTGCGCGCCCTCGAAGGATCGACATAGTCTGGGTCTCCCATCACCTCGCCACTCTTGGCATGGCGATCGGCTTTTTTCCTCCCCAGAAAGGCGCGAGATTTGGACTTGTTGCGTGCTGCCTTTCTCTCCCCCAAGCCACCGGGAGTGTTTGAGGAGATGGAAGAGTGGCCACTGGTAGTCCTTCTGAGCGAGTAGGGGTCAGAAGAAGCCGACTGACTCTGCCCGTAGAACTCATCGCGCTCGGTCAACTCGCTGTCCTGTAGAGGTCTGGTGGGGGCTCGAGGATCGTCGCCGTCCTCGAAGCGATGGCCGTGCTCGTAGCGCACCTGATTGCCGTCTTCGTCATACATTGTGCGCTCGGCAGTCTGATCATTGTAGCGACCTACCCAATGAGCACGATTGGCCTGCTTCCTCTTGACAGCCGACTGATCGACTAGGCCATAGCGCACGGCCCACTTGGGCGTTCGGTTCCTGTGGGTGTTGTCACGGATGTTTTCTGTAGATGGCGAAAGAAGGTAAAGGAGATGAAGTGGTGAGCTTTGCCATTCCTTGGCGACTTGAACTGTTGCGTACTCACGAACGAAGAAGTTGTGACCCTATGAGAGGTGAACCGGGAGAGTAGCACAAAGAGCTCACAGGTCAGCTGATCACTCAAGCCTTGGCACGACACGACGCCTCTCCTTCTCTTCTGCCTCCCAAGCTGGTCTGTCGTGACTCACATGGCCGGGAAAGTAGCCACAAAGCGTCAGCAGGACATTGATGAAGAAGTCCTTTCCAATCCCAAACCTGGCAGCGACAGCCAGCGGTGGGAGGAGGAACCCAAGGATCATGATCACTAGCGTAAAGCCATGATGCTTCTTGGGAGACCTGGAGGAGCGAGATGATCGTTTTTGGGAGTGCATGTTGAGGTTGACATAGCCGGACAAACGATGGGACCGAGAATAGCCAGGTGTGCGTCGAAGAAGAGGTGTTTTGTTCAGTCGGTCCGTCGAGGAGGTGGATCGTCCACGGAGGAACATAGGTTACCAGGCACGGGGCGTGCGAGAGGAGGGGGAACGAGAGAGCCAGCGGGTACGTATAGGTAGGAGGTTGTCGAACGGGAGAGCGACGAGGTAATAGAGTAGAGTTGATCGAAGGGGCGAGAGTGGGGGCAGAGAGAGGTGGGAGGGGAGGGACAGAGGCAGATGGGGAGGAGTTGCGGTCAGTGACTGATCATTCTGTGGATGGCCCTATACTCTACTCTTGCCCTGCCAGCTCGGAGAGAAGCATGCCGGGCTCATCGCCTGCCACGGGCTTGATCGTCTCGCCCGATAGAGGGAGGGTATAGGGCCGTCCATCTTTAGGAACCACTTCACTAGAACTCACCAGTCGACCTTGCCATTGGCCTTTCTTGGCGGATTGCCACCTATTCAATCAGGGGCGAGAGCGAGGTACCAAGAGATGAGAGGTGGGCGGCAGCGAGTCATGTCAGCTAGCGCTCCCTGTATCGCATGCCGTTGCCGAGGAAGAGGGGACCTCGGATATCATGCAGGGCAGCTGTCATCAGGCTGCGCGTGCATTCTACTCCAAGTAGGTAACGTACCACTTCGCATCAAGGAACTGATCATGGCTGGATTACGCCACTGAGGAGGTGGGATATGATGAGGTGGGGTAGAATGATACGGCAGGCTATCTCGGCCCGTCTTAGCGGCCGGAAGTGTTCCGGATGGACTGTGTTATCCGAGGGGGGAGCAGAGCGAGGAGGTATAGACGCGTGCTCGACTGATATGAGGTAGACCACTGCGATGGTCCCTGAGATGCAAGAGGAGCGCTCAGCAAGGCAGTGTGAAGGGGTATGGGGCAGGGGCGTATGGTGTGGGGGTATGCAACCTTGGTAGACTGCACTTGGCGGACGACGTAGGCGTGGTGGGATCGCTTAGCCGGATCTGCCATGGCTCTGCGCCACGCCAGGACTCAGCTGCTGCCGTGGCTGAGCTCGCGTCAAAGGGCGTGGCCCGCATGGCTGCTCCTCCTTCCTGCTTCCGTCGGGCGGGGCGCACGGTAGACTAGACTAGGCGGTAACCGCACCAGGCTCACTCAGACTACCTGGGTGTCGCCATACCACCTCCCAAATCGCAGCCATGGCAGCCATTGTCTCTGCCCCACCGCAGGTACCATCAATGAGCGACCCATCTGCCTCAGCTGCATCATCATCCACTGCCTCTACTTCCCGCTACCAGCCCTCGAGGGAAGAAGTGGCAGAGCAGTGGCTCTTCACAGAAGAAGATCTCGAATACACCCCCACCGTCCTGGCTGGCATACTCAAGCCAGCAGAGGAGAGAAAGGCTAGAAGGAGAGGTGTAGGGCTGATATACAAGGTGGCAGAGCGATCGCAGCTGTGAGTGGCCGGTGGACGTGCCTCTATCAGAGATCCTGCCTCGCTCATCGCCCGCGACCTACACTCCCGCAGCCACTCGCACGTCCTACACACGGCCGCCCTCTTCTTCCACCGCTTCTTCTTCCGCCGTATCATGCGGCCACCAGGCTTTCCCTCCCTCTATTCAGGTCAGCGTACCTACGTCTATCAAGACATTGCCATTGCCGCCCTCTACCTCGCCTCAAAGGTAGAAGAGGGCTACAGGAAGCTAGACGACATCGTATCCATTGCCTGTCAAGTCGAGCCAGGTAGGGTGGGCTCGGGTCTGGAAGAAGGCGAGAGTGAAGAAGCCGTCTTGAAAAATGGAGTATTGGCTGGAGAGGAGATCCTGCTGGCAGCGCTTTGCTTCGATCTCATCGTAGAGCATCCTCAGAAGCAGCTCATCGTTGCCGCTCGCAAGCTGGGCGTAGAGATCGAGCTACTACGCTGTGCCTATGCCAATATGCATGATGCGTGAGTACAAAGTAGTAGTCATACAGCCTCATCGGTATGGCAATCTCTAACTCTTCTTATTGCGCTCCCTCATGTGCAGATTCCGTGACCCGATCTGTACCTTCTTCGAAGCTCCAGTACTAGCTGCAGGCGTGTTCGCTCTTGCCTGCGAAGACGCCGAAGTCGACCCCACGACATACATGGCGGCGAGTGATGACATGAGCAACGTTGTTGGCCTTACATGGCTCGAGACCTTTGACGTCTCGGAGGAGGAAGTGGAAGGTGAGCCCGCAAAGGGAAGAGAAGAGACCTGCTGCACGAACCACTAAAGTATCGATCCTGTACCTCGATTTTACACAGCCTGCCTCACGGCGCTGCAGTCCGTACGGGCCTCACTACAAATCAGCGAGCCCCGTCCAGCAAGCTCAACACTCGGCACACCCCGTACCGTGCCCGCCACGCCATGCCACCCTTCCGCCCCAGCCTCCTCCGGTCATCTGACTCCCTTCGCCTCAACCACGACCAATGCAACGCCTCACCAGCCAGATCAGACACCTCCTGTACTCCCGCCTCCACCGCTTGAGCGACTTTCTGCTGATACGCTCGGAGGAGGAGAGGCAAGACCGCCCACGAGACATGGCGCTCCGTCTTCCTCTACGGCGGCTGGGGGAGGCGGACGCACCTTTTCTCGATCGCCACTGCTGCAGCAAGCGCAGCCAGTGTTAAAATCAAAAGAAGCTACAGCAACACCAGCCGCTCCGGTTCCTGCTTCTGCAGCAGCAGCAGAGCCAGCGAAAGTGGAAGCAAAGGCATACGTACCCCTCTCTCCTAGCTACGACGATCCGTACCAATCCATGAACACCAAAGAGGAGGGGACTGCGAATGCAACTCCTGGCGCTTCGGGGGGCAGTACTCCAGCAAGCCAATCTGAGCAACTCAAAGAGTCACAGCCGCAGGACGCATACGTACCGCTCTCCCCTCCTACCTACGAGGAGCCCGCGCAGGAGCCTCGAGCAGAAGAAGATGAAGAGAAGAGGGGCCATGCCCAGGTACAGGAGGAGGCAATTGAGAAGGTTCAGCTAGAGCAAGAGGAGATGGAAGAAGGGGAGCTTTGATTGTCTTTTCCATAGACTTTGAGCTCAAGCTAAGCTAGATTAATGATGTGAAGAACTCGCTTCTATTGAATGGTGAAATTGTACTATACACAAGCGCTGCGCTGCGTTCAGGCGCCATCAATCCCAATCGTCCCCAACCCTTCCCTCTCCCTGCTCCTTCTGCCTCTCCGCCCTTTTGTTTTTCCACCCTCAAACTCTGCCCAATTCAGCAAGAATCTCCCTCTGTCTCTCCTCACCCACCACTCTGAACCCTTCAAGTGCCATAGTGTACGTCCCCGCACCCGCCGTGAGGGCTCTTAAGCGAGAAGAGTAGCTCACCAGTTTACTCAGAGGGATCCGCGCTTCAATGGACGTCTTCTGCGTAGAGGAAGGCGAGGCACCGCCCTCGTTTCCTATGCCTGCACCTGCACCTGCACCTGCAACTGAGGAGGTACCGCCGTTCTGTTCTGGCTCGGGGGGGAGGTAGATTTGCACCTCTTCCGACTCTTCGCCCTCTCCCTCTCCCCCACCATGTCCTGCAGCAGTCTCATGCACGACTTCCACCACCTCACCTCCTTGCTCGGAGGTGATATCCCCAACTACCCTCCCCAGTGAGCCCTCTCGACACTCAATCTTCACCCGCATAACAGGCTCCATCATCCTCACTCTTCCCTGTTCTTTGAGAGCCTTGCGTGTCAGCCAACCTACAATGGCAGAGATTGCTCGTGGCGGGGAGAGGTCGGAGGAGAAGGTTTGGAGGGAGGAGAGATGCACTTCGAGACCTGTGAGGGGGTGGGAGGAGAGAGGTCCGCGGGAGAGGGAGGCAGTCAACCCTGAGAGGATGTGCGCGTGAAGAGCTTGAGGGGAGAGACCCGCAGCGGCTGCCGAGGAGGAGGAAGTTTCCTGGCCGCTGCCGGAGCCTTCTTCGTGCTCTTGGATTGCAGCGCCACTTCGATTCGAAGGATGGTGGCCCTGTCGTCTTCCTGTCTCCTTCTCTTTTCGCTTGAGAGCAGATTTGCTCTCGTGTGTGCCTAGCACATCTTCATCTCCTCCTCCTCGAGCAAGATCTACCTTGATGAGATTCCCGCCAAGAGCTGCATCCCCCTCTACGCCCTCGGGGAGACTGCGAATCCTGATCTTCGCACCGACCTTCACCTTCTTGCCGCCCATGTCCCGCTCGACCGTTTCCTCTACCGTGCTCCACTCTTCCTGAGCACTATCGCTGCCGGCGAGCGTCTCTCGATATGAAACCCTTACACTGCCGATTCGTGCCTTGACACCAAATTCGTTCTTCAGCCGATCCTTGGCAATCTCGAGATGAAGCTCTCCCATCCCACTCAGAATCATCTGATTGTCCGTCCCTGCTGAGCCGAAACCCTCCTCCTTGGAGCCATGCTCTCCTCCGTCGAGGCGCAGTGAAGGATCCGTCCGCACCAGCATGGCCAACGCCTCATTGACGCTATCTTCGTCCGACTTGGAGTGCGGCTCGACGCTGACGCTGAATACTGGCGGGGGCACATCGACGGTTCTCAGACGGAGGGATTGGAGGTCATCCCGCGTCTTGCTGCCAGAGCCAGAGCCAGACTCAACGAGGGTGTCGCCGGTCTTTGTGTCTCGCAGACCGAGAACGACACCCACTTGACCGGGACCTATCCGATCTACCTCGTTGTATGTGCCGCCAAAGGGTAGGAGGATCCGACTGAGACGCTCCTTTGTCTGAGTAGAGGTATTGAAGAGAGTTGTAGATCGGGTGATCTGACCAGAGTAGACGCGGACAAAAGTCAGGGGTCCCCGTCGCTTGTCGTAGACCACTTTGAAAGCGAGGCAAGTCAGGGAAGGAGAGTTGATCGAGACCAGCGTTGTGGAGAGGTCGTCCCCTTCATTGAGCTCGTCAGCGCCTCGTGGGCCGTCCTGGCTCGCGGCTGCCGTACTGCTCTTGCTTGCGGCAGAGCGAGAAGGAGATGCTTTGACAGGGGCGGGCGATGTCTTACCTCCCTTGCCACTACTCCTGCTGCTCGAAAGCATTGCCATGCTCTTTCCCTCTACGGTGCCATCGCCCATGCCGAACTCATCCCTCACGTCGCCAGCCTCGTTCGGTGCAGGGAGATAGTCTACCACGCCGTCCAGAAGAGGCTGGACGCCAATGTTCTTGGCGGCAGAGCCACAGAAGGTTGGTACAACTTTGCCTGCAATGGTCAGTCGACGAATCGATGCTCGCAAGGATGGAGCTGAGATCTTGGCGTGAGGGTTGTCGCCATCGATGGAGAAGAGCTCCTCCATCAGCTTCTCGTCGAGCGAAGCGATGGTTTCCACTAAGGCATGACGAGCCCGAGTGGACTCTCCGATGGAAGCGGGTTCGCTGAGCTCCTTTGTGATCAACTCTTCCCCGGCTCTCCCCTCGAACCTGATCTCCTTCATCTCGACTAGATCCACCACACCCTCGACCCTGCCCTCGTCAGCCACGCCCTCGCTGCGAGCAAAGAGGGGTAGCTGCAGCAACACCGGTCGAGAATGCAAGCCCTTCTGCACGAAGCTCCTGAGCGACTTGGCAACAGATGCGCCCATCCTGTCCAGCTTGTTGAGGAAGAGAAGGTTGGAGCGCACCCCGTACCGCTTGCCGATTCGCCAGTTTGTCTCGGTCTGAGCTTCGACGCCTTCCACGCTGTCCATGACGACGATGCATCCGTCTGCGACTCTCAGTGCCCTCTCGACCTCGATTGTGAAGTCGATGTGTCCCGGTGTGTCGACGAGTGTGATGGCACCGGATTGCTGCGTTGCGGGAGATTTCCACCACAGTGGCCCCACCGCTGCAGACTGGATAGTGATGCCCCTCTCCCTCTCCTGCTCCAGGAAGTCCGTCACCGTCGAGCCAGCATCTACGTCTCCAGGCAATGATGGTGAGCGAGTAGAGGTTTCGGAAGAAGACAGGGAGCCACCGGTGTGGTAGAGAAGGCGCTCGGTCAGAGTTGTCTTGCCTGCATCGATGTGGCCCCAAGCGGATATATTCCGGATGGCAGAGATGGGAGTCGGTGAAGAGGAGCCGCGACAGAGAGACGTTGAGAAGAGCCGAGTGGAAGAGCAGTAACGTGAAGCCCCAGTGATGCATGTATATGATGATGCTGCAATCGCCCTCTTTGCGGTCGGAGCCAGAGGGAGTCTCCGCTGCGACAAGGATGCGGCCCATCTTGAAGAGCTTGCGGCAGCTTGAGCACGGCGCGAACTCATCGATGCTACTGATTGGCCAGCGAGCGAGACATTGTGACTCAACATCACCGTGCTGATAGCGCAATCACCCTCCTAGGAAGTTCACGAGGTCTGACAGAAAAAGGTATGGTAAGAGCAGTGGTGGAGGGGCCACTTTGCGGACAGAGGACAGGAAGGACCGGAATCGGGACTTGAATAATTTGGTGTGGGTGTGTGCGTGTGTGCGCTTCTCGTGATTGGCCACGGGTCGGGTCTGATCCCCGCGCTGACAATCGACGCGACCCCCTTTCCGTGGTTGGTGGGCCCAGAGTCGCCACTGCGAATTAATGTAGGCTCACAGGGGCAGAGAGAGAACATCACCACCTCCCCTCCCTTGTCCACCTTCCTTCACCATTCATTCCTCTACGAGCCATCGATCACCTCAACAGACATGTCCTCCACCCAAGCATCTCAAGCCAGCTCCTCGCACAACAATGCCCCTCAAGTAAGCGAAGAGGGCATGATGGACGATGGAGGCGCCGGGCCCCTCCTTGTGAACAAGTTGGAGGTGAGCAACACGAAGCTCGGCGATTGCCCTTGACCTTGAGCACTCGTACTGACGTTCTCTGTATCGTTCATCTCATTGGTTTGCTCCAGGAATTCGGCATCTCCAACTCTGACTGCAAGAAGCTGTCAGACGCGGGCTACTACACTATCGAAGCCATTGCATTTACACCCAAGCGGATCTTGTGTACAGTCAAGGGAATCAGCGAAGCAAAGGCAGACAAGATCCTCGCCGAGGGTGAGTTTTAGGCATCAGCGCGGCAGGCAGAAGTTCGAAGACGCTCGAGTCTGGCTGGCAGAAGAGTTTCGATAGCATATATGCTGACCCGACCATGCTGCCATCCCTCCACCTGGTGCCACCCGATCAGCTGGCAAGCTCGTGCCCATGGGTTTCACGACAGCTACAGAGTACCACGCTCGCCGTACAGAGCTCATCTCCATTACAACTGGTAGCAAGAATCTCGACAATGTCCTCGGCGGAGGCATGGAAACGGGGTCCATCACTGAGCTGTTTGGAGAGTACAGGACGGGAAAGAGTCAGCTGTGCCACACATTGGCGGTGACTTGTCAGGTGGGTGTCCTCCGCTTAGATGTGACAGGCATACAACAGTCAGCCTGAAAGGTAAATGAATATTTGCGAGCCCTGCTGACGCTATTCGTTCACCAACGCGCCTCTCAGCTGCCAATTGACATGGGTGGAGGTGAAGGAAAGTGTCTGTTCATTGATACTGAGGGTACTTTCGTGAGTAGCAGAAGCGCTCATCTGAGTCCCCCAAGCTCACAGCTGACCATTGCTCCCCTTGCTGTACTCAGCGACCTGTTCGACTGCTCGCGGTGGCTGAGCGCTATGGTCTCAATGGAGAGGAAGTGCTAGACAATGTGGCCTACGCCCGCGCCTACAATGCCGAGCACCAGATGCAACTCCTGATGCAGGCGTCTGCCATGATGGCCGAGTCCCGCTTTTCTCTCCTCATCGTCGACTCGCTCACCTCGCTCTACCGAACGGACTACAATGGGAGAGGAGAGTTGAGCGCGAGGCAGAGTCACCTTGCCAAGTATCTGAGGATGTTGATGAGGCTCGCGGATGAGTTCGGAGTTGCGGTCGTGATCACCAATCAGGTCGTTGCGCAAGTGGACGCGGGAGCCTTCGGTGGTGGTGGTGACACGAAGAAGCCCATCGGAGGTAACATTGTGGCACACGCTTCGACGACGAGGTGAGTAGTCCTTGTCCTCCGAGGCATGCTGAAGCATATGCTGCTTGTCTGACCACAAAGTCCTATCTTCCTCTGCTCATCTCCTCTCAGATTGTCCTTCCGTAAAGGCCGAGGAACCCAGCGTATCGTCAAAGTCATCGACTCGCCCTGTCTGCCCGAGGCAGAGGCCGTCTTTGCCATTGGCCCCGAGGGCATCACCGACCCCATCGACTAATCGACGACAGAAGATAGAGACCCAGAGCGAGAGGGTGGGAGAGGGGCGGAGCAGGCTGCGTTGGCGCGCCGGTGGGATTTTTGGTCGTGTCAACTATTGTACAACATTCTGTCTACATATGCATCTTTAGTCTCTTGTTCTCATCGTAGTGAAGCCTTGCCTCAGCTACTCTAGCCCTAGTCTAGACTAAGGCTGTCGCTGCCCCTTCCGCTTCCGCTTACGACTCTACCTGCTTCTTGGTGCTCTGCTAAGTCCTCCGGCGGAAGGGGAGCCATGGGCAGCCAGTTCAGTAGGCCCGACACGGGTTCCCGATCTAACGGGGTGGGAGTTGTTGTGCTGCGGAAGATGGTAGGATTTGGGTAGAGCTGTGTGGGACAGGTGGAGCAAAGTGGGGGACGGAGGAACTTGGAATGAGCGCCAAACCCCTTACTTTTTTTTGTCCTTTCTGACATAGACCAACTCACTCTAGCAATGACTTTTCCTCGAAGACAACCCATCGGCACAGGTCCATAATCGCGCGAATCTGTAGAGTTGTGTAAATTGTCACCGGCGAGCCAAACGTGACCTGGTGGAACGGTAAAGTAGCCGTCTTCGTCCTCTTCCTCGTCTCCGGTGTCTTCTTGGCTTGCTGTGCTGGGTAAGGCTACGCTCGCCTGAGTAACGCTCCGGGCGGTTTCTATCACTGGCAAGGGTGACAGTCTACTGCTCCTGCTACTGCTACTGGCACCTGCACCTCGCCCCTTCTCCTCTTCAAATATCCTCATCCCAGCCCTCGTCATCCTCCTCTTCTCTCCCGGTCTAGGATCCACCAAGACTCGATCTCCAGGTAAGCCCAGTATGCGTTTACAGACTTGTTTCTGTGGATCATGGGGACCGGCAGAGACGACAATGTCTCCTATGGAGAGGGGCAGATTGCATGTTCTCCGCGAGAGGGATTTGGATGAAGAGAGGGTGAAGCCTTCTGAAGAGGCATAGGAGTCCCCTGTTTCACTCTTCGACCAGGGCAATTTCCCCACTGCCTCCCTGTAGACTTGCAAGAAGGGCAGCCTGACATAGAATAGCAATCCCGTATCTGCCGCGAGCGTAGGGAGCATCGAGGGGCCAGTGCACATGCCGGCTTCGCCAATGTGGATAGTGGCGAGGTAACTTATGGCTATGACTTGGACGGTGCCGAGGAGGATACGACGGAGGCGCTGAAAGTCTTGCGAAGAGGGACGACGGAGGAGATGCTGCAGCCGGGGGCGGGAGCGGGGAAAGCGAGAGAGGAGGGGCATGCTGGGCAAGTCTGGCGTAGCCCGAGCAAGAGGATTTCAGCGTTTGCCTCTTCTAGCTGGCTGGGTAATTGCTGCGGCTCAAGGCAATGGATGACTTCTCTCCTCGTCTGTACGAAGTGGTTTTCAGCGGCAAAGCTCTAGCCCCACCCACGCCTCGCTGCTGCTCCTCGTCGTCCTTTTCCGCTGATTGATCGGTCAGAGTCGAGTGGAGCGCCGCCTGGGCCAACTTGATTTTTCTCCTGCGTCTGCCTCCGCTTCGCCTCGCCTGACTTATCCAATCCATTCCAGTCCTTCCTATCAAGCCTCCACTCCTGCGACCTTTACTTTACTACTCCAGCTTCCTTACTTCCGTAGGCTAGGCTACCTCCATACACTCAGCAGTAAAGTCCACCAGGCTCACCCATCAACATGTCCGGAGCATCCCAACGAATCATCCCTCTCCTGGCCGCCGCCGCCCTAGGCATGGTCAGCGGAGCCTACATCTTCGATCCAATCCTGCGACAGTACGCCGAGGATACCAATGGCACTTTCCGTCCAGAGGACGCTACTTCCTCCTCCCCCTCCTCCTCCTCCTCCTCCTCTTCTTCTTCTTCTTCGAGCGGTAGCTCAGCAGCAGCGGGAGTAGGAGGAACGGGGACAGGTCCAGCACAAAGTTTCACCTCGTCAGGTGAAGCTCGCGAGCCTTCTTCAGGCGGGGTAGGGAATGCATCTGTCCTCTCATCTCTTCAACAAGCCTCTTCTTCTTCCTCTCCCTCCTCTTCCAACTCTATCTTAAGTTTTTTCAAGGGAGGTAGTGGAGGAGGAGTAGGAGGAGGGGAGGGAGGAGCTCAATCTAGAGCGGAAAAGCAGCGTGAACTTGCAGTGAGCAATGCGAGTGCTAGAGCCGTTGAGGCTGCTCAGGCACGGGCGAGGAAAACTGGAGAGGGAGAAGTGTTTACTTTGGGGAAGGAGCGGTGAGGAGGATGTGAAAGGGAAGGAGGAAAAGATGGGAAGGCGGTTCTTGGCATCGAATGATATGCAAGCGTTGTGTGAGATGAAACAGAGGAGGATGTGAGTCTAGGAGAGAAGAGCGCGTATACCTCGCGAATGGGCTGCACCTCTTACTCTGCCCTTTTCCTAGCGTGGTCCAGATTCAGAGCGGCATAGATCTCGCTGCCTGTTTTCCCCTCCCTCTGTGGGAGACGTCAACGCTCTGTCACTATTCAACTCAGCCTCTTCGTATGCTATGCAATGTACTATATGATATTAGACGACCACACACACGCGGCGCCTCCTCTTCTTAGAATCTCCTCCTCGCACCTCTCCCAACCACCCCTCCACCTCTTCCGGAAGGGCCCAAAGGCGGCACCACTCCTGCTCCTCTCCCAGCAGCCCACCCTCCCGGTGCTCCAGCTGGACCCATGCCCGGTCCTGCTGCTCCTCCTGCCATACCAGGCGCACCAAGTACACCTGGTGCAGGCGCAGCAATGTTGCTGCTTCTGACTGCCTCCATGACCTGTTCGGCGGGGAGTCTAGGTCCGTCGAATGAGCGTGCATTGGGCAAAAGGGAAAGGAAATAGAGGATTCCATCTGCGAGGGAGGGGAGAGGTGGGGGTGTACCGAATTGCTGCTGCTGCTGCTGTTGTGGCTGGAATCCGTTGCTCGGTCCTCCACTGCCCGCTGCGGGGAAGACGGCTCCTTGTGGAGGGAGAGAGCTCCTGCTGCCTGCTGCTGGTGGTCCAGCAGGAGGGGTAGCGCCCAAACCCATTCCCCTCCTCTTATTAGCTCCATCATCACCCGCCTCTCTTCCGCGCTTGAGGTCATTGTTGCCCTCTTCGCGCTTCGTTGTCGACACGGCAGCAGCAGCAGCGACTGCCTTTGCCGTAATGGCAGCATCGCCGGCTGCTGCTGCCGAAATTGCACTGGCAGGCGCTACTTCGCTGTTCGCTGCTAGCACCGCCCGCTCAGCAGCTGTAGCTCCACCCTTTTCTCCAAGCCGCTCCTCTCCCAAATCCCTGAGCCCTATCACCTCCAAATCGCCATAGGCAGAACGATCTCGCAGCCGCTTCAGGGGCGACTCTTCAGGGTACATTTCTGCCAGACGCGCCTCGAGCTTGCGAATCGAGGTAGAGTCCCCAAACGTGTACTCGTACGACGCCCAGCGCGACCATAGCGGGCGAGCTCGATTCGGCGGGAAGGAAGGGAGCGTCCGTTCGAAGAGAGAGCGTGCATTGTTCTCGTCGTTGATGGAGATGAGAAAGTCCAAGTATCGCACCACAAAAGCCTCATCGCTGCCAAAGGTCTTGAGAGCCAATTCGAAGACCTTTGTAGCGACGTTGGCGTCCTTGGAGCAGTGGTACTCCATCAGTGCGCTGGCTTCGTAGATCTGCCAGGTGACGTGAGGCGACCTTCGAGCCTTGGAGAAGATGGCTCTGGTGGGTCGCAGACCCTCTGTTCTCCTCACAAAGTGCATCCAACGGATCCAGACCAGCGAGGCCTCTTCCTTCAGCGAATCAATGCGAGGCTTCATTGTCGCTCGCAACGCTTCCTTTTGAGCATCTCGGGCCTCCTCGAGCTTGCGCTCCTCCTCCCTCTCTTCACCTTCCAGCTCGTCTGCATCTCCTGCATCGCGCTTTGCGGCCAAGACCTGTGATCGGGCAGCTGCAGCTGAGACGTCGATCGAAGAGAGAGATGCTTCCAGCTCGGCTTCGAGAGCCTCAATCTGCGAGTGAGTATGACTGAGCAGGGCTTCGAAGACTGCCGAGCAATCCGACGTGACGCCTCGAGTCTCGCAGGACTCTGTATATGCAAAGGACAGAAGATAGCTGTACGTAGGGTTGAGGGAAGGAAAGTCAGATCACAGAAGCCTTTGCGTGCTCGAAGCAGTAAGTCAGACCTACTCACCTGCCGGGGCATGCCTTCATACCATCCTTCAGCCATTGCACACTCTCTTCTGTCCTTCCGCAGCTCTCAGCCCAACGGCTCGCCATCCACCAGACTTCGCTGTTGAACCTCATGTGCATGGTAGCCTTAGCGTACGCAACTTCAACCCGTTTCCGCAACACTTCGTTCGTGCCAGGGGCAGCTCCCTCCCCTTCACCCAGCTCCAGCGGATCGCTTTCCTCCCATTGCAGGTAAGCCTTCCACGCCTCGAGCCGTTCGCGGTCTCGAGAGAGGTCTGCTGAGGTAGGTGGAGGGGCCGTAGCAGTGGTGACCCATGCAGGGAGGCGAGGAAGCAAGGGACGATGGAGGTGGTCGACCAGGTGACGCATTTCGCGCAAAGCGCTACGAGCTGTCATGTACGCGGCTGATCGCTCTGCGAGGAACTTTTTGGCCTGGGAACGTCAACAGCAAAGGGGTGGAAGAAAAGTCTGTCAGCTCACTCGCTCCGTGCATCAAGCGCTCTCTTCTTGACGGCTGCCTCACCGTAACTCTGTTCAAGCCATTCTCGAATTGATCATACTCCCTCCAGATGGCTTCAACATTTGCAAGAGGGATCCCAACCACCCTCTGGTAGATCTTCCTCAGATCGTCCATCTTCTGCCCACTCTGCCAGGGCGTCTTGGCTTCACGATCCTTGATGAACTTGATGTACTCGCCCCAGATCTCTCCAGCATCTCGACTCATGCCCACATGGCGAGTTGCAAACTCATATGCTTCCTCGATCAGACGCCGTACGCGCCCACGTTCGCCTTCCTCGTCTCCAGATCCGCTAGGGGCAGGAAGCGGATTGACTCTGCGGGTGTAGGAAAGATAACTTTTCCAAAGCGACACGGACGGGGTACTCCGCAGGCAGCGAGTGAAGAGCGCTTCTACTTGCTGAAAGTTGGAGAGAGAGAGCTCCAGGTCGATGTAAGCCAGCCACTGTCTCGCCGCGCAGGGGTATACCTCCAAAAACTTGTCGTATGTCGAGCGGACATCATCAATCGTCCACGTAGGGTCACCTTCTGCCAGTCGTGACTCAGAGTCAGCCAGCAGAGTAAGCCAGGCTTCCGAATCTCGCGGCTCCTTCTCTAAACGAGCCAGCAGGTGGGCTCGACGGGCAGCAGGTGTCGAAAGATCAGGTTGTGGAGCAGAAGAGGACTGTAGAGCACCGTTGCTTTGTTGAGCTTGGATTTGAGCAAGGAATGCATCGACTTGATCGCGAGCTTCTGCCTTTTGAGATAGCGGCTGTAGAGGAGCAGTCTTTGAATCGGCTTGAGGCTGGGGAGGCGAGACTGCAGCTTCGGCTTTGATGATCTCGGACGTGGGCTCAATGATTGCCTCAGTGACCGTCTCTTCTTGCGGCTGAGCTTGACCAGTCTGCTGCTGCTGCTGCTGCTGCTGCTGCTGTTCTTGTGCGGCCTCTTCCTCGCCATCGCTCTCTTCCATGGCCTCTCCATCGGCATCATCGTCCTCCTCTCCGCCAGTCTGCACTTCCTGCGTGCCATCGGTGACTGCTGCTGAGACGGTGGAGGGGCCTTGTTCCTGAGTGGTATCGCCGTTTGGCCCGCTCGTTGCTTCTGTCACTGCTGGCTTGACTTCTTCCTCCTGTTCGCCCTCTTGCTTTTGCTGTGTCTGCTCCTCTCCGTCAACGCCGTCGTCGTCTTCATCGTCATCCCCTTCGGCGTCTGCATCACCTTCCACATTCTCCTCTCCATCCACATCGTCGTCCTCATCATCGGCGGCAGGGGCGGTCTGCGGGAGCTCAGTGCCGTCTACATCGTTTGCCTCCGAAGATGACACTAGCTCATCTGTAGAATGCAGGGCAGACTGACTGTCACTGCTCCCTTGCTGTGAGGCTGCTGCCTCCGTCTCCAATGCCTGAGCGGCCCTCTGCTTTGCCTCCTTCTCCTGCTTCAAAGCCGCCATGCGAGCCAGACGAGGATCCATTGCTTGTGATCAGACGAAGGAGACGTCAATGCAAAGAGGGACTCGCCAAGGGGCCGCACTCAGACGAGGTAGTAGTAGCACGCAGGGAAAGAAGCAGTGCGAATTTCCCACTCTAGATCACAAGGACAGTGAGATGGATCTGTGGCTGTCTCAGACGGGATGTGGCAGACTTCACACCCTTGGCATGTAGATTGCGTCGTTGCTCTAATAAGGAAGGAAGAGAAGAAGGTTGCGGGATGGAAGAGGAGAGAGTTATGGTCCGATGAAGGAGAAGGAGTTGAGAAGGTCTGAATCTACCTAGGCAGCGTGGATGGAGATGTGCTGCCTCTGCTCTGCCTCCGCGCGCGAGGCTGGCCTGGCCCAAGCTCAGATGCGGGAGCACCATTGCCGATACCGAAACACAGCAGCAGCAACACAAGCAACAGACAACAACAACAGCAGGCGACAGCATCAACAACCTTCTTCCCTACCACAAACCTTGTCGTCTTCATACACTAACTCATCATCGTCTTCACTGCCGTTCCTCTGCTACTGTACCATTTCAGGCGCGCCAAAGCAATTGCTCCCACTGCTTCTCACCTCAGAGCTACACGTCACCTCGCTCAGCCCAGCGCCCCCGGTCTGCTAATTCACAATGGTCTGGCTCAATGACCAACAAAGTGAGTAGGACGATCTTACCTAGTGAGGTAATCCTCACCTTCGAGAGCTGATCTCGTTCCCTCACTCCTTTTCTGCAGAAATCGGCGTCGGCCTCGTCTCAATAGGTTCCCTCTTCCTCATCCTCGGCATCATCCTCTTCTTCGATGCCGCCCTCCTCGCCCTAGGAAATGTCCTCTTCACATCAGGCATCACCCTCCTCATCGGTCCTCAAAAGACCTTTTACTTTTTCGCAAGGAAACAAAAGATTAGAGGAAGCATCTGCTTCTTCACGGGGATGATACTGGTCTTTTGTAGATGGACCTTCGTGGGGATGCTAGTGGAGATGTTTGGATTCTTGAACCTCTTTGGGTGAGTAAGAAGAAGGGGAAGCGAGCCCTCCCGCAATTAAAAGACTCGGGTGGCAATGTAAAGTAACCCTTTCTCCCCTTTCAAAATCCCTCACAGTGACTTCTTCCCCGTGATTCTAAACTTCCTACGCCAACTCCCCTTCATCGGACCACTGCTCAATGCACCGGGGGTAAGAGCCGTTCTGGACAGGCTGGCGGGATCCAGGACATCAGCCGTCTGAGCCGAGCGATAGGATCAATGTGTAAATCGATGAGAGAGCAAAAGCGAAATAAGAAAAGGACGTGGATCGTACCGGTCAGTGGGCCACTGCCGAGCTTTCAGGAAGAAGGGGGGGAGCGTCAGACGAGGCCCGGCAGACCGGATTTGAAGGGCTGCAAAAGATCGCTGCTGCCATCGACCAGGACAAATCAGCCGAGGAGGGTGGGTCGTCAAAGGAAGATCCCAAGCCGCTCCGCTGTACCATTCTATCGCACCTTTTTACCTGCCCTGAATCGGAATCATATCATAGAGACACTTGGCGCCTAACACCTACCGCATCGCCTGTGAGCCCATCGCGTTGAAATGTCATCGCTCTCTGTCCAAAACTCGTGCAACATCATATCAAAAAGAGGCAGAGGCAAGAGTAGGCAGGACAAGGACACTCTGGTATTATGCTAAATTGTCTTCTTCGACCAATAAAGGGGGGAAAGCGCCAGCGCTCTTTCGTCCGAGTCTCTCTCTCTCTCTCTTTCTCTGTGTACAATTATGCGCCCGCTTCCAGTGTGACGTTTGACAGTGGACCTGATGCGAGGGTTGCCCACCTCCTCCCTCTGGAACCTGGAAGATTCCTGTCCCTTTCCTGACAAGCAGCTCATGATCTTCAAGCTCCAACTCGGAAGGATCTCCCGCCTCTGTGTCGCTCCTCCCCTTCCACGTCCTCCTCTAGATCATGTTCGCCTTCGCACCACCACCCGCCCCTGCCCCTCCAGGAGCAGTACTCCCCCCCGCTCTCCTAGGAGGGAACTGCATTCTTCCAAGTCCAGACTTGCCCGCTCCTTCTACTGCGCCCCCTCCACTACCGCCTGGTGGTGTGGTGACCGTAGCACTCGCAGCGCCCATGCCTCTGCGATCCCTCAGGGAGAGCCCAGGCCCGGGAAGCACATCGGCGCCTCTGTTCATCTCAACCTCGTTGATCGAGCCGGAGCCGGAGCGTACGGCTTGCTGCTGCTGCTGCTGCTGTAGTGAGTTGACGGCGGGACCAGAGGCGACTATGCTCGGCTCGGAGCCTCGTGTGACTCCAGTCCCTCCACTGGCGCTGCTCAGGGCATTACCGCGAAAGGGACTCGCCACGGGAGGGAGCGAGTGCGGCGGGGTGGTCGGGCTGAGACCCACGCCTAGCGGACCTGCGGTGAGATCCACTGGGGTAGTGAGGGGTCCCCCACTTGCTCCTCTGGCCATTGGAAAGCCGTTGGAGCTGCCACTGTCTCCTGTTCTCATCGAGTAAGGGCCCGGGGCACCACGAAGCGCGGCACCGTGCATGGCGTGAGCGTTCCGCATGGCGTTCTCCTCGTCTGTGGTGCCGTCTTCGCTGTAGGTGTACTGATGACCGGCTCCATCGTCGAATCCAGAAGAGTCTTCCTCTTCCTCTTCTTCACCAATTTCGAACTCTTCCTCCTCGTTCTCCAGAGAAACCTCGAATTGGGTAATCTGAGGAAGGTATGAGGAGGCTGCGAGATCGAGGTAATAGAGGTCGTCGAAGATTTCTCTTCCATCAAAGCCGCCGTGAATGAACAGCCGAGAGTCCTTGAGCCACGCTTGATGATACCCTCTACCTGCAGGTGGCTTGCCACAGGCTCTCCTCGACTCCCATTGCAGGTTGACCAGATTGAGGGTCATGAGCTCGCCGGTGTACTCGTTGGAATCGTGACCTCCAAAGACGAATAGGTATGACCCCACCTGGGTAGAGGTGTGACCTAGGCGATTGTGTCTTTCATCCGTCTTGACTTGGTACCAGGTAGGATTCAGATGACCACTTGCACCCAGTGTCAGAGCTCCGTCCAACTTCAGCACATGAATGTCGTTGAAGCTCATATGACCATCTGAACCTCCAATGATGATCAATTTGTCATCCACGATGTTGCCTGAGTGGTAACCCCGGCCAACAGGCACCTTTCCTGCGCATTCCATCTTCTTCCATTCAAGCCGATCTGGATCTCTCACATCCAGCAGCCAGATATCATTGAGGCCTCCGACACCATTGCCGCCTCCAAAGATGACAATATGCCCGTTCCAGTAATTCGCGGTATGTGCTCGCCTCGGAGGCGGCAAAGCCCCGTAGACATCAGGCTTCGTCCACTTTAATGCGACAATGTCGAAGACGTACAGATCTTGAAAGTAATGAGGTCCGTCGCCTCCAGCGAAGACGTAGAGACGTTTGTCTACGACTGTGGTCGAATGAGCTCGCCGCGGTGTGGGACAGTCTCCTGTCACTTTTGGTCGCGACCAGCACATGGTCTCGATATCGAAGCACCACAGTGAGCTGAAGCAGCCTCTCGAATCGCATCCCCCGAACAACCACATGGTATCGTCACATAAAGTCGCGGTATGCGCTCGGAAGCTGCGCTTAGGTACCGCGCCGTGGACTGGTGCTCGAGACCAGTACATGAGCGGTGGAGGTGCCGGCGCTACAGGCGCAGAGGGAAAGTTGGGCTTGAGGAGACGTTGGGAGCTGGTGCGGCCAGACTCGCCTTTGCCAGTATGCCGTGATGAGCCCTTGTCCCGCCGGGAAGAGGCCGCAAGTCTCTGCTCGCTGCGATCTTTGCTGCTTGTCGTAGTACTTTCATTCCGTGGTCTTGTAATGGTTGCGCCAGAAGGAGACATGGAGGAGGCTGGGCCAGCTTCTGTGGGTGCTCGGCGAGGCCAGTGAGCAGCGATGCTCTGACCGCTCACCACGGGACGGTTTCCAGACGATCCACTCCTTGATACACCATTGGCCTGAGACAGCGCGACGCTTTCAGGCCCCTTCTCGATCATGCTAGTAGTGTAGTCTGCGGAGCGATTGATGCGGCTTTCCGCCGAATCTTGACTGGTCCGCAGATTGTTGTGCAAAGCGGTACTGCCGCCCGCTTCACCCGACAGGGTCGTATCCTTGGTCTTGGTTTCGACGTTGTCTTCTGCCTCCTCACTAACACGGTCAATGTTGGATGTGTCTGCGCTGGTTAGTCTCGACATCGCAGCGGAAGGAGCGGACTCCGAGCGGAAGCCACCGAAAGAGTCCTTGTGTGAGAGTGATGAGCCATCGAATGTCCGCTTGAGCGCTGGCAGATCCTGACTGACGAATAAAGCCCGGTCAGTGTCGTGTGTATCCGACTGTGCTAGAGGGGCAGCGCCGTTGTGCTGTGGTCTTGTGATCGATGGACCTGCCCCGAGCTGCGAAGTACCGCTGTCTGTGCTGTTCTGCCCGGTCGTGTCTTGCGACAAAGCAGAGCTGTTGAGCTTCCGGAGTGAATCATTCTGAGAGGCTGCTGAAGAACGCCGAGTGTTCGCGTTGAATGAAGGAGAGCCAACGCCAGTGGTCTCGTAGCTCATGCTGGTACCCTCTTCGTCTGTTTTGGGCAGGCGATACCCGCTGGCGCTGACAGGGTCAATGAACGCTGAAAGAGGGATCAAGGGCTTCTTGGAAGGTGATGCCGATGAGAGGGAATCAATTGAGGGGCGACGAAGGCCACCAGCACGGAAAGGAGGAGGCAGGGGCTTCAGGAGGCCGTCAGCAGGAGGTGGGGCTGGCGTGTCTTCGTCGCCTTCCTGGTCCTTTTCCTTGTAGCTCGAAGGCGGACTTGCGATGGAGCGGTGGCCAGAAGACGGTCTGCGCTCGTTGACGCGAGGGCTGGAAGCAGAGCTGCCTCTCACGGGCTTCAGAGGGCCTAGCTCGTCCACACAGGTAGTGAGGGGCTGGCGGGTAGTAGGTGGGCTTCTGGCGCCAGTGTGGTATAACGAGGGAGAGTGAAAGGCGCGTTGGCGAGGTGATTGTTCTTCGTAGTCGTTACGAAGTGAGGGAGAAGTACATGGTGTAGGGGATCCGGTCTTCTTGGTGGAAAGGGCCGGGATGGACGTGGGGACGTCGAGATGTGAACAGTTGGATGTGGTGGGCAGCGGAGATGAGAGGGTGGTGATCGGGGCGGCAGGCGTCGATGCCACCGGATTCCCGGGCGGCGCGTGCGTCAGCGGGGTCGACTGAGACTGGGACCGTGGCTGAGACTCGTCTGGCACATCGCGCGCCCATCGCGACGCCCAAGTAGACAACGATGGTGATGAAGGCCGACGTGGTGATGGTGAGGCGCCCCGATTACTCGCAATCACAGTCGCAGTCGCAGAGACGGATCCACTGCGGAGCCTGGGCGTTTGCTGGGCAGAGCTGCGTCTGTAACGCAACGCGCCATCTACGACGCTCCTTTGTTCCTCGCTTCCGCCCTGATAGGCCCCCGCTGCTTCCTCTGACACGGCAGAGGCATCGAAGGAGCGCTGACGCCCGAGATTGCCCAACAGAATTGTTGAACGCGTAGGGCTTCCGAGCATCGTCGAACGACCGGCCGAGGATGCTTGAGCTCTGGAAGAGGAGCTCCACGTATTGTTTGCAGATGGCGAGGACGACAAATGCTGGGAGAAAGCCATGCCGCTCTTGAGCGAATTGCTGCTGTTGCTCTCGGATCTCGGCTTCTGAGAGCGCGGGGCAGGCTTCAGAGGTGCTGTACCATCGCTGCCTGCAGGAGGCGGACGAGCCCACTCTGCTCCAGATACACGCATGGCGTAGAAGTATTCTTCGGCGGCTGCAGCGGCAGCGGCTCGACTCGCAGCCTTGGGATCGATGGGGCCCTCGGACTCGGGAGTAAGATCTGCGAGCTGACCTGCACGTCGCACGATGGTGGTGGAGGATGGAACCTTGCGTTCATCTTCGTGAGGAGACGAGGGCGTGCCAGGCCGCGGCGAGGCTGGAAGCGAGGATTCGGGAGGAGTGGGCGGCGAGGACTGGCCAGACAAGCCTCCTAGGAAGGAGCCTGTACGGATCGCGCCGCTGGTCAGAGGTCCTTTTCGAAGAGGTCTGGCTCGCCATGAGGAGAGCGTAGAGGTCGACGCAGCTGCTGATCCGCTTGACGGAGAGGCCGGCGGTAGAGACGAGCCCCCGAAGGACGGGCGAGTGGGAGAGGCAGGCATGACAACGCTAGTGTGGTGGGGATAGCGGGACAGAACACGGAGCGTGGCAGCGGGAGATGACAATGCCTGCCACTGGTAGGAGTGGTCCAGGGAGACGACAAGAATCAGAATCAATGAATGGATATGCACAGGCAGGCGTGGGGATGATCTCTAGGCCTTGGAGGACCACGAGGAGCCCGTGTCGCTTCTAGACTAGTTGCTCCGCTCCACGGGCAGTGGGAAAAGAAGCAGGAAGTGTTTAGCGAGCGTCGGGGCCAGAACCTAGGCGGAACAGTAGCATGTCCGATGTGACGCCGGGTGTATGCAGCAACGCTCGGCCTTCTCCTCCTCCTTCACCTCTCTCTCTCCCCCCACGTCGTTGATTCAGTGCTGCAGGTGGGCCGATGGTGTGTCCCGCATCTGAGCTGCCAAGGGTGAAATCTAGGTTTGGCGGCATTCCTCACTTCCGCACTTCCGCCACACTTGCGCCTACAAAGCCCGCCCAGCCACGGGCTGGGTATTTTTGGGCGGGCAAACGGGAGAATGCAGACAGAGGGGAGGCAGCCACGCCCTCCATCCTCCAGCCATGACTGCCATGACAGGACGTGCTGGCTATTGAAAGCGACAGTGCCGCTAGAATGAAGTTCATTCACACTCATCCCTCAGAAAACCGCATGGAAGGTCACGAGGTATCTTTGTCTGTGTACTCAAGTGGATGGTTGGAGGTCTGGATCTTTCGCGTCGCCCTAGCCGTCATGATGTGGATATGTGAGGGATGAGCAGTAGCAAACGGTGCTGCCGCAGAGATCAGACATACTCAGAAGAGCGGTAGCATACAGGCACATCCTTCCCAAGATTCCTGTAGGCGCCGTCTCGCGGATGGAGCGATCAGTGTGAGGGAAGATTTGGCAGTGGCATATATCCACGCCCTAAGGCGGTAATGTTTATGTGCATCGGGACGACTTGGACTGTGCAAAGCAACTTTCTACTCGGTTGATCCTTGGTGGCGTCGATGAAGCCACTGTCCCACTGTGGTGGCTAGGCCAGCTTGACCTGTTGCCGCCCAGCTCAGACCTGTCCAGCTTGCTTTCCCCCCTCCTTTCGGGCGTAGGCGCGTCTTCGGCGCCTCGTCCGCCGGGCGGCCGGAGGTAGGATGCCGTTCCGCGTGTGATTGTGTCATGGCCCGCGGCCCTCGCGCCAAAGCTCCACTCACCACCACCACCCGCACCACGACCACGACTGCCGCTTCCGCCTTGCAGGGCATGAGCACGTCCCCGAGTCAGTTCAGACCCTCATCGTTCCTGCTTAGCTGCTTCACATTCCACTCGCTCCCCATCGAAGCAACAGGACCATCGGCGCGGCGGCAAGCCACTGCCAGATCAAGTTGCTCTGCCTCTGCCCTGCCTCATGGTTTGAACAGCTCGCTCAGCTCGACTCAGCATTGCTTGCTGCGCACGCTAGCTACCGAAAGACCCTTGCTAGCCAGCCTAGATTTACACATATAGAATGCAGGCAGGGTTGCCTCTGCATCACATACCACGTTTGTAGCCTATACGGCCTGCAGTAGGAGCTCGCCATGTCTTCGCTCCTCCCTTTCCACTTTGGGCATCGGTCAGCATACTTTGCCGTCGAGGTCACCTTACACGAGCTTCAAGATGTTCCACTAATATCAGGGCGCTTTCAGGCCAAGTGGAGAGTCAGGAATCCTCATCAGTACTCTGCTCATCTCTCTTACACTAGCGGAGGCGGCGCGGGTAGTGGGACCTCTACACCAGCCGGCTCACAACTCGCCAGAATCTTTCACAAGGACATCCAGGAGGCTGGAAAGCAGACTGACCAGCACGGAGATGACCACTCTGTCCATTCACGGCAGGACGACGCTTCCTCGGGCATCTACAATGATGAAGAGGCCCACGGGGCACATCAGTCCTCCTCGAATTTCCTCTCAGGCATATTCCATCGTCGCCAGCGTAAAGAACAACAGCACCCTGACAGCCCCCATCACTCTACGGGAGCTCCCGGGCGAAGCTCCTTTGACACCGAGCAAAGCGGCTCACCACGGAAGGATACCTCGACGGGGCGGTCTAGAGAAATTCAGCACGGCAACAACCAACATCTCAGTGACGCAGCCAGTGGTAGTATGATACCAAGTAACTTTCATGCTGAGCCCAGGGGCGCAAGTGAATGGGAGGAAGTTGATGAGCACTCTGTCAAGTGGGGACGAAGCTTTCATTCCGGCATTCGAGTAGCCATAGACAAGACCAAGGCTGGGGCTCAACAACCGCAAGGCTCCAGTGCGGACTCAGGATACGACAGCAAGGGTCTGCGTAGCCGGTCTTCTCATCGTGATCTGCGTTCGCAAGAGGATAAGGAGGAGCCGGCTCTGTGGGGACTGCTGGGCAACTCCGAGCTCAAGGTGACCATACGACAGGATGTTCAAACAGATTCGCATAGCTCCAGCGATGCAGCGCCGTTGGGTGTAGTCGTCCTCAATCTTGCAGAGTATGCTCCCTGCCCACAAACGGCAGCACACACGCACCTGCCCCATCAGCATCACAGCCACGATCACCATCATTCTCATCATCACCATCAGCATCATCATCATCACCATCAGCACAACCACCAGCATAGCCAGCACTCTACCAGCACTCTGCCACCCCCTCTTCCACAATTGCGACGACAGGAGACGCGGCGGTATCTTCTGCAAGAAAGCAAGACAAATGCCAGTCTAAAAATCAGCATCAAGATCACGCACATAGGGGGATCGCGCGAGTACACTGTCCCGCCCATCAGACGTGGACTGGTGATGGGGGGACTGAGGTCGGAATCAGAGCAGCTCCTTAAGCACTCTCGAGGCAATGACTCCGAGAGTGAGCAGAGTGGCTCGCACAATGAGTCCAAGACACTCCAGCGGGAGCCCTCTTCGGCCTCAATACGCCATTTCTCTGATAGAAGAAGTCAAAAGGAGAGCTCAACCCTCGATAAGCTTGCTGCTGGTAGCAAGTCGACACGCATCCCGTCCAAGAACCTGAAGAATGGTGGGTCAAAGAAGGAAAGGTATGTTTCTCATCATTCTTCTAGTACCGCACCAGTCTCTTCCTGGAATGCACTGTCTGTCTCTGGCAAGGGCAGGAAGCGTGCTCAACTACAGAGCTTGGCTTTTGCATTTTCTGGATCGGGCAATTGGGAAAGAGATCCCTCCGAGGTGATCGACGCAATCTTTGCAGCGCACACGACAGCAGATGGCAAGTCCGCAGGTGAGCCAAGGAAGCCCAAAAGCAAACCGACGGGTCTCTCTGCGGAGCCTATGCATAGGTCCTCGTCTCAGTACAGCCATCGCAGCACGTCCACCCATGGCAATGACAAGGCATCTCTTGCATCGCGGCGGCAGAGCGGCGGCAGTATCATCAGGCCTCTTGTGACCAAGAGTCTGAGCTCGTCTCCTAGCACCTCGCTTGCCCAGCTCTCGCCCATCAAGAGGCTGAGGCCGAGCACCACGAGCTCAGTCGCTTCTTCCAGTGCCGCCCCTCCCAGTCCTTCTCTTCGGCCGGACGCAAAGGAAGAGTCCGGCACTGCTACTCCAGAGCGCTCGCAGCAGCGAATCAAGTGGGATACCCGTCAAACCGATGCAAGTCCAGCACCAGACGGAAGCTCTAGCGCGATGGCGAATGCATCAGACTCACCCGGACCACATCGCAGAGCAAGCGACGACGCATTGGCCAGCCGAGGGGATGGGGATCGCAATCGGCCCACGTCTGCCTCTGCCCAGTCTTCTCCGCTACAGCGTCGTTCAGCGCTATCCAAGGACTCGAGTGATGGCTCCTTTTCTGGCTCCACGCCGGATGCCTTGTCTCCGTCCGCGTCGACTATCATGCAGGATGAGGCTACACCGATGCCGTCCAGGGTGACCAGTGTGGCACTAGCCAAATACAGGCAGGGTCTGCAAGCAGGCAAAGGAGATCAAGAAACAGATGACGGAGGAAGCGAGGCGGGTGAGACGGTTGTTGGGCAAGACTCGAGACCAGGGCGAATCAAGAAGAAGAAGAGCAAAGGCTTGATTGGTATCAGACCTAGTGATGCAGAGAAGATGGGGTTCAAGGGAGCGGGATGGAAGAGTAGCGGCCTCAGAGTCGGGTTTGCGCTCGGAGACAACGACGACGTTAGCAGAGGTCGCTGGGCAAAGAGCTCTGCGCCTGCTATCCCTGAAAGGGACGAGTCCCCCAAAGGCACCAAAGACGAGGAGAGCGCTCAGGAGAAGCAAGAGCGGAGATCGCCGCCTTCGCCACGAGGAGGGGGGCGGATGGATGATGCACGAGAGGCAGGAGAGGAAGAAGAGCCAGACTCGCCAGTCCTGGCTCTGAGGTCTTCTCTTTCACCCTACGTCGAAGCACGGCTGGGTCGTCCGCGTTCCAAGGTGGGTCTGCGGTCTACTTCAGTGGGCTCTACGCCCAAAGGCTTCGCCCGATCTTCCATGGAAACCGTCTCCGCCTTCTCTACCTCTGCTACTGGTGGCCCAGGACCACACGTCCTGCAGGGTCAGAATCCCTTGCCGTCGCGCATCAGCAATTCGGACAAGGACAATGACGTGCCGGCTCTCATCCCTGGAGCGGCGCCAACCAAATTTGCGCCCGAGACCGGCGATGCAGGAGAGAATGACGGTGTGGGTTACGACAGTAGGAGGAGCAGCGCTGCAACCGGCAGTGGGGCAAGTGGCAGAGCGAGCTCGTCGGAGCAACACGATGGACAAGCAGAGAAGAGCGAGACGGGTCCTGCCACCGCCTTGGCCCCCGTGCCCGTCTGGGCCGATGCACAGACGGAGCTCGAGGCCCAATTCGACAAGCGCGGCGTCTACGCTCTCCTCTCGCCTCCACCGTTGCCCCGAGCCAAATCCTATTTCAGCAAGGAGAACGCTACTGCTGCCAATGCATCGGCTGCTGGGTCATCTGCTGCGGAGAGCAAATCTCCAACTTCTTCCCTTCACTCGGGCGTTGCAATCGGAAGAGGTCGAGAGCGCGCCCTCTCGATTACTTCTGGGGCCTCAACGGCACGCAGTACCCTCCTCGATAGGCCGGATGGTGTTCCTGCACCCGCTGCCTTTGTCATTCGGCAGATGGAGGAGGAGCAGGAAAAGTTTCGATTAGAGCAACAGAAGCGGCGGGAAGAGGGTGGTTTGCAGAGCAAGAAGAAGGAGAAGGAGAAGGAGAAGAAGGAAAAGAAGGGATGGATGATGAGGGGCTGAAGCGGTGGCTCGTGGAAAGAGTTCTGATATCAATCCGTCATGTATTATTTGCTCGTAGCCTGGTCAATAGAGCATTCTTTTGCCCATTTCCGAGGAATTGTTGGAGTGCGATGGCATGATCGGATTCAGGAACTGTTTCTACTGTCCGTGTGAAGAATCGCCATCGTCCATGCCGTCCCCGAGAGCAATCCAGCAAGGTGTGTGACGCCATCCGGAAGATCCATCGCCGTGAGTCAGAATCGCATCGAGGTTGCTTTGTTCGCTCTTGTCTTGTCTCATTCACCTACTCTATCGAGTGACCTCCTTGATCCTCGCCATCTCTCGCCTTCTACTTTCAGTGACATACTCGCTCACACACACACATACACACGCACGCACACACGCAGGCACTCAATCCACCCCACTACCTCCAAGATCATGCCACCGAAGCGCAAGCGCGAACAGAGCGAGGACGGGGTACCAGAGAGCGAGCGAGGGACTGACAAGGGCAAAGGTAGCAGGAAGAAGCCGAAGCCTTTTACCCGAGGTGAGGAGGCGAGGTGTGGTCAACATGTAGACTGAGCCAGCTGCTAGAGGTGTTCTTGTCTACAGACGAGAAGATGGACGATAGCTGATGCTCGTGTCCAATCCCCTTTTCTCGCCGACTCGCCGATTCTGCAGAGGAAGACCTGATCATCATCGTGCGTCCCTTGCCCATCTGTCTTCCCCACAGTCCAAAATGTCGCACCTCCTGACAGGCTCCTCTCCCATCTCCCATTGGCAGGACTATCTCGACTCCCTCAAGAAGTTCGCCGATCTAGCACGACTGTTCCCCGATCGTGTGCCATTCTCAGTCAGACAGAGGGTAGTGTTGATCTTTGCAAAGATGAGGGGATTGGCTGGTGGTTGGTAACTGGTAACTGGAAATCGACAGGAGAATGCTAGGTGGGAAGACGAAATACAGCGAGATAGAGAGGGACATGTCGCATGGCAAGAGAAAGGTGGATGTAGACAGAATGACAGCATCGGCAATCGATCATGAGAGACCCCTTGTTCTTCTTCTCATCGTGCGACCGCTGGTCATCGTCGCCTAAGTGCCCGCACACGTCTTCATCTTCTTTGTCAAATAGTCTACCCTACACCTGAGTGAGGAATCCCTGCGGTTGGGCAGCAACTTCTTAATCCCTCGTACATCTCGATCGCGCAAGAGGTGGTTCTGGCCACAGGAAGAAGAGGAGTGGAGAGTGTTGATGGCGTCAATAGTGGTTCAGCTGAACCTAGCATCTGACACGACAGCAGCGGTGTCTACTGTGAAGGATACTCACAATGATGATTTCGTCTTCTTCTGCCGATTCAATGGATGAGTGTCATCATGTGAGCTCGACATCTGACACATTTCTCACGGATACTCGTCCTCAACAGCCTCACTACCACGCCCTCACCTTTCGTGAACGCCTGCTGTGAGCGAGCCTTCTTGCTAGGACTCTCAGAGCCACTCCTCTGCAGTGCGCTCATGCTTGGAGTCGACTTATGCTTGACGAGGGCCGACTCTGCTTTGATCTCTGTCTTGACTGTACTTGCTGAGGCGGTGATTGCGTCATCGCCCTGCTCGACGGGGCGTTTGGACGGCATTCCGACCAGGTAAGCTCACTAGGAACAGAAGTCTTGCCTGCAGGACGTGCGAGATGTCCACAGTGGTGTCCTTGTTCAGTTTGTAGTGAAGATGTAGAACAAAGGAGGTGGCTATCCACTCTGATACGCTGCGGAGTGGATATCGTATGAATCTGAGAGAGCAGGCGAGGGAAAGGGATCTCAGTGTGATCATCCACCCCCTTCAGGGCCGATGCTATCTTGCTCTGGCGAGTGGACACTGACGTCAGCACGAGGAGACTGCCATGGTGCGAAGAGCTCTGATTGCTATGTACACATTTGCCTGCGCTAGGATACATGGGAAGCGGTGCCTGAGATGCGTCATACAGTGTGCCAATTCCCTCGCTCTCCATCTGTGCCTTGCTCATCACCATCTCCGTGCCTGATGAGATCCTTGCTACCACGGACCCTTGCCTCCAGCAACCCGATCGAGGAAGTACGCCAGTCGAGTCTCCTTGTCGAAAGCAGCCGCGCCTCCGAATCTCAACACTGTAGCAGGAGCTCTCACTGCGTAGGACAGTAGTCGTGTTCCCCCTTCCCCTCCACCGTGACTACCTCCGTCATTTTCTGAAGATGAGGCCGGCAACGCGGCGACGGGCGAGGCGCAGCAAGAGGCCAGACCGGCAGCTACAGTCGCGAGGGCGGAGCGATCTGCCTCCAAGTACCCAGAGGGGATGCGCTCGCCCATCTCTCCCTGTCCAATAGGTGCGAAGAGATAACGATGGGCAACGGGGCCGGCGTGAGCAGACTGTGTTCTGGCGGTAGTGCCATTGCTGCCGTTGCTGTTGAGAATTGCCGCTGAAGCACTGCTGCCACCAGCGGGCTTCCAGCCAAAGAGCGACCATACACAGTCTGCCAATTCACCCTCGAAGGTGGCCGACTGGTCCCGGTCTGAGCGCTCTGTCCAGACATCGCGTGTCTCCCTTGGCCAGCCACCAGAGACGAGGGGGTGATTGAGCGCTTGCTTGTCCGCACCACTCGAATTGGCACCTTCCGATTTCTCAATGGCGCTATACCTCGCTCGTCTCCACCACGGGAGATCTTCTGCTCTCGGCGCATTGCGATCGCTCCAGGACAGCTGCAACTTGGCAAAAGCGCCCACTCCCCACTCGCGGAGCATCGCTGCCTCGGAAGTCTCGTCATCGAAGATTGAGAGAGGTGAGGCTTGAGCAGATACACCTAAGGACGACTGATTGCCCGCTCCTCTGGGGGGCGCGGCAAAAGGACGGCCTGTATAGGAGAAAGAAGACTGTGTGGGAGCCTCAATGAAAGACGATGATGTGCGAGATAGCGTGAGTTCCTGTAAGAAGTGACGTAGACGCCCAGCTACGATTGAGGCTGGCCGAAGAGCGAAGCGGCGGGTGTCGTACCGTACTGTGAAGGCAGGCACTGCGTGAGACCGGGGCATGACATGACTCGGCTCGCAACCGCTACTCACGCTGAATCAATCCTACGCTCTGCCGATCTGCTGCCGGCTGCCCGCTCTCATTGCTTCCCCCCACAACGACATACCTTGCCTGAGCATCAATGAGCGACCCAGGACTAGTACTGCCAGCTCTCAAAGGCTCTAGCAGACTGAATGGCGGTTCCACTCCTGCTGCTTCCGACTGCGGGTCTGTTGCTACGATGTGCAGTCTCTTGAGCCGCTTTCTTACCCCAGCTAATTCGACTCTGCCTTCTTCACGAGAGAAGGCCGAGGTCGAGAATGTAAAGTCTTCTTCGAGAGAGGTGGTATTGCCTTGGTATACGATGCTGAGTTCAGAGGGGCTGACGGAGTGTAAAGAGGGAGATAGATAGCAGTACTCGCTTGCTCCGAGGGAGACAATGTCCACGTTGGGGAAGAGGCGAAGCAGGCTACCCAGTTTGACGTCTGGCCGATCGAGAGCCAGCCGACGCTGCTGTCTGGTGGACCAAGTGTCATCAGCGAGCGGGGATAGTAGCGGTATCACTCGCTCACATAGCTGCGACATCTTCTCGCCGAAATTGTCGAAAGACAGCGGCGCTTTCTTGCCGAGGGTGGGAGGCTCGGTATCCATGAAGAAGCTCTGGACGCTTAGACCCGGGTGACATGTACTGAGACCCGTCCGATCTGGGGGCTCATCAGGCTCTGAATGGAATGGCAAAGAGACAGCACGAAGGTTTGGCTTCTGATTGAGATGCCGCTGCATGGACTCTGCCTCGTTTGCCGCCTCGCCAGCGACTAGCAATCTGATGGTCACTGCCAGTAGGTCATCCTCTGATCTGCCTCTCGCCTCCAATACGGTAGCCCAGAGCTTGAGCAGAGCCGAGAAGGAGTCGATGACGATACATCGCCAACGATGAGCTGCTGTAGCGCGACAGACGGCGCGCGAGACATGAGCGAGAGCGTGAGCCGTGGCCTGATCCTCTGTAGCCGCGGTGAGGAGTATGCGAAGGACTAGCTCGACGGGAAGGTGAGCGCCGGGATGAAGGGCGGTAGCATTCGGCGAGCTTGGAGTGACGCTGGCGTCCATGTTCACCTTCGCTCCTCCTTCAGCGGCCCCGGCCTGTGCCTGCATAGGCTTCTAGGATCTGATCCTCGACCGGCGATGCTGACGATGCTGCAGATTGGCGACCATGCCACCTTGTAGCCTTTGGGGATACGGAAGCCGGGGGCCAGGCCGGCGGAGCGGGGCGGAGCGGAAGGGCGTGCATGCAGCCGAGCCACTCCACCCTGTCGCATCTCGCGTCTCCCGTTCCGTCTGGCGCCGTTCGCCACTGGCAGGCAACCAAGGGTACCACTCGGACAGATACTTCACCCCATACACCCTTGTCCCTCATTCACCATCTCCTATCAATCTCATCATCAATCTCACATTACCCCCCTCGCTCATTCACACCAACAAGCACAAGGCGCGACTCGCCTCACCCTCTGTAGCCTGCGTCACCTTAGCCATTCCCCCTGAATCCCCAGTCTTTCAGAGGCACCAAATAGCACCACTGCCACTCCCCCTTTCCGCCTACAGTCTCAGCATTGCATAGACGAACACGCAGCTACTCATTCATGTCCTCCTCTAGCCTCAGCGATGTGAGTTCTGGACATAAGCAGGGAAGTCTGCCATCGTCAGTCGCTGATACCTTTGCACATTACTATCCCTGCCCTTCACAGATCGACGACGTTCTGGACGCCGAAGATACAATGGACGAAGATAGCGACGCATTCTACGCAGACGACGATGAAGAAGAAGACGCGGAGTCAGATGTCATGCTCGGTGGAGATGCCGATGACGATGAAGCAGGGTTCGACGCTGCTGGCGACGAAGCGTTCTCTCATGATACGTCTGGAAAGGGCAAGCGCAAGGCTCACGAAGTCGAGTTCACATGCCTAGATCTGGCTGCTCTGCAGCAGCAACAGAAGAAGGAGGTGGACCATGTAGCAGGCATGTTCGTCGTCAGAGTGAGTAGAATTGGCGGGATCCAGTCCTCTTCTGTGGAAGCTTATGCCTCCTTCCCTTCCCTTCTTTTGCTTCCTCCAGGATACCGACGCAGCCATCCTGCTGCGCCACTTTGGTTGGAACAAGGAGCGACTCATCGAACGCTACATGGACGACCCTGATGCTGTCAAAATAGAGGCAGGTGTAATCGATGATCCTACTCGGCCTCGTCTACTGCCATCGGCGGACTTCACCTGTTCGATTTGCTACCTATCCTCGGAGGATGAGAATAGCGGGCGCATGGAGACTCTCGCCTTGGGTTGTGGTCACCGCTTTTGTAGCGACTGCTACCGGCATTACATAGAGCAGAAGGTCAAGGAGGAAGGCGAGAGCAGGAGGGTGCAGTGCATGCAGGAGAAATGCAAGCTGGTTGTGGACGAGAAGACGGTGAAGATGCTGGTGGCCCCAGCCATTTACGAAAAGTGAGTCGATATCAGAGCGACCCAGATCGTCAAAGCGTCGTATGATCGCTGACCCTCGCTGCTCTTTGCGATCCCCTGCAGGTACAAGGATCTCCTCGATCGAACCTACGTCGATGACTCGCAGCTGTTCCGTTGGTGCCCTGCGCCCAATTGCCAAAATGCGATCGAGTGTCACGTGTCCAGCAAGAAGCTCAAGACGGTGGTACCTTCAGTACGTTGCGATTGTGGGAATGCCTTCTGCTTTGGTTGTGGGCAAGCTGCGCATGCGCCAGCTATCTGTCCCGTCGTCAAGCTCTGGATCAAGAAGTGTGAGGACGACTCGGAAACTGCAAATTGGATCCAGGCCAATACCAAGGAATGTCCAGAGTGCGCCTCGACAATCGAGAAGAACGGTGGCTGCAATCACATGACGTGCAAGAGATGCAGATACGAGTGGTGCTGGGTCTGCGAGGGGAAGTGGAGCGATCATGGTACTAGCTGGTTCAATTGCAACCGGTTCGATGAGAAGAATGTGGCCAATAGCAAGGACAACCAGGCCAAGAGCAGGGCCAGCTTGGAGAGATACCTTCACGTGAGTCGCCGTGAGAAAGGGAAAGGACGAACGTGAGACAGTGGACACTGACACTTCCTTGCTGGTAACCCCCTCGACAGTACTTCAACCGTTTTGCTAATCATGAACAATCAGCAAAGTTAGACCGCGATCTCTATTCCAAGACGGAAAAGAAGATGGAGAAGCTGCAGCATACGACCAATCTGACCTGGATCGAGGTGCAATTCCTCAAGAAGGCTGTGGACACCTTGACCGAGTGCAGGATGACCTTGAAGTGGACCTACTGCATGGCCTTCTACTTGAAGCGCAACAACATGACAGAATTGTTCGAAGACAATCAGCGAGATCTGGAGAGCGCTACAGAGAATCTCAGCGAACAGTTGGAGGCTGAGATCGAGCCTGAGACAATCCCAACTCTGAGACAGAAGGTGACCGACTTGACGGTCTACGTCTCTCGTAGGCGCGAGATTCTGCTGAGTGACACAGCGCAAGGCTTCGAGGAGGGTCGCTGGGAGTGGAACCAATCCTTCTAAGAGGGCGCTACTCTAAGCGCATTCAGCATTTGGGATTCACCAAGTGCCAAAGCGTATGTCTCTGAGCGAGACCGGATGTTGGTCACCTGACATCACCTTTGTACCATTCTGACCATAGAGCGATTCGTCCTCCCTACCTGTGTATTGTCCTCACCCTCCCCCAGCCCCGTCATCTGTACATTCTAGAGTCATCCAGTCCCTCTCCTTTCACATCTGCTCGCCACCTCAAGCACACATGTCATGGCCGACAACCGTCCGTCCTTGCGTCCCTCCATACATGCGTAGTCACCCCTATTTGTGATCCCCTACGTGCATCGATTGAGTGAGTGAGTGAGTGAGCAGTGCTTGTCTACATCGACGACGATCACAAGTGGAGGGACGGACACCCAACCACGGAAGCGCCACCTCTTTCCACTCTCTGTTTCCTTGCTGTTGCAACTCCTTTGCCCTGCTCCCCCTCTTCCCTAAGTAAAGCCGAGGGAGCAGGATCAGCAAGTATGGCCAACTCGATCTGTTCCTCATCAGGAGGAAGAGATCCACTGCTCCATCTCATTGGTCATCCGCTACCGGCTTGTATAGACTCGCCTTGCACGAGTGGGAACTTGTTGAGCGGGAGTACGAATGGTGTTGCAGGTGCAGAGGGCACAGATGGAACAGCAGGGAGCACAATCGACCTCTTTCTCCTCTCGCTTCAAAAGCCCATTCTCCTCTTTCTCTTTCCCGGAGTAGGAGCAGGAGCAGTACAAGGTGATACACCATCGCTGTCGTCTTCTTCGTCTTCTAATTGCAAGTCCAACCTACCAGCGCGAGCCTGCGTCTCGCACCTACTCTCCGTGCAGCGCTGCCTTGCCTCCCTTCGAGCTGCCGAACGAAAGACGACGGGTGGAGAGCTGGAGATTTTTGGGATGAGTACAGCGCCTCTGCGAGAGTTGGAGGAGTGGAAGGAGAGGCTGGGAGTTGAGGTGAGTTCCGCTCGGAAGACGAGGAGAGGGGAAGAGAAGAGAGAGACTGAATCCCGCCCTTTGTGCTCAACTCACCAACTCGGTGTGGTGAATAGTTCCACCTCTTGTCAGACTCCTCCCTGCGTTTTACACAGGCACTTGAGCTGCCTCTACTTGCTTCATCGACTTCCTCGGCCTTGCCTTCCTCCCCTGCCCAGTCTCCATCAGCGCCACGGCCGCTACTACAGCGTCTCACCCTCCTCTTGCGAGAGGGGCAGGTGGTGGGCAAGGACCTCCTGCCGAACGAGGATGAGGCGGCCCGGGCTGGGGAGAGGGCAATGCGCTTACTGGAGCCTCACACATACGAGGAGGAGAGTGCGGTATAGACTGAGGCATTTCCGAGGGGGAGAGACCTGCTGAAGGCAAGTCCGGGTCAGGCAAGGGGGGAGGATGTGTGGGCAAGTGTGGTGACAGGGACTCGAAACCTCTTCTGCCCTCGCTCGCTATACAGTGTATACCCAGCTCTGCGAGCAATTTTCAACCACATCATCTTCCTAGCCGAGCCCTACAAAGGTCTTCCACACCTGCAAGCAGACCGACCAACGGACGGACCGACCGACCGCTCTACCCCTCGAGCGAGTGGTCGCGCGTAAGAGTACGAGTACGAGCAAAAGAAGCACACCTTTTGGGAAACGAAAAAGTCGGAATTCATATAGTGTACGATAGCGTTGCTATTGATACAAGGGACACCTTTTCACGTGCGGGAGAAGAAGAGGGGGCGTGGGTAAGGGAGAGAGGGGAGAAGTAAAGACGTACCGACGAGATATGCAGCGAAGGGATAGGTCATGACAGTGAGAGTAAAAGGGAGGTCAGAGGACGAAGGCGCGGGGCGCTCTGCGCTCTGCGCTCTGAAGGTGTCCGTGTCTGTTTCCGTCGTCCCAAGGGTCCGTCTACCTCATTAAAGCGATGGTCCCTAGCAATAGTAGTAAAGGGGACCCCCCTCTGAATGTCTTGGTGTGGGCTTCTAGTACGTGTCCAGATCGTAAATGAAGCATTTGTGAGGCTAAGTGTGTAGGGCAGGCTCGAAGCTTGACGACTCTGTGCTTGAGGTGAGGGACATCATGACTAGCCTAGGCCGCCAAAGGCGTAGTCTCCCCTCCATCATCTTCCTCCGCCTTCTCCTTCTCACCATCCGCCATCTCATCATCTTCCCCCTCTTCATCCAATTCCAAATTAGGAGGTTCTTCCTCGGGAGGCGTAATCGTCTCTGTAATTGCCAACTTCCGAGCTTCCGATGAGCCATCGGCAGCATTGAACAATTCCTGTTGCAAATCTCTTCCCATGCCAGCTTGATTTCGCGAGGAGCGCCGCATTAATCCACCAGGTCTCGATGGTCTCGAATTGGGCGAAGCGGCGGAAGCGGCCGAGGCTTGGCTACCGCTACGTGAACGGGAGCCACTTTTTCGATCTGACATCTTAGAACTCGATGGTCCGCTACTCATGCCCGACGAGGACTGAAAGGTGACCATGGCTGAGGAAGAGGCCGAACTTGCGGGGCCGTGGTGGGAGTGAGCTCGTGGCGAGGGTGCAGGACGTTTGGCATACCGTCTCGCCTCTGTGCTCGGCACTCCCTCATGAGAGCCTCGACGTGGTAGCAATGCTGCCGCTAGCGCAGCCGTGTTCGCCGTACCGCTCCTCTCAAGAGCGCCTAGCAGACCCTTGACCACCGACTGTGTCGAGCCGCTCTCCACTTGCGAGGGCGAGTCCAAAGCGGCTGCTTCTTGCATGAGAGTCTCTATGTGGTGATCCTCGCTTGTCGCGGGAGCGCTAGGCGAAGGTCCAGGTGATACAGGTGGGAAGTAGTCACCTTGTTGAGATGTACTTGGACGTTTCAGATTCGACGACTTCCCCGATTGACTGCCTTTGGACGAGGCTACGCTGGCTCTTCTTCCCGCGTCTTGCCCACTGGCCGTTGACCAGCTGCTTCCTGACACGACCATCTTCGCCGTGGTGAGGTCTGCGATTCCGTCATCGCTGAGGCTGAAGGAAGACCTCCGCGACCCGGGGTCACTTGTCTTTTGCCCCACTGCACCTGTTTGAGGGGTGGCTAGGTACTTGGAGAGGGCTTGACGAGCCGAGGCATCGAACAACCACCTCGTGAGCATCGACTCCAATGCAGCCCGCTTCACTGGCTTCGACAGGTAGTCATTCATACCCGCCGCCAGGGCTCGTTCGCGATCACCCTTGATTGCCGACGCGGTCAATGCGATCACTGGCAATGCCCGCACCTCTGGGTTTTGCGATCGACGAAGACGAGTGGTAGCCTCGTATCCATCGCACTCTGGCATCATGCAGTCCATAAGGCACTTTAGAGATGAAGGAGAACATTAAAGGATCGTCAGAGATGAGACTCGGGGACCCTCTCGCGCGCCGGTATGCTACTCACCAAGTCGTACGGATTCTTCTCGAGCTCCTCCAAAGCAGCGTACCCATTTTCGGCCGTTCTCGCATTGAAGCCAATCTTCTTCAGAGTCTTCAATGCGATCTGAGCATTGATAGCATTGTCTTCTGCCACCAAGATCCAGATGTCCTGTCTCTCTCTCTGGAGAGGATCACTGCTGACACCGAGTGTGGAGACTTTGCCCTCAGCAGCCATGTCATTTTCTGTACCGTGAATCGACTGATGAGCCTTCTGGAAGGGGATGCTGAACCAAGCACGGGAGCCCACGCCTTCCTCCGATTCGAGCCCAATCTGGCCTTGCATCAACTCGACGAGATTCTTGCAGATGGTGAGACCTAAGCCAGTCCCTCCAAAGCGCCTGGCGGTGGAAGGATCAGCTTGGCTGAAGGGCTGGAAAAGACGCTTCAATGCCGAGGAAGAGATACCGCATCCTGTGTCCTGCACATCGAAACGGACAGTGATAGTGTTGAGCTCTTCAGCCACCTCCTTGACAACGAGGCTGATCGAGCCACTTTCTGTGAACTTGATGGCATTGGTGAGCAGGTTCGTCAATACCTGCCGGACACGTCCGGCATCTCCCAGTAGCAGTCCCTGATGTTGCAGATCGCACTCCTCGCTAAATGCCAGACCCTTCTTTGCGGTAGCAAACGACAGCATCTTGATGGTGTCTCGACAGACGAGGTTCAGTGAGAAGGGCGTCTTCTCGATGTCAAGCTTTCCGATCTCGACCTTTGAGAAGTCCAATACGTCGTTGATGACGGTGAGCAGAGCATCTGCAGACCTCTGAATGTTCTCAGTGAGGTCTCGAGCCTCAGCTGTAAGATACTTGGTGTCGAGAAGCAGCTCGCTCAAACCAATGACACCGGCAATGGGAGTCCTGATCTCGTGCGACATATTGGCCAGGAATTCTGACTTCAGTCGACTGGCCTCCTTGGCTGCACTTTCAGCCGCTTTCGATTTGGCTCGGTCCCTCAGAGACTGCTCCATCTGTTCCTGGGCACGCTTGCGGTCGGTAATGTCCATACTAGCACCGACAACACCAATGACCGTACCCATTCCGTCCATGTTGGAATCACCATCCTCGCTGCGAATTGGCGAGTACTGAGTCCGGAACCAGCGTCCTTCAATCTCAGATTCGTCGACGCAGGACTCGCCCGCCAGTGCACGCTCGATGAAAAGTCTCGGCGCTTCTCCCCAAATAGCGTAGATTGGCTGTCCCAGCATGCTTCGGTTGTGTCTGCGATTATTACTGCGTGCAGCACTTCTCGATTGCGTCGTTTGAGATAGCGTGGTAGCACTTGGAGAACGAGCGCCGGTATCATCGCTGTGGCCATCGAATTCGGACAATTGCATTTGGTGCCTGCCGCGTGGGAGATGTAGTCCGTCGTTTCCATTCCCGTTTCCAGATCCCGAACCCGAGCCGGAACCAGAACCGTCATTCTCAGATCCACCTGGCGTCGAGGGCCCACCTATGAGCTTCAATTGCTTGACTCCAGGGCCCTCTGCAACGGTGATGATGCCTTCAGTGTTGACTGCCCAAAGAGTCATCGCAGCGTGATTGATGACATTCTCCAGACGATCCTGACTCTGTCTGCTGGCCGCTAGAGCTTCGACGGTATCGTTGATGTCGGTACAGGTACCGAACCATTTGGTGATGGCGCCGGTATCAGGATCGCGAACGGGTAGTGCTCGTCCTAGATGCCAGCGATACACTCCATCCTTGCGCCGGCATCGGTACTCTACGCTGTAGAGCTCTCCGGTGCGCAGGGAATGTGACCATCGACGGCTCGTCTCGGGAATATCCTCCGGATGGAAGATGCCAGCCCATCCAATACCCAAGCACTGCTCGGGAGTAGCTCCGGTGTAGTCGTACTGAGGTGCAAGTCGTAGGAACTCCGTCAGCATTACAGACTTACCCTACGACAACGTTCTCTAGCGGCAAACTCACCCAAGTCTGGTTGAACCACTCGTGATACCCATTGGGGTCAGTCACCCATACCAATTGGGACAGCCTCTCACAGACCATCTGAAAGTACTCCTGACCTTCCTTCTTGATGGCTTGCTTTCTCGACTCGATCTCATCGGTGATGTCCTGAATCTGGATCATGCCACCAATGTGCTCACCGAAACCACCAGCATCGCGAATCGGCTGACCCTCTACTCTCAAGACCCTCCGTATTCCCGTATCGGTGGCCACACAGCCAACGTTGACTGGCGGCGGCCTTTCGCCCAGAACGGCTGCTCTGTAGATGGGGAACTTATGAGGAGGGAAAGGTTCCGAAAAGTCTTCGGAGAAGCAATTCATTGTACTTGTTAGCCAAGACAGATCCACTGCGGGCTCCTCGGCTTGAGCGTCGGGCACTACCTTTGCCGCCTCCTCTGCTTGAGCTTTGACGTCCTTCTCTTTCTTCTGATAATACTTGAGCGTCTCGTCACAAGCCAGATTACGAATGACAGTATTGCCATCCCGCGAGAGCGCCATGATTGGCGTGTCCAGAGTGTGTAGAATGGAATCTCTCAACACATCAGCAGTGCACATTCTGGCATCGGAAGGACTGCCTCTCCGCTCTCGCGTCTGCACAGGAGACAGCGAGATGGTGTAGTAAGCTTCGTGCAAGAGGTGGCTAGTCGTAGCTGGCATGCGCGACCCAGCAAACCGTCCCTTTCTTGCGGCTCCGGCAATTGCTCCATCGATAGACTGATGATGCTCATAGGTGGGTGTAGTCTGTGGTGACACTCCATAGGGAGACGTGGGCGATGTCGGACTCATCGCCGGGCTTATTTCTTCGCCAGAAATGCCAAAGACATCTTGTCCCGAGGGCGGATCGACGAACATCTGGTCCGTTGGGTACCAAGCGGATATGGAGCACTCCACTGCAAAGACGTCACCATTCTGGTGCTCTCCTGTCTCTGAAACTCCATTAGTGAACGTGAGCCGCGTGAAGATGGGAAGTGACCAGGTCTTGGAAGAGCTTGTCTGTGCAGCATCATTCAGAGCCTGCGTGAAACCTTGCCGAAACGTGGGCAGGACCCAATCGTGAAGATGATGCCCTACGCTGCCTTGGGCGTTTGTATCCAACAAGGCTTCAGCTGGGCGATTGAGCATGCGAATGTACCGGTTGTGATCCAACACCACCAGGGCAACGGGAGCAAAGTAAATTGCCCGAAGGGACTCATCAAGGTCCATCATGGCTGGTTGATTGGACTTTGTGAAGGGCTCTAGGGGTGGTCCAGAAGAGATTGAAGGTCCAGAGGATACGGATCCTGCTGCTGATTTTGCCTCGTTTTCTTTGCTGATAGATGCTTGACGATCAAGCCTCTGGGCCAGACTGACGGGGGATGTGTGAGGGCGAGGAGCAGGAGGCGTGGAATCGCTGCGATTTAGCAGTACCGCCTTTCGGATGTTGGCAGATAGGCCCTGGCTGTTGAACGTTGGTGTCGCTCTAGAGCTGTCTGAGTGATGAGGGAATCTTGGGCGAGTGGGGACCGCAGAAGACGACGAAGAAGAGGCGTTTGATCGAGGCGGCGAAAGCGTCGCTTCGGCACCAACAGCTGGCAAGGGTACCAGGGGCGGTCGTTGAGTCTGGAGGGTGAAAGCGTGATCAAAGATCGGGCGGCCTGCGGGAGGGCTGGGAGGTGCGGACTTGGGCGAGCCTTCGCCTGAAGTCTGGGAGAGTACCGACTCGTCAGAAGAGGCAATGTGCTCCCGCAATTGCCGCTTGGCGCTGCGAGCTCCCGATTGACGTTCAACTTCTGTCTCCTCGTCGGTTTCCACAGAGGGCGAGGAGGCCAAGGACTTGACAGATGATCGCCGGCGCGAGAATGCTAGAGATGTTCCCTCAGGCTCCGTGGAGGAAGCGTCAAGAGGAGGGACAGATGATCTGAGTACCGCTGGGGAGACCTCTGGAGACTGACGCTTCTTCGACTCCGAGGTGAGTGGAGACAGTTTGGCGTCGGTCTACCGCCGAAGACGCGACGGTATGCGGAAGAAAGGGGAAAGGGACCTGATAGCTCTTCGGAGGCGATTCCAGTTGGCGTGCTTTGCGCCTTCCGAGTATGGTATTTGGTTGATGAGTGATGGGGTGATGGGAGTGTGAAGCTCTACCGCGGAAAGGAGAGTCGAGGAGAAGGAGGCAGCCTAAGCGGAACAGAGGGGGGAAAGTAGTTGGTGTACAGACGGTGCTGAGGCTGCGAGTCTAGTATGGACGGACGAAAGCGAGTCGTGGACAAGACCAAGAGAGGAGAGTAAGGAGGTGGTGGTCTGGAGGAAGGCGGAGTGAGGATGAGGAACAGGGGGAAGCAACACTGAGCCACGAAGCCTTTACAATTCGACGAGGATGGCAAAGGCGCGATGTGCTGCTGCTGCTGCTGCTGCTGCTGCTGCGAGGAAGGCCATGCCGACGGGCGGGGCAGCGGGTGTGGGAGCAAGGAGCAAGCCGCGCACACAGGAGCACAATTCCCCGCGTCACCCGCCCGGATCGGCACTGGCCCACTCCCCTGTCGCCCGCCCGCCCCCGATTAGCCACGCCTCCCGCCTCGAGTCCAGACGCCGACGCCACGCGACCATCGGGACATCGGAGCTGCCTCCTCCGCAAAATGGCCTGCCGCATCCTCTGGCCGCACAATCAAGCGATTCCCAGCGTCACTCGGGCGAGAGATCGAGAAAGGTGTCGCAGCAGCAGCATCACAAGATGGCTCCACGATACATCGACGGACAGAGATCGCAATACCACGATCACATGACCGAGGTCGCAGCCACCCTACTTCCAACCGCTTTCAGAGGTGCCTACAATAAGCTTCACGCGCAGAACTGGTAAGGCTTGCGGTGACATTGGTCTTTCAAACGAAGGAACTTCGCCGCAGGATACATTGAGCGGCTCATTGTCGATCCTTCGGGGACAAATATAGAGAATAGCCTAGCTCCATGTCAATTCAAAGCCGGCGACATTCCGTCTTGACCGACGTTCAGCCTTCAGCCAAGCTCATGTAGTCTGGGGAGTGCAGCCACGACTTTGGAGAGTTCTTTCAATCGGATGGTGCTATTGCAAATGCAGAAGAAGAAACATGGTATCATAGATCCAGAAACAAAGTGCCGCTCACAATTGACTGCCATACTCGCCATCAGAGGCCGCCCCCTCTCTCTCTGTACCGCCCCAGCGATCCACAACCGCAGAGGAAGTCTCGCCTCCACAATCCTCCTCCTCTTCATCATCATCGTAGACAATCTTCCGCACCGTCACCTTTACACGCTTCCAAGATGGGGAAGGAGGTGCATCACCGCTTCTTGCATTGCCGTGTCTGTCCAGCTGATAGTCCTTTGCGACCAGGTTGCTCTTCCAAGGTGCAGAGGCGGAGGCCGAAGATGCTGCGCTGGAAGCAGGACCAGCAAAGAGGTTCTTCCTCCAGCGCACTCCTTTACCGACCATACGCTTCTTGACGCGCAACGGCGTGCTGTACGTCTCTTCTTCACCAGCACCGAGACGATGATGAGCCATCTCAGTCTCCCAACCTCGGAAGTCAGGATCCCTCCAAACGCCCACTCCTCCCCTCTCTGCATCACGTCGCTCTGCCTCTGAACTCTCACTCATCCTCGACTCCTGTGACTCTCTCGCACGCTTCCGAGCCCGAACAGCACGAGCCTCGTCCGCTCGGCCCTTCTCCATAGGTGGAGCTCCTTCGGCAAGACTACTCTTCCTGATCTTACTCGAGGGGGAAGGTGGACGAGCACCTTCAATGCGAATGGTCACGACCGATAGCTTGGCGAGGTGGATTTCGTTGCGGCGAGAATTGCGCGTCGTGAGAGTCGCCAGGGCCGCAGAGGAGATGGGTACAGAGGGTACCACGTCATTGACCTTGGCTCGAGAAGCGCAGGCAGGTGGAGCGGTCCCCACAGCAGGCGGATTGCTCGCACTGCGGTTGGTAGCGGTCGTGCGGACCGGAGCCGCTACAAGCGGATTGGAGATGCTACGATGCCCGATGTCCTTCTCCTTGACCACAACAGCTGCATCCTCTTTTGCGCTCGAGGTATCGAGGGCAGGAGAGGGCACAGTATCGGAGAGGATTTCAGATGGTGGGAGGGGAGCTGCTGAAGACGAAGAGGGTGCAGCTTCGCCTGTCCTGCTAGCTTTTCTGCTGCTACCCGATGCAACGCGCAAGCTCTTGGCGCCATGACTTGACGACGAAGGCTTACGATATGTCGCCATCATCGGTCGCTCCGTGACGGGAGGTATGCTATCGCCAAGCACTCGCGCCGTCTTATCAGGGGATGAGCTCAGAGCGGCGTCGGAGCGAGCACCTCCTTCGAGGTCCGAGTCCGTCCTTGCAGACGAAGTACTGCTCATGAGCACCCTCGGCCTGACAATTGGGGCAGCCTTGGCTTCAAGAGGTGCATGTGTAGCCTCTTTGGATCCAGCAAGCACTCGCCTGGCCCTGCCACTGCCGGCTGTCATAACACTCGCCTTGACCGGCGAAGGAGGGGCCGCAGGACCGGCTTCGCCTTCCGGTTCCGGTACCACAGTCGAGGCGACCGTACCCCGAGCCAGAGCCGGGGAAGGCAACGTGCTCTTTCCAATTGACCACTGTGCACTAGCGTCGGCCGTGCTTCCCTTCAGCCAGTCAGCAGTCTTGTGGGTGAAGGACGACAGTTGACTCGTCCCTTGCATTTTCCTCAGCGCACTGATAGGCTGCGTGCGCTTGACCGGAGACGGACCACTGCTCGAAGCTGCCGAAGCTGTAGGAGCCGCACTGATCGGAGCCACGCGGGGGTCTTTGAGGGTCCTCTCTTTGCTGGGTCCATTCAAAGAACCGTTGGACGAGCCGATCGAATCTGCAGCTGATGGAGGCCGGGACAAGGGATTCGCGGGAGCAGCAGATTTGGCAGCAGCCTTCTTCTGGAACGGATTGCTTGAACTCATTTGAGCAGATGCATGGCTCGGCACGCTCGGGCGAGCGAGCTGGCTAGACGTAGCGCCTGAAGACTGAGCCGATTGTGCTCGAGCAGTCGGAATGGACGTCGGAGCTCTGATGCTGCCTACAGAGGTGGGCTTGGCAATGCGACTGTTGCCACTAGCCAGCTTTGGTAGTCGGGAGGCTGAAGTGGCTGACGAAGTCGTCTTGGCGGACACGGAAGGAGGTTGGCTCGCGTCCTTCTCCGCTTTAGACAAGCCCGGTTTCTTGAACCCTTGGGCTACATCAGAGGTCGAAGCACTCTGTACGCTGGTTTCTGCAGCCTTGTGCTCAAGCTTGCTAGGCTCCGACGTTTCAAGAGAATCGTCGGGCTTACGCACTGGCGAGCCCAGGGGAGCAATGGTGCTCGAGGTCGGCTCAGCCTTCTGTGGACTCGGTACTGTGACTCGCATGGGAGGTTTGCGGGGCGACTTGGTCGGCGAAGCAATAAGCATTGCGTCACGAATGTCCATCATGCGCCGCATGTGAGGAGAGATTTGGTGATCAACCTCCTCCGTTGCCCGAGATGGCGATTCAAGCCCTGCAGAGAATTGTGGAAGGTTGAGCTCTACATTCCCACCTTCCTTGACGAAAGGGCTAAGCTCAATATCTCTACGGGTGTGAGAGATGTTAGAGTTCCGCTCTCCGAGTGGGGTGCCCGACAGTGAAAGCGGCATAGGCGATGCCCTCAGGGACTTAAGAGAGTCGTTGGCTGGGCTTTGTCCGTAGTGGGCACCCAGTGCAAAGCTCTGCTGAGCACGCTTCGCGGCTGATGCGAGCACATTCTCATCATACCGTCTTCGGAAACTCAAACCCACGCCCGGTGAGTCCATCATAAACGACGCAGACGACGTGTCGTGGGCATTGAGTGTTGGCGTAGCCGGAGCTGGAGAGGCAGCTACGGCCAACATGGCGGTTGGGCTTGACGATCTTTGTGTTTCCGGGACTTCGCCTCGAAGTTGCTCTTGGTCAGCCGTTGGCAGTTCAGGCTCCTCGCGATTGTTCTCTGCGCCCAAAGCTGCTTCGACTCCGTCATGTGCCTCTTCCTGCTGTTCCGCGTCTTCTGAAAGCCCAACTCCAACGAGCTCTCTGGTGGAGTCGTCTACAGAGGGCGCCGCTTCTGCCAATAGGCGTTCGGCTACATCGAAAGCCAGCGTCTCGTCTGCCGTTGTCAAGACTGGCACATCGGCTGCCGCACACTTTGCGTCATCCTGCGAGATAGGGCTCTCATTCCCCTTGACTACATCTGCTGCTGCCGAAGGCGCCTGTGCGACTTGATTGCCCGACGCTTCCAACGCGGCGAGAGGCTCTAGGCCTAGAGCAGTAGCCGACTCTTCACCGCTGGCGCCTTGCCCGCTCGTCCCTTCAACGACGCCTGCCACGGAGCTGTCCTCTCCGCTCTCTTCTAGCGCTAAGTTGTCTTGCTGTGGCGGTTGCGGTAGATCGCTGAAATCTAGTGTGGGCAATGATTCTTGTTGCGCATTTTGGAAAGCAAGAAGAATCGTCTCCTTAGCCTCCTCTTCCACCACGGCCTCTTCAATCTCCTCTTCCAGCCTGTCGAATGCCAGGGTCTGATCCATCACGTCCGGAATGTAGAGATGCGAGGTCGGGACGTACAGCTTGTCAATGGCTGTCAATGCTGCACTTGGAGCATCCACGTGGTGGTCCTCAGAGTTGACTGTGACTGCCTCTTCAATAGCAGGTAACTCAAGAGGGCCTGCTTCTTCAGGAACTGTCTCGTCTGATGCGCTGGCGACCGAATGATCTTCAGGAGCGTCGGCGTCGTATTGCGCCTCGTCGGTCTGTAGGGCTTCTTCCTTCTGATTGGGGACATTTGTGATGTCCTTCAAGGCTTCAGGGAGTGCAGCAAGGCCATCATCTTCGACGGGAAGCTCTTCACTAGTGAGCTCCGCTGCCTCTTCTTGACTGGTTGCGTCTTGTGTATGCAGTTCTTGATCGTCGAAGGCTGGCTCATCCTCCTGTCTCGTAGAGACTTCTGCACCCTCTGCAGCCTCTGCCCCGTCGGGATGAGCAAATTCCTCCATCTCCGACGTAAGCACGTCCAGCTGAGACTCTTGAGCCTGCTCGACCTCTGAGACCTCTGGCTCTACCTCTTTTGCCTCTGACTCTTGAACGCCTAATGCAACCAATGCAGGAGGAGCTCCCTGTACCAGTGCGAGAGTCTCTTCGTCCTCGGCAACAACTGCTGCGAAAGAGGCTTCTTCCTCGACATTAGGTTGCTGTCCACATGCGCCGTCAATCGGTGCATCAGAGAGAGATTCTTGGTCTAGCTCCGGCTCGTCGGTCTGTTGCAGATCCAGCTCATCGCTTTTGCCCATCTCCAGCTCGTCACTCTGCCGCAAATGGTCATCTGCGATGCTGTTTTGCTGAGTGCGCACTGGCGTGAGAATCGGCGAGGGCTCTTGTTCGTCGAGACGGTCGCCTCCTTCCATCGCTGCATCCGCTCCTTCCATCGCCATACCGTGAGCAGCCGCTTCAGCAGCAGCCTTCTCCTCTCTGAAAGCCCGAGCAGCATCCTCGACCTCTTCAAGCGTGAGTGTCTTCCTCCTAGCCAAATCAAGACTATCTCTCCTCAGAACTCTCCTCTCCCTCACTCTTCTCGAATAGCGTCTTCGCTGCTCCTGCTCATCTTTGCTGGGAGTACCAAAGAAGACGGGTGTGCGAGACCTGGCGCGAGTCGTACGTGTGCTGGTCGTCATGTCCTCGCCAGGCTCGTCATCTCGATCTGAAGAGGAACCCTCGGAGGCGGAATCCGATAGGTCTGGTGATGAGACTACGGAGGCGGCCGTGTCCGTCTCGATGTCCGAGAGGGCCGTACTGGCGCTTGCACTGGAGCTCGGCCGATTGTCTTCGCTTGAAAGCAGAGCACATCTTGTAAATGGTGAGCTGAGGCGAGGGGGTGAGCCGAGCGAGGAAAAGGATGCCGCAGGTTGAGAGGATGAGGAGGCTACTGGTTCCAGGATCGCCTCTTCCAGCAAAGGCTCGCCGGCGGTATGTTCTACGCCCTGCTGCTGCTCCTCTTCCTCCTCCTCTATTGGTTCGTCACAAGACTCGTCGATCGACTCTTCCTCTGCATCCCGAGAGGGTGGAGCGGCCACAGGCTTCGGCTGGATCTCCTGCCTCAAGAGGGCTGGTCCCTTGAGATTGAGCGTGTACGAGGGTCCTCTACTGGCATGAGTTTCACGCAAAGCAGTAGGAGGTTTAATGCCAATGGATGGCTTTCTCTCTGTCCCCTCGAGCTGGAATTGTGATGCGGCTGGGGTTAAGGTTGCATTGCTCACTTGTCTCACGGTTGGCCGAAAGGGCTGCCGTGTTGATGCTGGGCGTATTGGGATGAGAGAAGCGGTGGGCCTGTCCTTGAAAGCAGGCTTGGATATAGCAGAGTGAGACGAACCTGCAGACGAGGACGAGGACGAGGAGGGTCCGGGTATGCTGTTGTTGACATGGGTATTGGTGTTTGAGCTTCCTCTAGTGGATCCGGATCGCGTCTTGCGAGGAGAGATGATCGTGGTCATCGTGAGGCAGGCGATGGTAGCTCGCTGCTGCCGTGTATGGACAGGCTAGCAGCTGAGACGGAGCAGGGTATGAAGCCGTGGGTGGTATGGTGGGTATGAACGAGGAAAGTGGCCCCAGTGAGCGGCGGGAAGAGGCGTGTGTGCATTGGACAAAACACGGACCGGTGTTGCTCTCGACCCCGACGCCTCGAGCCAAGATCAACCCCGTGACTGTGCGCCCGCCACTCATCGGAACGGAAGCGCGAGGTGGGGCGCATGGCCCTGCCGTGGATCCACTCGCGTGCGTTTGTCTCCTGCCCTTCCTTCCTTCCGAGGGCAGGAAGCGATCTCAGCTACCACTCACCATCAGACTGCAGCGCACTTCTCAACGATACCAGATCGCCGCTGCTCGTGTCTTCCTCTCTCCCTCCCCATCCGCACATTTCATTTGGTTGAAGTCGTAGCAGACCGACCTATTTCCTGCTTCAAAACCTTGGTCCTTGCGACTGCCGCTCGCTCCCTCGCTCGGCCATCCACTACCGGATCCACCGGAACAGACCAGAATCCTCCGAATCAGCTGATCGAGACAGCAGATACCAGACGTTGGAGCCTCTACCAAATACATAGCCAGCATGAAGCTCGTCAGGTGAGTCCAAGATGTGGACAGGAGCATTTTGAGGAAAGCGAGAATTGTTTGGCAGTACTTGCTGGGAGTGCAGAGCTTGACGGGGAGCGGATGTGGCTAGGGAAGGAACGCAGATCAATTACGAATGGGTGATGCTGATATTCATAACCCTACTCATGAACTTACTCATCGATTCCAGATTTTTGATGAAGCTCAACAATGAGAGCGTGACAATTGAGCTCAAGAATGGATCCATCGTGCATGGCACAGTGACAGGTGCGTTCAGGTCGACAGAAACAAATACGAAGGCACATGCTGCTTGTGCAGGATGAGGCAAAGCTCTCTTTCTGACCCATCTCTCCCTGTCTCTTTTCTTCCATCCTGTAGGCGTCGACCAACAAATGAACACCCACCTCAAGACGGTCAAGCTGACCATGCGCAACCGCGAGCCCGTCTCCCTCGACACCCTTTCCATCCGGGGCAACAATGTCCGCTACTGGATCCTACCGGATTCGTTGCCATTGGATATGCTATTGGTGGATGACGCGCCCAAGGTCAAGGGAAAGAGGAAGCCTAGGGAGGAGAAGGCCAGAGGTGGGAGGGGTGGAGGGATGCGTGGGAGGGGAGGCCCGCGGGGACGCGGTAGAGGGAGGGGATTCTAGAGTGATGACGTGGAGATGGTGCGAAGAGGATTACTTTCTTCTCATCAATGTCATGCTGATCAGACATTTCGGTCACATACAAAGAGCGATCATGCGCAGACGGGCAGAGTGACATCTCGTTGTGATCGGTGCAGCCCGAGGATAGTAGTACAATATGACGCGGCGCCTCCATCTCTCGCACCCAAGCCCTCGTCTCTCGTCCCTCGCCTCTGATTTTCACCGGTCCTTCTCCTCCTGTATTGTCTTCCCCGTCGGCGAAGCCCAAAGGTCTCTCCCTCCTACTCCTGCTCCGCTCGCATTCTTGAGCCTCGTAGGGCTACTCGTGGTGCTAACACTGCCACTACGTCGAGATGAAGCCATATTATGGCTCGAGCCTAGACCATCTACTACTCCCCCTACTCCGGCTCCTGCTCCGCCGGATGAGGTCTTCTCTCCAGGTGGTAGATTCCAATTGAGCGCATTCATATCGAAGTTGGTCCTGCCAGCTGGAGCAGTCTGTGAGCCAGGTGCGCCGAGAGCGCCTCCGCTACCACTTAGACTGCGTTGAGCTTTACTACTGCTGCTGCTGGGAAAGGTACCGGCGGCGGCGGCAGCGGAAGCAGAAGAGGAAGCGAGGTAAGGTGTACCGCTTGGAGAGGTGGGGGCTGTCTTTGCTTTGTCTGCTTCGGAGAGGAGATATTCGACGAATAGATTTGAGAAGGACTGCGGAGCAAAAAGATTGTGGAGGAGGATGAATTGGTCAGTCAGAAGTGATCATGATGCTCAGGTACCATTCAAGACTCACCTCGTCTTGTGCCGTTGCACCGGCGGAAGAGGCGCTCCTTGCTCCTCCTGTACCCGCACCACCGCCAAAGAGTCTTCTTCCAAAGCCACCGCCCGACCTCTGAATGCCTGCCATCTCCTTCTCCTCATCGCTCCATTGCAGGACCGAAGAGAGGAGGCTGAGCATCTCAAAGCGCTTGGCGTCTTGCCTCGGTGTGGTGAGGAATTGCAGCAAGACGTTTGTGACCAGCCGCCGGTCTACTGTAAGACTGGAGTTGTCTTGATTGAGCCGACGCAGAGCTTCTGTCAGGTGCTCGTTGAGTATCACAGCTGACGTGGTGCAGAAAATCAGAGTGAGAGGTCAGCGATTTCAAGAACATTGACCACAACCATCGTGTCCCTCTGACTTACCCTCGTGCCTCAATTTGCCAATGAGGAGATTCTTCTCCTTGACATCCTGCTCCAAGGCTCTGCCCCGCTCAGACGAGTCTTTGGTATCGAGCCATTGCTTTTCAGCCTTCACGGCCCTTGCTTTGTACTCCTCAAGCAGAGCAGCCGTCGAATCGTACTTGTGTTGATAGTCACCAATGGCTCGTTGTAGCTCGGCGTCTTGTTCTGCAAGAGTACGGACAGAAATTCAGCCATGTTGTCAAAAAAGTTTTCCAAGGCCTCTGCTTCGGGAAGCTACTCACCATTCTGGAATTCCTCCAACACCAACTGCAGATTTCTAGCGCTTTCCTTCTCTCTTTCTGCGACTCCTCGCCATCTGCTCACTTCCTCCTCCATGTACTCCTTGTCCATTCTGGCCTGCTCCGCCATAGCCTCCGTCTCTTCTCTCCTTGCCAAATCCTCCTTGCGGGCCGCCTCTTGTTGCGACAATTGCACTTTGAGACTCTCGATACTCTGATTCAGGTGTACAACTTGCATCTCGAGCCGATCACGCTCTTCAGCGAGAGCAGTGTCTGCGGAGGAGGACGATGAAGCTGATGCAGCTGCAGTGGCCGCCCTGGTAGCCTCCTCGATGGCTTTTGCCGAAGACTGCCGTAGCGCGTCGAGCTCTCTGGTCACCCTTTCGCTTTCCGTGTGGGAAGATATCAATTCGGATTTGAGCGTGGAAGTGGATGCTTGCAGCTCTTGCACCTGTCTTGTGAGAGTCTCGATTTGTGATTCTCTGCGGTCCAGTTCTTCCTGTGATGGGTTATGCGCCAGTGAGGTCGTTACGATTAGCGAGCTGCGCTACAGCCTTCATGACGCACTGAGACTCACCGCATCTTGCCTCAAACGATCGCCTAATGTGCTTCTCATCTGTGTCAACTTGCCCAGGAGGCCCTTGTACTGTCCTTCGAAGCCATCACGCTCCTCTCTCACTCTCTTTAGCTCGTCCATCAGTTCTTCCCTGTTCATCGAGCTCGGATCGTCCTGATCAGCCGAGTCGGCTATTGTGTGGCCGCTATCAGAAGTCTTTGAGACGTGGGTAGCCGAAGAGCCATTGGTGGGCGGCTGCGAAGACGTCGAGGCGTGTGATGCATCGGGTAGGAGCTCTTCCACTGGCTGCGAGAGGGCCTGCTCCACCGACAGACCAGACGATGGTGACGATGCGCTGGCCATCGTGCTGCGCCTGAGATGTTCTGGCGAGCGATGAGCAGTGCCGCAGTAGCCAGCAGCGCAGTATGGCCTTTGAGCAGCAGATGGGTCACGGCCAAGTGTTGGTTGGATGGTGTTGGGTAGACGTCGCCTGCCTGTGCCCGGTGTGCCTGGTTGCGCCTGTGCGGCGTCTGCCTCTGCCGGCGGGGAGCCACTTCCGCCGCCCAAAAGTGGGCTACGCGAGGCGGACATCCGGGGACTCCACGCTTGCTTCTACTACCATACCATCGATTACCATCGCACGCTTGATCACACATCCTCCAGGGTCTCTTACTTTACAGTCGCAGAAGTCATCCCTGCTATAGCGTCTGGTCATCGTCACCATCAGCGCGCTTCGACTCTCGCTTGAGTCGTCCCACTCCTGCCATCGAGAGACAGTTGCCAGGCCTGCACAGGCCCAGCGAGGCCTCGACGCCGTTCCCAAGCAGGTGTCCTGGGCATGGCAAGATGAACGCTGAATACAGCATGTATGCTGGTGGTGTGGCTCATCAATCACCTTCCCTGCCCGTGCCGAGTGGATCGACCACATTCAGCTCCTACCGAGGAAGCAGCGAGTCGGCCCCTTTTCTTGGCGAAGAAGCCACCAGGACGAATGGCAATGTCATGGCTGTCGAGGCCCTGACCACCACTCACACGGAGAGCAGCAGAGATGGAAGTGACAGTGAAGATCCCACTACGCCTGCTAGTGAATTAGCTCAGCAGCAGCAAGACATTGGCAACAAGGCCACAGACGCTACCAAGCAAGAGGAGCTGAACTCTCATCGGCAGTCCGCCCTGAATTTAGACGTCGGGGCACGCCTTGTCAGCCATCACTTTGATGAAAGAAAGGCGGACGTTGGCCGTTCTTTGGGATCGAATACGCCCCTCATTCCAGAGCTGCTCCCTCTGGAGTCGCTGAGCAACATCACGCAAGATCCACCCATCCTTTCGCCAGCTCCTTCTCAACCCGTCCGGCCCACTTTACCTGCATCAGGAAAAGACGTCTCATTCAGTATGGGCCCGGAGACTTCCTCCAGTCGCAGCTCTCCACTATCAGATATCTCGGACGGTGACCGTGTGCTGCAGAATGACGACGCCGGCCCATCTGCCTCGCCTCCGGCACAGCAGAAGAAGGCCGCGAAGAGGGCTGCCCCTGTCAAGAAGGCACCTACCAAGGCCAAGAAGCAAAAGGTCGATACTATTTCGCCATCTGCTACGAACAAGCGCAGGAAGTCCGTGGGTCGGGCTTCGATGCCACATTCCGAGAAGGATGTGGACCAAAGCTCTGGGGAGCCAGGTCCCTCTAATTCTACCGCTCACTCCAGCCATGGCGATGTGACTGCTCTGTTCGCATTGCAGCAGAACATTCCTCAAGACCTGGACGAGGCCGATCGAGCGGCCATGGAGGCGGCTATGGCCGAAGATCTCAGGAGCGGCTCAAGGCCTCGGCGCGCTGCATTAAACAAACTTCGTGCGTCGTATCTCGAGCTTCAGAGAGAGATTGGTGATGATGCCAATCAAGGCAATAGACCGAAGAGCGAGACAAAGGCAAAGGTGAAAGGGAAGTCTCGACCCTCTACAGCTGTCTCGGAGGCTACTCGCTTCCAGATGAGCGATCGATGGTACGAGTACCAAGTAGGAGATTGCCAGCGCGGCCGTTGGTCTCGATGGTACAAATGTACGCACTGCACGGCAAGGCAAATGGGCGACACATGCCGCTTCGTCAATCTCAGGATCTTCCCGCTGCGCAGCCTGGACGGTAAGCTCATAGTAGCAGACCCAGAGGACGATGATGCGCTGGATTATGCCCCTTTCTTCGGAAACGAGCTGCCTCGGAAGGTCACGTTCGACTACCCGCGAGCCAAGTCGCTGTTTCCTCCGGCGAGCGCGGCAAGCATCAGCGACATCAAAAGCACAGTCGCCATTTCTCTGCATCAGACTATGAAGATGGAGCTGGACCACGCTGCTAGACCCGAGACATTGTGGCGCAATCCCGAGCTCGTGATACGGCCTCAGTGCGACTTCTGCTTGACTTCGCTCTTCTCTGCTTCGTACTGCTGTCGATGTTGCGGAAAGGAGTACTGCCTCGAATGCACTGAAGCATTGAAGGCGAAGGAGGCTACTCCCGGCAAGTGGAACCAAGTCGCGTCTGTCGAGAAATGTCGCCTTCAAAGAGTGCATACCTTTAGCGAATTGTGGCCTTTGACGAGGTTCAGGGTCGAAGAGCTTCAAGACGAGGTCAGAGAGATGGAGAGGGTGCAGCGGGGCGGTCTTACTTCAGGTTTCACACTGTCCGAGACTGAAAGTCGACTGCCAGAGCACTCTGTGCAGCTTGAAGAGCCCCAGGAGAATGCGGACCCAGCAGTGCCATCAGATTCTGTGCCTCTGGAAGAACGGACTCGACAATGGTACAAGAGTCTCGATGGCCCGACTGTGGATGCAGCCATTGGCTCGCATCGATTGCAGGAGTTCCATGCAGGACATGACGAAACAGCTTTCCGGAAACTGTGGGCCAGAGGCGAACCAGTGATCGTCCATGATTGCATCCGCGATTCCCAGGAAGGCGAGGAAGACGAGCGGGGGGAGGTTGTTGGTAAAGCCGAAAATTCTGCTTCCGCAGCTCCTCCTGCGGAGTGGGGTCCCCAGAGCTTCTGTACCTCACGATGGCAGGAAGAGCCCTGCAGAATCACTCGCTGCGACGCAGATAACGCACATCAGGACGTGTATGTCTCCGACTTCTTCTCTACCTTTGGCAAGTCTCCCGAAGAGAAGCTGGCGAAGCTTGGCAAAGGGGTCTGGAAGCTGAAAGACTGGCCGCCGAGCTCGGCTTTCGATGATGCTTTTCCCGACCTCTACAAGCACTTCAACAGGGCCCTACCTGTTCCTGCTTTCACTCGTCGTGATGGACGGATGAACATTTCCGCCCTGTTCCCCACTAATGCCAATGCTCCTGATCTGGGACCCAAGATGTATAACGCCTGGCCCTCCACAGAAGATCAGGTCGGCATGGGATCCACCCGACTTCACATGGATATCGCCGACGCTGTAAACATCATGTACTATGCCGCTAAGCCGCTCAACGCAGAGGAGCTTCCATTGGCCCACCGTGATGGCGTTGCTGCTTGGGATATCTTCCCTGCTGGCGACTCGAACAAGATTCGCGATTACCTTCGAGAGACAAGAAAGGTGGAGGAGCACGAAGATCCGATCCATTCGCAAAAGTACTTCCTCGATGCTGGTGATCGTCAGAAATTGTGGGACACCAAGGGCGTGCGCAGTTGGCGGATATACCAGAAGGCCCATGACGCCATCTTTATCCCTGCTGGATGCGCACATCAGGTCTGCAATCTTACGGACTGCATGAAGATAGCCGTCGACTTTGTCTCTCCGGAAAATGTGGCGAGGTGTTTCCGTCTCACGGCTGAGTTCAGAGCATTGAGCAACAACAAGGTTCGCAGCTGGAAGGAAGACGTGCTACAGCTCAAGTCGATGCTCTGGCATGCCTGGAGAGCCTGTCGAGAAATGGAAGGTCACAAGTACGACGCGGAAGGCTCTGTACAGGTGGAGAACGGACAAGTGAGACCTCCTGCGCGATACAGCAAGCCTTTCACAGATCTTGCTAGTATTCATAAGGCTGCAAAGAGGAAGAAGAAGGCAAAACGGGGAGCAGTAGATGTGGAGCTTGATGATGAAGAGGACGAGTCCATGCTCTATGTAGAGGTGGACGAGGGCGATGCACAAGAGTCCAAAGCTTCAATCTCTGCTGCGAAGGCGAAGCAGTTGCCAAAAGCCAAGGCCAAGGGAAAGGTCTCGACGAAACGATCAGCAGCATCTGCGTTTGCGGACGGGACATTGGACGAAGAAGGCGAGGAAGCATCATCACCTCCTCTCACTTCGCGCAGAACCTCGACAAGCAAGCCGGCACCTACCTACTCCCGCAAAGGCAAGAAGTCTGAAGCTGCCTATGCTGGCTCAGCCATTGTCATCGCCGACGATGACGACGATGATGACGAGCCATCGCAAGGAGCCTCTTCCCCTCCACCGATAAGTACTGCCTCAGGAAGACCAAAGCGCCAGGCTGCCGCGGCGGGCACGAAGAGACTCTCCGGCTTGTTCGGGCAGGCTGAAGCCACCGAGGTAGACGAAGAGGGAGGAGAGGAGGAAGAAGACGAAGAGTACGAGCTGGCCACTCTTACTGGGCGTCGCAAAAAGGCTTCCCCACTTGGTCAAGCCAAGAGCAAAGGGAAAGGGAAGGAGAAGGGAGCCAGCAAAGCGCGCTCGGCCTCGACGAGGATTCCCCGGGTCTCCTCCTCTCCCTCTCCTGCAGCCGCTTCGACACTAGCTACCGCCACCGCCAGTGGGAGCGTCCCTCCCCTCCCCGTTCCACCCCTCCCCACCCTTCCTCCAAACATATCTCGCCCCACGCCCGAACATCTCACGCAGCTCACCGCCGCCTTCCTCGCCTCTGAGGAGACTATGCGGGTGGCGAGGGAGCAGGTGGACAAGTGGTTTGGGGCGATGCAGATGCACGTGGAGGGGCTGAGGCGGTGCGCTGAGGGCATGAGGGGGATGCTTGAGGGCCAAGGGGAGGGGGAGGGGGAAGAGAAGATGAAGGTGGCAGACGAAGAGGAAGAGGAAGAGGAAGTGGAGGAGGAGGAGGAGGAGGAGGAGATTGTACAGGAGGGATTGTAGTCATGTGTGTGTGCAGGCCTTGAGCATCTTCTCTTCCCCCTCTCATCTCCTGTCGTAGTCGTAGTCACCATGTCATCACGTCGCAGTCGAAGGACGAAATGGAACGGAATGGAGTGGACCTCGGTCCTGGCGTGCAATGGAGAGGAGCGTCACATGGCATCACGCTGATTGTTGAAAGAAAGCAAGTGACGAAGCACATGTCATTGGTAAAGTCCAACTCCAAAATCCAGCCGTCTCCCCCCTCTCGTCTTCTCAATGACCCCCCGATCCCCTCCACCTTTCAACTCAAGTATCCCATCCTCAATGCAATCTCTGCATTCATAACACTACTAGTAGCAGCCCCAATCTGCACATTATTACTCAACACAACAAACTTGACATCCAAAACTCCACATTCCCTCACTCTTCCAACATTGACCCCTGCTCCATTTTGCCAATCTCGATCTAAACGGGGTTGTGGACGATCAGGTTCTTCATGTAGAGTGATGGCCTGGGCCGGGGCAGAGGGACAATTGAGTTCTTGAGCTTCGCAGCGGTACTTCTTCAGGGCTTGCTTGACTGCTTCGATGGAGGGGGGTGGTCGATGGGCAAAGCGCACAGAGAGGACTTCGGTGTGACCGTCCAGTACCGGTACACGATTACAGTGTGCGGACATCTGAACGGGGACGTGCTCAAAGGCGGTTGAGGAGCCATTGAGACTTCCTAGGATCTTGGCAGTCTCGGATTCAATCTTCTCCTCTTCGCCAGAGATAAAGGGGACGACGTTATCGTGGATATCGAAGGAGCTTACGCCTGGGTAGCCCGCACCGGAGACGGCTTGCATCGTGGCCACGACTACCTTCTCAAGAGGGCCAAAGGCATCCTGGAGTGCTTTGAGAGGGACAACAATTCCCGTCGTGGAGCAGTTGGCATTGGTGATGATGTAACCCCGCTTGGTGGGCGTAGGGAGCGAGGCGCGCTGGTGTGGGATAATGTTAAAGTGCGAAGGGTTCACCAGTGGCACCACGAGTGGGCAGAGAGGGTCCATGCGGTAGTTGCGAGCATTGGAGAAGACGCGTAGCTCTGCGGCTCGGAAGGCTGGCTCGACAGTGGAGGCTGGACCGCTGTCCAGACCACTGAAGACGACGTCGCAGTCCTTGAAGTGCTCTACGAGGCATTCCGTCACCTGTAGAGACCTCACCTCTTCCGGAATAGCACGTGCTTGCTTCCAGCGTCCAGCAACAGCTTCTGCGTAGGGCTTGCCGGCAGAGGCGCTCGATGCTGCCAGTGCGTGAATGACAAAGTTGGGGTGGTTGGCAAGAAGCAGGATGAAGCGCTGGCCCACGGTTCCAGTCGCACCCAGAACTCCCACCTTGAGCTTCTGAGAATTAGAAGACAGCGTTGATGAAGCAGCGGCAACTAGCGACGACGAGTTCTGACCGGTTGCGGCAGGGGCAGGAGTGGACACCTTGCCCAGACCATCGACCAGGGCTTGGTCGTTGAAGCCCTTTCCGAACTTCTCGCCAAGACCAGCCATGTCCTCAATGGAGCTCTCCATCGACAGCTGCTCCGAGTTGCCACCACCCACGGACCTGACGGCGCTGAGTGAGCGAGTGGGTGTACTGCTCTGTGACCAAGATGCGGGTCCTCCCCTTGCGAGACCCCTTCCAGTGCGGGCCACAGTGGGCAGCTCAGTAGCGAAACCTGCGCTTCTCCTTGCCCTCACACCGGCTCGCAGCTCTTCCAAAGCCTCAATGGTAGTCTCCCAGTTGATGCAGGCATCAGTGATGGACTGACCGTACTTCAGACCAGCAGGCCCTTCCTTGGGGATATTCTGCTTGCCCTCGTTGATGTGAGACTCGATCATAGCTCCAATGATGTTCGCTCCCTTCTCACCGCCCAGCTGCTCCTTGATACTCTTGACGACCTTCATCTGATTCTCATGCTTCTTCTCCGAGTTGCCGTGCGAACAGTCGACCATGATCTTCTTTGGCAGTCCAGCCTTCTCAAGCGAAGCGCTGACCTTGGCAATGTGCTCGGGAGAATAGTTGGGACCAGAGTTGGCTCCTCGTAGAATGACGTGGCAGGCGTCGTTACCGTGGGTCTCGACAATGGCGGAGATACCCTGCTTTGTAACGGAGAGGAAGGAGTGTGGGGAAGAGGAAGACTTGATGGCATCGACGGCGACTTGGATGCTGCCATCTGTACCGTTTTTGAATCCGATGGGCATGGACAATCCACTGGCCAGCTCACGATGAACTTGACTCTCTGTTGTCCTGGCTCCAATGGCTCCCCAACTGACCAGATCGGCATTGTACTGAGGCGTAATGGGGTCCAGCCATTCAGTTCCTGCGGGCAGACCCAGATCATTTACCTGCAATAGGAACCCCCTAGCAAGTCGCAGTCCCTTGTTGATGTTGAAGGATCCAGTCAGATCAGGATCATTGATGAGTCCCTTCCATCCAACCGTAGTTCGTGGCTTCTCAAAGTAGACGCGCATGATGATGTGCAGGTCATCCTTTGCCGTATCGGCATAAGCTGCCAGCCGCTTTGCGTACTCGATACCCGCTACAACATCGTGCACTGAGCAAGGTCCAACGACGACGACGAGTCTGTCATCCTCTCCTTTGACAATGGCCTCTGCCTGAGCTCGACCGGTGGAGATGGTGTGGGAGGCAGCTTCACTCAGGGGGTAGTCTTCGATGAGAATCTGGGGTGGGATCAGGGGTCGGATACACTTGATACGGGTATCATCCAGCGCCGAGAGGGGGCTGTGTGTGGTGTGGAAGAGGGACATGCCTGGCTGCTACTACTGCTGCGGTGAAGCCAGACGAGGGAGAAGGTGGTAGTGATGGTGAGATGGGGGGAAAGGATAGGATGGATGGGTGAATGTATGCGTATCCACTTTTGGCCCAGGAAGATGTGCGGCGCAATGCAAGGCAAAAGAAAACTCGCCGCTCCCCGCCTTTGACTCGAGCAGTGGAGGAGGGGAGCAGCGTCACTGTGCCTGCGTGCGCCTGCGTGTCTCTGCCTGAGCACGCGCCCGCCCGCCCCGCTCACCCTCCTCTTCAGTCAGGCAACTCTACAGGCCAAGAGTCATTCATAAATTCATGGGTGAAAGGTAAAGAAGCATGGGACTATTCTCGCATAGTAATCATTCAAATCAGAGGAAGCACACTCCTCTTGTGCTCCTCTTCTCTCTCTTCTATAATGCAGGCCCCACGCTGGCCTCTTTCTACTCCCTGGCACTACACCGCTCGCTTGCATCTCACGCCGCACCTCCACCGCCCGAAGCCCTTCTGAACATCGACTTCACCTTGGCCGCACCTCCCTGCAGCGGCGTAGGAGAAGCCTGACCATGTCTCTGCTGCTGCTGCTGTTGCTGGCTATGGCTGCCCTGACTGTCAAAGCTGCCATTGGCGCTCGTCTCCCTCTTCCTGCTCTTGCCCTTTGTACTGCTGCCCATCGCGGACCCACGACGACTACCTTGCGCCTCCACACCACCACGAGGTCCACTTGTGGCATCTACCATGGCATAATCGTCCTCTTCGTCGCCATCCTCGTCTACCTCCATCTCTCCAGCAGTAGAAGGACTCGCGCGATTGGAAGAGGTAGACGCAGAGGCCGCCGCACCTTGGCCTGGACGTTGCTCTCGGGGACTACCGCTGCCGAGGGATCGACGACTGACGGAGGGACTTCCTCGTGCTCCATCTGACGGGGAGCGATGGATGCCACTGCTACCGTTGATGCCTGCATCTCCATCTTGACTACCTTCTGCCGGTGTGAGGTATCCAACGTCCTCGGAGACGTTGCTGCCTCGCCTCGAGCCGGCATCCGATCCCCTTGGTCCGCTGAAGGGTGCTCCGACGTCGAGAAGATCAGACGACGCTCCACCCAAGCTGGGCATCCCAACAATTCCAACTGATGGTTGCTGTCGTTGAGCTGCCAGACGTCGAGCGGCTGCACTACTAGGAGGAGGTGCTTCTGCTAGCACGCTCAGGACGTGTTGATTCACTGGAGTGCGAGCCTCTTCGAGCGGCGAAAAGCCACTGCTTGCAGCTGTCTGGCCTGCGGGAAATCTGCCGCCCTCGACTCCCTGGATTGAGATTGGCTGAGAGCCCCGACGTGCCTGGATCCCACGTGGAGATCCTGAGCCTCGGGCAAAGGACGATGATCCTGATCGGTCCACCTCCTCGGAGATTCGGTCAATCTCGTGCATCACTTCCGCTCCGAAACCAGCACGATCGTCGAGTAGCATTTCCTCCTCCTCCTCCTCTTCGTCATCCTCTACTTCGTCTTCTTCATCATCGTCTTCGCCACCAGCGTTGCTATCGCTGCTCGTCCTTCTTCCGTGTCCCCTGCGGGAGCCCTCGGGGAAGACCATGGTGCCATCGTACGGTTCCTCAGAGAAGGCAGCGTCGGCAACTGCAGTGGCGGGACGCTGAGCGCTATCATGTCCGCCTACGCTGCTGCCATCGTGATGCACTTGCTGACGTAGTCGGCTAGACGTGAAGGGCACCGAAGGTTGCGAAGGCACCGAGGAGCCGCCCTCGCGCTGATTGATCGCTTGCGAGGGTACAAAGGGAGACTCTGTCGATTGGCCGCTTGAGCCAACAGAGGTGGGCATTTCCACCATAGGAGTAGAGGGTCCTTGTGCCTTTCCAGCTTCGCCATTCTGTGCTTCTTTGAGCAGAGCCTCTTGCCAAGCCTCATCTTCTTCCACATCCGCTTCCAAATCGGCAAAAGTCCTGCACAAGGGGCAAGAGAAGCCAGGATAGTGGGAGCTCAAGAGCGGTCGGATGCACTTGTAGTGGAATACGTGTGAGCATGGCGCAATGAAGAGGGCCTGGCAGACTGTGACCGAGAAGAGACAGATGCAGCAGTCGGTCACGTTCATGGACTGACGGTTGGTAGGCAGCTCGCCAGCGCCCGGGCTTGTGACAGCGGCTTTTGAGGAAGCAGTCTGGATGGGGCTGCCTTGCAGAGCTCTCAGTTGTCGCAAGGCATTGACACTGTTGTGGGATAGGGCGCATGGGTGTGTGAGCAAACATCATCGGTCGCTGCTGGCTCCAAAAGCCGACTACTCACTTGAACTGGTTGGCCTCGCGCTGCCATCCGCGGTTCAGCTCGACCCTGATCTTCACGCAGCGATAGATCTCTTCCGTTCCACCCTGATAGTCGACACCGAGTTGGAGAATATCTCCATCCTTGATCGGGAAAGGCTTCGACTCAATGTTGGCGCCGGCCAGTCGGATGTGGTTCAAAAAGGTACCAGAAGAGCTCTTGGTATCTCGAATGAAGAACTTGCCGCCGGCCTCACACCAGATCTCTGCATGGCCTCTAGAGACGACCTTGGATTTGAATGCGATCCGAGCAGAATCGATACGACCTCCTCCGCCGGCGGTCGTTGGTACTGCACCTCCTCGATTGCCAGGTGCTGAGCCAGAGGGGGCACTTGACCCCACGACTCGACTTGTAGTGGCCTCTTCAGTAGCTGCAGCCGTAGTCGCAGCGGGGCCCCTGTCGGTGAAGCGCCCAATCTTGACAGGCGTGGCACTCTCTCGGACGTCCCTCTCGATTGGCTCAAAATGAAGTGAGCGAGTAGCCTCAAGGTGTGGGACGAGTCGTAGGCGATGAATTCCTGCCTGAGCGGATGGATTGGTACCGGAGGTCTGGAGTGCCGAAGAGGACCCGGTCGTCGTGCTCGTCGTTACTGCTGGGGCAGAAGCAGGAGGTCCATTCGAACCGGCTCCAGTGGTCTGCTCAGAAAGAGAGCGCTCGGGTGCAGCAGATGTGATGGCTGCCGGTACTGAGTCGTTGTTGGACCCGGTGTCCAAGGGGGGCAGATTTCTGCCTCCGGATCCTGGCATCCTGGCATTCGTTCCCGTAGGCGTGACAGAGCTTCCCAATTGTGGAGGAGCATCACTAGCATTGGAATTTGTCCTAGCATGAACTCCCTGACCTTGACTGTACCTCCTGAACATCCTACCAAATGGGTTTGTGCTCGAGCCTGTTCCGCCGGAACTTTCGGTCCTGACCATCTGATTGCTGCCAGCCATCCTGGGTCCGTTGCTGCCAGACATTTCTTGCTCGTCTTGAGGAAGTCGGAAGCTGGTGGATGGACGTGAAGCAGGGAAGCCTACCCTGTCGTTGTTGGAGGAGCTGTTGGACCTGACGTGCTCAAGTGGGATACGACTGGTGGAAGAGGAAGAGTGACGGGTGAGAAGCCCGGGGCGGAAAGCTGACCTCCTGCTGGTGGGCGATGCTGGTTCCACGGGTGAGTAGCCGGCCTGATTTGGGTCCGGCGAGTCTGATCGGAGCGAAGGGACAGAAGCAGCTGCTGCCGAAGAGAAGGAGGATCGTGAACGTCCAAAGATGTTGTGACGCTCAAAGAAGGCACCAGAGCGCAGGGGTGAGGTGGGCCCCCCGTTGGCAGCCTGATTGTTGCCGCTGGTGCCGGTGTGGATGTTGCCTTGTGATGGGCTGGAGGAAGAGGGGAAGCCGTGCTGAGTTTGGTGTTGGTGTCCAGATGAGGCTGGATAGTAGGGGATGGACATGGGGACAGATGCGGTTTCGCTGGGCGGCCCGGAATGCTTCCTGGGGCGCGAGAGGTGGAGACGAGGGCAAGATTGCGCTCCGTCAGAGGAAAGCGAGGTCCGAGGGGGGCAAAAGCCTCCGCTTTGATCGCCCGAGGCGATGAGCCTATATGCACCTTGGGCGGGGCGGGGCGAAACTGGTGAGAGGTAAGGGAACGGGAGGGAGGAGAGGGCGGACGGCGGGGGAAAAGAAGGGAGAGCGGGCGGAGGGTAATCTAGATCCTCGGACTCCCTGGAGAGATGATAAGTGTCAGGTACGGCCGATGGTGAGCGCAATCCTGGCCTCGGGTGGGGGTGGGGGGGAGGTGGTGAGCTGATGTGGCTCTCAGGAGAGGAGGGAAGGGTGAGAGGATGACTCGAGTGAGTGACTTCTGCGGCGGTGGTGAGACAAGGAGGATCTGGGTGGACGAGGGGTGAAAGAGGGCGTGAGTGGACCACTGTGATCGCGGGGGACGTCGTGGGCGGCGTGTGGTGCTTAGAGGCCGGGCGGGGTTGAGATGACGAGAGATGCATCGGCAGGCGCGGGGGCAGCAGCGCAGCAAGGCAGGCAGGCAGGCAGACGCAGGCGCTGAACAAGGCCACACAGCCAGAGTCCCCCCCCCAGCCAAGCCAGACTTCCTTCGGCTAGAAGCAGACGACGTCCGCCTACGATCGCAATTGCCTGGATCATATTCTTGCCGCGTGTCCCTCGTCCCCCTGGTACCATCATCGTCCTTGCGCACTGTGAGTACAGCATCTTGAATCATGGAGCAGTATCCAATTCCAACCACAAGCAATGCACACTCCACCGCACAACCAACGTGATGAGTCCATTTCAACCCAATTATCAATCTGTCAATCCCATGACTGCCCCTCCAACTCACCTCGTCCTATGACTTGGTTTCGAGAGGAGGGGTAGGGTGACAAGAATCTAGTGGAGAGACTGATCGGTATATGCAGCAGCAAAAGGCAGAGGAGCGAAGAGGACCCAGGCAGGATAGAGGTACAGGAAAAGGACTCATGGGCCTAGGCGAAGAGGGAGGAGACTTGTCATTCTCTTCCTCGGGCTACACAGCTGACATCCTTTGTCCTCCCTCGCCTCGTTACCAATCAGTCAGTAAGAAACCGCTTTTCAGTGAGTACAGCGCCTTCATTCTCGCATCAGTCATGAGTACCTCGGAGAAGCGGGTGCAAAGGCACGGTAGAGGGAGAGACGCACACACACACCCAAGAATGATGAGCAACCGAAAACAGAATTTATCAACAAAGGCGACGTTCATCGAAAGATGCTGGGCCACTAAACATTTGCGTTATTGTCCTGACAACAAGCGAGGAAGTGAGAAGATGACAGCGGGAGGGAGGGGGAGAGAGAGGAAGAAAAGAGCGCGGATAGAGGTGGATCTTCACTCCTCACACCTGAAACTCAATGTGTACTCACCACCCCTCTCTTCTCCCTCTCCCCACGTCGCATCCCATTCTAGATAGCCCAGCATGTCGCAACTCTACAGAGATCCCTGGGCAAAGCGTGAAGCATGGCGCAAGCATCCCATCTTCTCCCACCGATTCTACATGCGCAACATCTTCCCTGGATTCGGAATCGCTCTAGGGGCTTTCACTGTCTGTGAGTGGGAGAGCGATGCAGAGACTTGTAGCGAGGGAGCAGGCGATGCGCTTCCCGTCTTGGGGCCAATTGTTGGCCTTGAGAAAGAAAGGGGTGTGGTGCGATGGGAAGAGAAGCTCACCTCCTCTCCTTTCCCTCCTTTTCTACTCTCTCTCACCCTCCAACAGACCTGGCAGTAGACGCGCTGACCCACCCGGCCAACATTGAGAAGCTAAAGGAGGACGCTAGGAAGCAGCGTGGCGAGGAGTAGAGGTGGGAGACATCGGCAAGAGAGAAAAAAAAATGAGTTAGAGGTAGAGAGAGAGAGAGTGGGTGTGTGTACGTGTACGTGTATCAAGACGAGGAGAGTAAAGAGTAAATACCAATCGATACAAAGACCAGAATGTATGCAATCGGTCGCAAGAGCTATTCTCAGATCGGTCCTTGCCTCACGCACGCTCGCACATACCCACGCTCAAAGGCTCAGGAACGAGTGCGAATGATGTCGAAAGAGCTGCTTGGATAAACATTGACATTGGACAATCGACATTGGACATTGAACACTGGACACTGAAGATTGACACAGGAGTATGATGGCCACTGGGAGTTTGAAGGTATGAGGTCTGATTTTGAGAGCGTCTGTAAGTCACGATGAGTCTAAGACAGGGAATGGAGCTGGGGCTGGGGCTGGGAGTTCCTTGCTATGATGACGTCTAATCCGTTTCTATCTCGTTGTGTCTTGCCTTGTATCTGGTTGGTTTTGAGAGAGGAAGAGGTCCAAGAAGGGGATTGTATACTATCGTCGCCATGAGGGGGAGAGAGGTCTCAAGGAGAGTAGGAGCGTTGAGAGAGAGAACAGAGAAGGAACGAAGAGGTTGAAGAAGACGAAGAGAGTTCTCGGCTTAGAGTGCGGTAGAGATGCTGGTCCACCGTCGCGACGTCGAAGTGCGGATATGTTAAGGAAAGAGAGAGAGTGATTGAGGCTCTTCAGGTTCATCAGGAAGGATTTGAGTGTGCTTGTGACAGATCAGAGGAGGGCGAGGCGAGGTGAGATGCCAAAGGTATACTCTTCCTCTCCTGCCATCCCTGCCACTCTACTCCTTTCGGCCCGACTCGAGCTGAGGCGTGGTAGGTCGCTCCTTTAGGTCTCCCTGCACCGTGAGTAGTCCATTGCCGCTAGCGGCAGCAGCAGCCTTGACCACTCGAGTGCCCGTGTTGCTCAAGACTTCCGAAGCGTCCTTTTCGCGAATGGGAGACCTTGGGCCCGATCGCACTGAGCGGGTGCTGGCAGAAGTTTTGCTGTAGGTCTTCTTGTAGAAGATGACAAAGAGGACCAGGTATGAGGAGAGGATGGCCACGCCTGAGACGACGGCATGCTCTTTCTCGGCGGCACAGGCTCCCATGACGGGCAGAAGAGGCACGGCGTACTTCTCGACCCAGTGGGTGTAGGACGCAAAGTAGACTACTCCGAGGTCCAGGATGAATTGGGTAATCTGCAAACTGGTCACTGCCTTCTTCCAAGGACATCGGATCTTGAGCGAGGTGAGGGCATAGTAGGCGTACATTACCACGTGTACAAAGAGGTTCAGAGTGATGACCAGCCAAGAGGTACTTGTACGTCCCAGGAGCTGGGAGTAGCAGAGGAGTGCAGTGGCGGCGTGGTGGTAGACATGTAGGAAGGCGAGTGGCTTCTTCTTGATTACGAGGAAGAGGGTGTCTACCCACTCGAGGTACTTGGTGTAGTAATTGAGAATGTACAGGGCTTCCAGTCGAGGGGTGAAAGATTTGGTGTGGCAGATGGCAAAGAAGAAGCCGTGTTGGTACCAGATGGGCAGGATCTCCTCGAGCATGCAGAGCAGGAGACAGAGACTACCGAAGCTGAGGAAGATATTGTGGACGACAAAAGCTTCCTTCACTTGCATCGGCGGAATCTTGAATCTGTTCATCAGCTCGCGGCCGCCTAGGACCGTGGCCAGGTAGGCGGCGGTGGAGAGAGCCACGATGGGAAAGGTGGAGAGCGGTGTGACTCCTTCCTGCCATGTCAGGTAGGGCGAGTTGGGGCCGGGATGGAGGGCGGCGGGTGTGACAATGTGCCAAATGGCGGCAAGGGTATCGTAGACTGGTGTAGGCGACATCCTGAGAGGTTGATGCTGAGTGCTTAGACAGGAGGGAGGGTGTGGTGAGTAGTGCAAGCTTCCTGAGCGGGCAGCGTGGAGAGCAGGCAATAAGAAGGGCAAAAGGGGGGAGTAGAGCGGTTGATTGTGGTGGTCGCGGGTGGTGTGGGAATGGTAGTGATGGAGAGGATGAGTGGGGGGGGAGCGTCTTGACCTGGTGTCAGTGACCTAGCTTCTTGTAGTCTGGGTGGTGAGGACGCTTGGATGACAAGGGGCAAAGGAATGATTTGTCTCGGACTGCCTCTCTGTTGTTCTCTTGCCGAGGTGTTGATTTCCTCCGCTCCGCCGGAAGTGGCTTCCCGCGTGGCCGCCGCCCAGATCCCACCGCCGTACCTCCAATTCCAATCACAGACGCGCTACTCTGACACTCCTAGCGCAAAAGGCCAAGATGAAGTGCACCTCTCAAATCAGACGCGAAGAACGGCAGCAGCAACACACTGTATTGTCCATATTGGAAGCTTTGACACACTGAGGACAATGAAATGAGATCATTGCCACCAGGCTTGACACCAGATTCCCCGACGAGAGAATAGGTACGAGGCGAGCTTGGCACCATCGTATGGCCGTATGTCAGGGCAGAAGGACGTCTGAGCTCTTGAGACTGTCATCTCATCAAAGGCTCGTAAATCCATGACCAGACTCGAAGAACAGAGACGACAGGAAATCCTCTGGCTGTTTTGCAGTTGAGCAGCTGGCCCTGCCTTGCCGAGGCGAGGAGATCGGACGAGGAGATCGGATGCCATGCGGACGAGGATTGTTCTTCACGACCGATGGTAGGCGCTGCAGCTGCCTGCATCGCCTCGGTGCCTCGTCGCTTGCCTGGACATTGGACTGGCTGCTTCCCCTGGTCTCCTCCTTCACCCCCTACCTTCGCCTCCTTCCTCAATACCCATACCAGCACCATTCCTCACACTCTCCGCCAATTCACTCCCTATACGCATTCTCACAGCTAAAGCCATCTCTCTCTTATGGCATACACTCTGACTGCACCGACACAATTACAGTCGGTCTCTGTCGAGCCTCAGACGTGCTCTTGACATCTTTAACATCATCCTGACCTCTACCTCGTTCAGCAGTCCTTCTCCTTGGCAAGGGTCGCCCGCCATGGCTTCCACCCTTGCGACGTCCACCAGGGCTAGGAAGCACTTACTTCCATCCGAATACTCGCCATCAGCTCCCAGTCCCAGTCCACCAAGAACGCCAGTCAATGCAGTCCCTGACACGCAACAGTTCACTTCGCCTGGCTTTGCTACAGCCGTCCTGGACCCAGGCTCAGATCCTGTCATCGCCGCTAGGCATCGCTCAAAGTCGGAGGCACAGTTGCTCCAAAGCGCTTACTATCCGAGAGGGGAGATCGAAGCGGGACCTCAGAATACAGTCTCTGCTACCCACGAACAGCCATACGCATCAATTGAGGACCACGGTAGGTACTTGACGACCAAGGGAGCCATGTGCTGCAAGCCTTGCGTATCGTGACGGTGTCTCTCTGTCACTGGCTCTGACACTTCTCCTCACCCCTGTTCCCCTTTGCGGGGCTATCTACCAGGCCTGGCCGCTGCTCTCCACCGGCGTTCTTCCCGCCTTGGTCTATCGCTTGTCAGCAATCAGAGCCCTACCCGCTCTCACTTTGCGCGTAGCACTGAGCCAGTCCGATCTCGTGCTCGCGAAGAAGGAGACCGTGTCGACGCATCTGATGTCGCAACGCGACTGAGAGCCACCACCTTTTCAGCTCACCCTTGGCAAAGTCCTTCCCATTCTGGCTCTCCACCTAAGTCCCGCCACAGCACTCGTCCCAGCTCGTACGTAGCCTCACATCATGCCGAGTCAGAGCATCTCGCTGCTGTCGAGTGCCATCCGGAATGGCTTCTCGATGTCAATTTACGATCAGCAATGTTGCAGTACACCAGCGAGAGGCAGGGCATGTCAAACGGAATCACTAGCCACGTGACACAACCAAACAGCTTCGATGCCATCGGACAGACTCACAGCTTCGCAGACTTTAAGCGTGCAGCGGACGATCAGTGTAGCGACAGATCAACAGATAGCTTCGAGGTCTTTGATGATCCAGAGCAAAGTACCGCAGAGCGAGCAAGAGGCCTGCACGCTCGGACAGACTCTGGCGGATTTGCAGGCAGTAGCGGTGCTGCGCATGTGACCGTTTCTCACCGTCACGTCTCAAAGGTCAACAGCACTGAACACCTCCCTCCGGTCATGAGGCAGGGTCTATCGCGACGTTCTAAGACCACCGCGTTGACAATGACCAAGACTACCGCTGCCACTGTCTTTGATCAGCCCAACCGAGCGAAGTCAGCAGCTAAAAAAGACGAGGACATCTTTGGGTCCCACTCTGTCGCACCTGCCAATGTCAGCCGTCACTCGCCAAGCGAAGCCATCCAGAGTAGCCGTTCTGGTGGAACTCCGAATGGTGAACAACTCGATCGCCTCCTCGACCACGTCGCTCATTCTCGTCGACGAGCAGTCACTACTGTCCTTGCTACAGACGCCACTCCAGCATCTCTCCGACTAGTGTCGAGCCCAGAGCTATCTGCGACTCCTGATTGCCAGGGTGTCTTTTCTCCCTTTCCTGACAGTTACACTGAATTGCTGCAGGGTCAGTACTTCGACCACATCGACCACAACGGTCAGCCAGGTTCTCGCAATGGGCACGAAGCAAACGATCAACAGATCACGCTGGACGAAGCCGACCCGCGAGCAGTGGCCGCTGCTTTGCAGTACCACCGCACCTCCCCCAGTGGAGCGACTGGACGAGATCTCAAGAAGATCTCATGTGAGCTTTGCGGAGCACTGGTCCTCCGCTGGGCCATTCTTCTACCCTGCAATCATCGAGCTTGTTCGGCATGCTGCTGCTCGGGCGTCAATCAGGTTTCGACGACACCGCCTCGTCGACACGTATGCGCTGCCTGCCAGGGGATAGTCACAGGCTTGACTCTGTCACTACCGGCGGCCGAAGCCGCTCAAGCTGCAGCTTGGTCACGGGGCGGTGATGCTGATCCTTCCCCTAGACCGACGGCCTACACTGACCCGAATTTGTATCCTGCGCCCGAACTCATGCATGCGCACATTGCGTCCAACAGAAGTGACCTGACAGGGCGCTTCCCTGGTGTCGCTGAAGCCTTACTCGGCATCAATCGTCCCATACGAGGCATTAATAGTGATGTAGTAGCAGCTGCTCTGGCTCGTCAGCCTGTTATTCCGCTTCCCTCCGAAAAGGTGAGTCGGCTCATTGTCAGTCTCGACACGCATTTCGACAGATAGGTGATGCTAATTAGTTGACTGTGTGATCAGCCTGAATGTACTAGCACACCTCAGCACACAAGCTCAGACCGAACTTCCAACACTGCAGACTTGTCCATTACCTTTAGCGAAGACGCTTCGTTCTACGGCCCACAGCGATCACGACACCGTCCAAGAACTTACACTGGCGGCAGTCACGTAGACCGTAGCGCCAAGGACACCAAATGTGAGGTAAAGCGACACGTTGCGAGCGAAGATCAGCAGGAAGCCAGGAATCAGCTGTCGTCTCCTAGCAAAGCAGCAAGCGCTCGGACTCCTGCGTCCGACAACCACATTCGAGTGGAGCCTTTGCCGGATGAAAGTCACCTGATCGCAGTAGTTAGGGTTGACAACATTCCGTGGAAGACCTCTTACCAGGACATAGTGAAGTGGATCCCCGATCCGTACGAGCTGCTTCCTGACCCGGCAGACGTGGCACAGCCAGTGCACGTCCCCATTGACGTCAAGACGGGCAAGACTGCCAATTGTGCCTTTATTGAGCTCAAAGACGAGGGTTCGGCCAAGAAGCTGATCAGACGTCGAAACAACACCAAGCTCTGTGGGAGGCCCGTATCGCTTCTGCTGTCCAACTACGAAGAAGTCATCGGAGAGGTCTTTCCATCGGTAGAGCACTTCCCCCCCGGCACACCCACTCGCCTTCTCACGTACTTCACCAAGTGGCAATTGGAGCAACTGATCCAACTGCTCAGAAGCGGTGGACCCCAGCTTAAGTCACCACTCAAGCCCATCGAGTATATCATCTCCCTCATTCAGCTTGTACCAGATGATCTTTCTCCAGACCAGCGCGACCTGCTTGCTGAGAAAGCGCTCGGCGTCCTCAAGAAAGGAACGCAATGGCTCAATAGCCGTGTTGATGGCTTGTTCTTCGCCCTACACCGCCTAATTCAAGCAAGCGTCAACAATAGAACCTTCACCAGGGTCCAAAAGGACCGCATTGTGGAGGTGAGTCGAACGCGACATACCAGGGTAGCATTTGGGTAGCTGACGCGCTTACGATCGACTTCTGCTCTGCTCCCAACAACCTTCAGCACGTACGACAAATCCCTAACATCCGCGTCAACACAGAGGCGGCTTCGGCTGCTAAGCCAGTGGTTGAGACGGCGGCGGCAATCCACGATATCACCCATCCAGCCAAGCAAGGCCATGCTCCCGAATCAGCTCACCACTACCGAGACCAAGGGACTGCCCATGGACCTGTGCCTTACCACTCACACAACAGCACCGCAGGCTTCCCCTTTCCACCATACTCGTCTTTCGCAACGACTGGAGACTATGTAGCTCCCGGTATGCCTTTTGGTCATGTCAGGCATGCCACGGTCGGCTCAGCTCCAGCATTTACGCCATCCACGATGACCGGCATAGGCGCCGGAGCAGTGCACTGTGATAAATGGCTCATTTCTGACTCGTACAGTCAGAAGAGCGTCCACTCCTGCAGCGCAGACTGCGATAAGTCTCAAGGTGTGATTGGAGACGTCAGCAAGAGATTCTGGCACGGGCTCGACAATAATGCCGGCGTTGGCGTCAGCGACGGCCATTGAATAGACTCGGGATGCCTCGTCATCGCGTACCGAAGCATTCAAGATTCACCCGCCTGCACCCTCTCCCAGGACCGACTTGAGGACCATGCATATCGAATGATATGTTCTTTAGCAAGCACTTGACAAACAGCGAATCGACAAAAGTCCTTGATATCCATCTTGAAAGCCACACGGACCACACTCTCGTTCGCTGGCTCATCCCCCTCACCTGAGATACCTCTCCGAAGCGCATGCAGCACAAGTCCTTGTACAACACAAGTAAGCAAACGTAAGACCGCTAGGCCCGGATCTGTCGCAATAAAAAGTCTTCCCTGTCATCCAGCATTCCGTTTTGAGCAATGACAACGCCTTCTTCCTTCGCACTGCGTCGGCGGATCCAATGCAGCTGGAAGTAATAGTCTGTATTGTGAGGGGAGTACCTAAATTACTTTCACCTCCTGCCACCACCCTTGCCACCCCTCTTGACTGGCGAGCCCCTCGACTTGCCACCAGACCCACCACCTCTGCCGGCGCCACCGCTACCGCCGCTCGACCTCTTACCAGCACCACCTCCCTCTCCCCTCTCGCTGAAATCTCGACTGAACCCGCCACCCTTCTTGCCCACCTTGAGGGCAGCACTACTGCTCCTCTTCTTCTTCTTTCCCGCACCCTCCTTGGCCACCTTTGTGCCCTTGCGTGGCTCGGGGATACCCAATTCTTTAGGCCTAGCAGCCTTCTTCGCGCTGCGAATCCCCGCCTCAATGGCTCCTCGGCCCATGCCGCTGCCCTTTTCCTCGGCAGCAAGCTCCTCCTTTGCCATCTTTGTGCGCTTCTGCTTGCGCGACAGACCAGAAAAGCGATCATGCTTTGCTGCCGAGGACGAGGAGGAGGCCTGTCGGTCTTCCTTGCGCTTTTGCGAGGCGGAGGCGGGATCGACTTTATTCCTGTATTCGGAAGCGGAGAGGTTCTTGTTTGCCTCCTTGTCCTTTTCAGTCTGGAACCAAGTCCTCTTTGGTCTACTCATGATCTCGTCGCGGTGCTCGATCATGTTGGTGCCCTTCTTGAGCTCCATCTCTGCCTGGCGGAGCGCCTTCTCCTCCCTCTCCTCTTTCATCACCTCCTCCACGTCACCCTTGAGAGATTCGATCCTGTCACGCACACTCGCCACTACCTCGACGGGGATGAGGCGATGCTTGATCTGCTCTGCAGGAGAGCTCTTCAGGACCGTCTTGAGAAGACGACGGTCTTGTTCACCCACCAAGGTCACCGCACGACCATTGTTGCCTGCACGAGCCGTTCGACCAACTCGATGGATGTAGATTTCGAATTGGGCAGGCATGTCGTAATTGATGACTGTTTGAACGCCTTTGATGTCCAAACCACGCGAGGCGAGGTCGGTAGCAAGGAGAAAATCCACTCGGCCATCCTTGAAGGACTGGAGAGCGTGCAGACGCTGCTCCTGCGAGAGGTCTCCGTGCAGCTCACCCGCCGAGAGGCCCATGAGGCCAAAGAGGACCTTCAGCTGATGGGCTAGCTTCTTCGAACGGAGGAAGACGATCACTTGGTGGCGGAAGGTACGCAGACATAGCGAGAGGAGGAGCGCCGGACGAGCTTCGTCCTCTGTACGTTTAGAGTTGGGCTGTCTCACCTCCTCGCCGTCGGGTCCTCCTCCTGTTGCACCTCGTACTCTCACGAACTCTTGAATGAGTTTCGTGGCAGTGGTCCTCTTGGGGTCGACGAAGAGTCGCACTGGCCGCTTGAGACTCAGCCTGACTAGCTCGTCGACGTCATCAGTCATGGTAGCGGAGAACAACATCGTCTGACGTCCCCTCGGAGTGGACTGAATGATCTCGTTCAGCTCTGCAGCGAATCCCTCTTCGAGCATTCGATCGGCCTCGTCCATGACTAGGATTTCAATGTCTTCGATACCGAACGATGCAGAATTGCGGATGTGGTCAATCAGACGACCAGGTGTAGCAATGACGACTTCTGGACGCAGTTTGAGCTCCTGTTCTTGGGACTTGAGGGACAGACCACCAACGCAGAGACAGAACCGCACGTCTGTGTACTTGCCCAGCGCTTTGCCTACGTTCCAACACTGGACTGCCAACTCTCGAGTTGGGGTAAGGACCACGACTCGTGTCTTGGCTTCGGACTGACCTCGAGGTCGGTGAGCCAGCCTTTCGAGAATGGGAAGCATGAAGGCAGCAGTCTTTCCAGATCCAGTGACGGCTCCAGCTACAATGTCCTTGCCTGCCAGAGCGATCGGAATGGTACGCGACTGGATAGGTGTAGGCGTGGCAAAGGAGAGGTCCGCCAGCGCACGGAGAAGAGGCCGCGCCAGGGAGAATGACTGAAAAGAGGATGTCACCTCTTCATCCTCGCCCTCTTTCTTGGGCTTTCCATTGGCTTGCAGGTCGCTTTCAGAGGCGAAGTAGGCTGCCTTGCGTGCTTTGTCCACCGCTGTCTCTTGGTCAGACTCCTCGTCCGAGCCAGAATCGTAGGCAGACTCTACGTCCTCTTCGTCATCTGACTCGTCGTCCTCGTCCTCGTCCTCGTCTTCACTGTCATCATCGGATTCAGAGGCCAGCTTGACACCTCCTCCAAACTCGTCGATGCCGTCCTCGTCGTCATCGCCGTCTGTCACTCCGAGCGCGTCTTCATCAGGCTCATCGGCCTCCTCCTCCTCCTCCTCGCCGAAGCCAGTCCACTCTGGCTCTCCTGCTTCGTCCTCGTCTTCATCGTCTGAGAATTGCAGTCCCTCGTCTCCCCGATCTTTCCGCTTCCTCTCGATGATGTCGTCCACTGTGATCCTGCCGTCCTCCACGCCGCCCTGCTTGACGTTGAAGTTCCAGCCATTGTGTCCTCCCTCCTCCTCTTCCACGTCGAAAGAGAAGGCCTTGTCGAGCGCCAGCTCATCTCCTGCTGCAGATGGATCAAAAGTAGACGGAGCTCTGCCTTTGCCCTTGCCATCGATGATTTTCTCCCTCTTGCCTAGCTGCGCCTTGGGCTTGGCAGTCGGGGCGCTGACAGGAGGAGGAGGCGAGGCCTTCTCCTCGAGATCCACGCTTGCAGCCCGACCATTGGAAGAAGGGCCAGCGACATCAGCAGAGGTAGTTGCAGCAGCGTCTTCGTCATCCGAGTCCAGTGTCATGATGAAGTCGTCATCGTTGGCCTTCCTCTTCGAAGAAGAAGCGGCCTTGGAAGCGGAAGGGGATGATGTGGACCCATTGGCGCCGCCGCCGCCGCCAAGGCTCTGACGCTTCGTCGCTGTCGGCATGGTGAGCCTTGGAGATATATGTGAGGTACGTAATCGAGGCTCCTTGTCAGTCCCGGAGACTAGGCGATGATGGCTGTACGCTCGAGTGATGGATGTGAGTGTACGTATGGTCACTGCGACGTCTCCCGAAGAAGCGGTGGGATCCAAAATTTCCCTTCGGCGGACAGGAACACGGAAAAACGCGCGGAACGGAAGGAGGGGGTGAGCGGACCACCCTCAAATGTAGAGAGACACGACCCAGATTCACAAGAGGCGACGCGACAGTAAACAAGCAACACGTACTGACAAAACGGACTGGTTATATTTCACAGACAGGCAGGATGTCGGATACGTGATCGTAGAATTCTCTGAGTGCGCTGATGTTCGTTCCGACCTTCTTGAAGGTGCTGTATGGGCTAAGTGTGACGACTCGGCCGTGACTGCCTGCCATGAAGTTGCTGCATGTACAGGTCTTTCTCGGATACGAGCCGCACTGTCGCAAGTGTGAGCTCCGCGAACAGCCCCTTTCCTCTATCTGGTTGCCCTCGGGCAGAGCAATCCTCTGCGCGGACCGCTTGCTCTGTGCTTGTATCCGCTTCGTTCGACAGAGCCGCCAATGTACAATGCTGTTCCGTTGCTGCTATGTCCGCTTCCCTTCGTGATCCCGAGCTTGGCAAGCGCGGGGATTCGACCTTGTTGGTACGTACTCATTTGCCCCTCGGGTCCCTCGCTTCTAGTTGCCAGCCTCATACCGTGCTCTACTAGCAGCGAAGAGGGCCTCCTGCTGTGCCTGAAGCTCCTCGGCGCTGAGTCCACTTCCAGCCATCTTGCTCGCCTTCTTCTCCCTCTGCTTCATCTCCACCTTGTGATCCTCCAGCACCTCTCCGATTTGTGAAACGTACGACTCGAAGCCCAGCTCCTTGAGTGCTTGCATGCAGTGGTCTGGCCCGATGGTCTTTTTGCCCGACTTTTCGCAGAAGTCGTTTGCTTCCGATGAGACGAGGTGGATGAATTCTGCGAGAGATCCAGCAATGGATACATTCAGAAAAAGATGAGAGGGGAGGGATATCATCAGGACTAGGGCGTCGGAGACGCTACGCGCTGCCCCGTTCGCCTACTCACCTGTACATGCTTCAACAATGAGCTCCTTCACCTCCTTTGAAGCAGAAAGATCGTCCGGTAGAGCCTCTGCCGGTCGAAGAGGGAAGCTGTCGGGTTAGACTTGCCATGTCTTCTTGCTCGCTTTGCTTCTTCGTGTACGCCCCTCCTCCCACTACTCACCTGAGATGAGCTTTTGCACCGTTGCTCGCGGCAATGTCAGCTCCTCATCTGCTCCACCACCACCGCCGCTACCGAACTGTTCATTGTCAGACATTTTGACGTCAGAGGCAGCGATCAGAGCCCGAAAGCCCTTCCGCGTTGAGGAGGCAGGCAACCAAGGTCGAGAGGAGGTGCGGGAAGGGTCTGTAGAGGATGGACCTGCACCACAATGAGCCACTCGAGGGACGAGATGGACGGCTGAGCGAGCTTCCTGCGCAGCTCTCAGAATGTCGTATGAGAAAAGAAGTCCGAGGCTGTAGGGCGATCACCTCCCGAATCAGGACGCGAAAGCTATGGTGAACGAGTATGAGGTAGGTGCTTCGGAAAGGAGAGCGATGCAAGGCGGATAGAAGCGAGACACGCCTCGTCTCTTGCTACGCCCTGCGTGTGGCGTATATGTACGTTCCATGCGTCTATCTCTCTTTGATTCTCTCCTATGCTCCTGTGGGTGAGTTGGTTTAGCCGCATTGCTTATATTTGCTCGTCAATTTTTGACTGCCGATACACAAAATGTCATCCCCAGCGCTAGCTGGGTCCGAGACGAAACGATGACTACGAGAGTTCGAGCCTCTCCAGGAGCAATTTTTGGCCCTTTCGGAAATTGCTATCTAGGACGCCGGACAAGATACAAGACATCTAGACTCATCAAATCAGCGCTATCGCATTTTTTTTGCGGGTGATTTTTCACACATACATGCCACTGGCTACTGCTCTTCGCCTGGCTGCCACTTTCCTCCTGCTCTCCACGAACGCTGCCATCGGCGGGCCAGTGCCTCCCTTCGCCTTTGACCCCACGAGGTCCACCTGCAGTGGCGCGGGATCAACCTCATCCTGCGCCTCCTCCTCCTCTTCATCTTCATCAGACGGAAACTCCTCCTCTAGACTCAGTCCCTGCATGCCCTGTGATTTTTTCTTCTTCGACTTCCGTTTCCTGCTGACGAGCCTGGTGTGAGGACGAGCTTGCTGTACAGTGCTAGGGAGCAGGAAGACCTGCGAGGGGATGCCTGCGTAGATGGCTTCTTGTAGAAGCAAAGATGAGACCGTATGCGTAGGGTGGGAGAGGTAGTTTGGGGGTGCAAAGGGCTGGGTGGGCTCGGGTAGGTAGCTTGCAGGTGTGGAGGGTACGCTGGAAGAGGAGAGGAAGCGCACTGGCGTCGGGGACGATGACATCCCTGCTGATGAGTCGGTGCTGATATAGAGGGTGGTGTTGTAGTGATCGACCAAGGTCAGGCTGGAGAGAAGTGGAAGAAAGCCGTCAGCTTCCTCACAGGCTTGTAGCAGCTCCTTCGAGCAGAGTAGAGGTGCACTTCAGCCAAGTGCAGCGCATCTCAGCGGTCCCCACTCACCTCTTTGCATCCAGCTTCTTCAGCAACGTCTTGACCAGCTCTGCCAGCTCCAAGATGTTCTCAGCAACCGCACTTCCAGGGTACAGCAGCATGCAAGTCCCCTCCCCGTGTTCCGCCCAGCTGCCTACCTGCCGACCCCTCCAGTCTATCCTCCCTTGCTCTTTGAACTCCTGTCTTACCGCAACTCCCTCTCCCGCTTGACCAATGAGAATGGTAACATCCTGGCCTCCTGCCCTGTTGGGGAGCGAGGCGGGTGAGAAAGAGACGTGGGAAGCAGAGACACTGCTCTCCCCTACCGAGGTGGGCAGCTCATCCTCGTCCTCGCTGTAGTCTTCTTCGCTGTCAGACTCGACATCGTGGCGAGGAGGAGGGACGTCGATCCTAGACAGAGGATCGTAGATGTGCGACATTCTTACTGCGTCGCAAGATATGCTGCTGCTGCTGCTGCTCAGAAGAAAGCGTACGCGTCCTCGCAGGTTGGACTTTCACTTGCAACGGAAAGGAGTACGTGGGCTGATGACTAAGCAGAGGTGGAGGAAGTGGAATAGCGCTAGTAGTCTAATCACTCGATATTCCGAGCCTCGCCATCCTTCGCCTACGCTGCACTTTTCCATCATATCGACCAGCATCGCCATGGCGACACCCACTCTTGTACGAATCCCAATGCCTCTGCGCTCTAGAGCAGCGGCAGCAGCGGCGCTCTCCATCCACCCCGCAGCCAGCCGCCCGTTTACCTCCTCGTCATCCTCGGCTTCTTCCTCTTCCTCCAACAACAACAATCTCCCCGTAGCAAACCCCACCTCCCTCCTATCCCGCACAGCCAACACTCTTCTCCCACCTCTACCCCTATATCGCCGTCTACTGCGAGCTCACCGGCATCTACTCTCCTACGAGATGCGCTCCCTCGGCGATACGTACGTCAAGGACGAGTTCAAGCGGCACAAGGCAGTCACAAACCCCCTGCAGATCGTGGGATTCCTAGGTCAGTGGAAGGTCTATCTGGACCAGCTCGAGGCGGGAGGGGTGAAGGCCAAAGGTGGAGAGGAGAGGGCGAAGTTCGAGGGGAGGAGATTAAAAGAGGAGGAGTTCAGTAAGGTGAGTGCGCCGCTGCAGGAGAAGTCGTACTGGAGGCTGCTTTGGCATGCTGATACCATCCCTGAGCCCCGCCCTCCGTACCTGCGACTCCACAGCTATCGGAAGAGCAGCTCTACCAGCTACACGAGTTCATGACTGCCACACAGGAGCTGTACAACCCCTCGGCTCCGGGCCCGCCAGGAGCGCCCACACCTCAAGATGCCGGCGGGGCAGCCACCACCTCTACCTCGCCGCTATCGCCTGGGGATCCAAACGCAGAGGGGACCGTAGGTGGCGGCGCTTCGAGTGGTGGGGACAGCATGGAAGGGAGAAAGGTCATTCAGGACATCCTCGACTCGTCGGCCCCGAAAGAGGAGGGAGGCAAAGGGCGCTGAGCGATGTACGCCGATCACGTTGAGCAGCATGAGCTCGCTGGTGTTCTCTATTGCAGATGATTGTAATTGGTAATATCAGACACTGTCTGGCTTTTGCCCGTCCATCGAGATTATGCATCTGCTCTGGCCTGATCATTCTATACATCGAGAGACTTGAGGTCACCCGCGACCACCCTCATCCTCTCTTCACTGCCCGAAAATCGGCTTCCCCACGCCTCTGCAGCATCCCTTGCAAGCTGTACGCTGCCCACCTGCAGCTTCTTCGAAGAAGGCGAGACGAGCAAGTTGCCCAGTGCAATGAGCGTGCGGTAGATGACCTCGCTGTCCCCTTCTTCCTCCGTGAGAATCTTGACGATCGCATCCAAAATGGCTCCGGCGAAGGGCTGCGCTTCTGCAGAGGCGGTGACGGCGACGGAGAAATTGTACACGATCGTGGCAAAAGCTACTCTTCCATTCTTGTTCATCTTGGCAAAGTCGGCGCTGTGCAGCTGAGCAAGAAGTTCTTCAGCCAGCTTCAGCAATTGACCTACTTGAGGTGAGCTGAAGAGGTTCGCAACACCCCTGGCGGCTAGCATGGTGTTTGTCTCCTTGGCTTTGGAGTCAACAGGCGAAGTCCACTCGGCCGCTTCGAGGATTGTTGAGACAAAGCCTTGCACTGACGCAGTCGTACCTTGCAGCGCGGACAGCCTGTAGATGTCAAGCAGCGGTAGCCTAGCAGCAGGAGGCCAGCTTGTCATGGCTTGAGAAAGCGGAGTCAAATCGACGGGCGAGGACGAGCTGCCGAGAGCACTAATGATGCTCGAAGCATCAATAGGCGAGCCGGAGCTGGCCGAAAGCTCATTGAGCTTAGCTTGAAGAGCTGGGAGGTTGGCTTGCTTGAAGGAAAGGTAGGACCTCTGGGGCAGGATCTTCAGAGCAGGCGGGGCAGTAGCTTGTGTAGTGGGCCGCGAGCCATTGCTTCCAGGCGCTGGCCCACCGCTGCCAGGAACGTATCTTCCGGCCGTCCCGGAGAATGGGTCCACGTACGCCTCATTGGACCTTCCGCCAATGGTGGCCCCTTCAACATTCTTGTCGATGAAAGACACGACTTGCTCTAGATACTCTGCTGGCAACTCGTTCTTGTCCAAGAATTTCTGGGCGGCGGAGTAGGCGTTCTCGCTGAGATTATACGGCAGTTTGAGGGGTGGCACGCCATCGGCAATGTCCACATCAAAGACGTAGTCGTACTCCTTGCCTTGATGCAGCTTCTTCTGGCCCGAGCCGACGCCTCCCACTACCTCACCAATCTTCTCCCATCTCTGCGATGCCATCGACCATTGATGAGCCTCAATCACGCCGTTGTTGGACACCATCTTAGTCTGGCCTTCCTTGCTACCAGGCTGTGAGAGAGCTTCGACGCCAGGAACGTCGTCTTTGCGGACATCTCCAACTTGTGTCTTGTTGAGCGCTTGCGATGCAATACTGCGCTCGTAGGTCTGCAGAAGTGGCGTGAGGAGCGACCGGTCAGCATCAGCAGTTAAGACGGCCTGAGATTGGCTCTTGCACTCACATCCAGCTCCTCCGTATCTGCTATCCTCTCCTTTTGCCTGGTGAACACCCGGATCTGGTGATCGCTACTTCCACAAACAAGATCACCGTCTTGCAGAGTTCCAACAGACCAAACCGAGATGGCAGGTATGGTGAGCGTCTGGATCAGGGCGTCGCCTTGCCATACACGCACGGAGCGATCTTCGCCTGATGAGACAAGCTCGTGAGCGGCTGAAAGGGTCGCTAGGGAATACACGAAGCTGGTGTGACCGGAGAGAGTCCGCTTCGGTCTATTTATCCCACGAGCGTCTAGGGAATCCAAAGAGTAGATATTGATGGTACCATCATTTGAGCAGCTTGCAAAGCTCTTCCCGTCCTGAAGCAACGTCAGCCCTCTCACAGCGTCATCATGACCGCCAAAAACGGCGATAGGCTCGGCAGGACGCGAGATGGACCACAACCGGATGATCTTATCAGCAGAGGCTACCGGGAACAGGTGCAGAGAAGCCCGTTAGTGCGGAAATGGTCATCGAAGGTCGAGCGTCTTCTACTCACCAGTAATGACTCTGTCCTCATCTACCGCCAGCACTGCCCAGACTGCCTGCAAATGACCCTTGAGAGTAGCCACGCACTCCCATCCCTTCCATACCCGAGCGGTCTTATCCCAGCTCCCACTGATAATGTACGCCCCGCCCGGTCCAACATCGAGGGTGGAGATATTGTCTTCGTGGCCTAGGAGCGTATAGTCTGGGGTTTTCGAGCTCGTTGCCCTTCCATCTGCATCTACGGAGACCTCAAAGGCATTGACGAGCTTGTCTTGGCCACCAGTAAGTGCGAAGACTGCAAGATAGAAGCAGAGCGAATCAATGATCGTCAGCGAGGAAGGCTCCGGGATCTTTCTCATGCCTCTCAAGACTCACTTCCCCCAGCTCCATCAGACAGCCAATGGCAACTATTCACATATCCTCCATGGCCCCCTAGTACCTGTGGCGGCTCGAAATGCTGTGCGCCTGGCAGACGAGCCCATACACATGCAGTTGTATCTCTTGAAGCCGAAAGGATGAGAGACGAGCCTGAAGACGTCGTATGCGTGGCTACGGCTCTGACCTGGACAGTAGTAGCGGAAGGGTAGTGGGATTGAGAGTGACAGGTCAGCTCGAGATTGTATGGGACGTGGCGTGTAGACCAGCCTGACTCACATCACCAGTGTGTCCTTGCAACTGTACCGACAGCTTGTAAGGCGGCGACGATGCTGAAGAGGAGGAGGACATGCTGGAGGGAGGGAGAGGGTAGCCTTTGGTTGTGTTGGTATCCGAGGTGAGGAAGGAGTGGCAGCCTCGCTCCACTGCTTGAGTGGATGACGACGGCTGCTCGGATGCGCGCGTGAGCACAGACCACGTCCTCGCCAATGAGCCAGGCACAACACTTTGTTCCTGGCTTCGGTCATCCGCCCTTGGTAGAAGATAGACTATCACTCCTGTCACTGCTATTACTCCCTGGTACCGTTGCCATCATCTCACACCGACTACCAAGCAGCGATGGACCACGACCACTCGCACCATCACATGCCTGGTATGCCCGACATGGACATGGGCTCCGGCGAGTCCTGCAGCATGTCCATGACCTTCAACACCTCCTACAAGAACCTCTGTCTCATCTTTCCCTCTTGGCGTCTCACTACTGCTAGCAGCCTCTACCTCTCTCTACTGGTGATTGTGGGACTCTGCGTTGGATATGAGTGGCTCAGATTGATCCTCAAGAGGCTAGATAGGAGACTTGTTGGAGCAGCGCGCAGGAGGGGTGCCTCGGCTGCTAGTGCGCCGCTGCTGGGGGCGGCCGAGGCGGGTGGGAGTAGGGCAAGGAGCGCTACGAGGAGGTATGATCCAAAGGTGAAGAGGAGCGGTGAAGGTACTCAGGGACTGTTGTACGTGTGAGTCGCGCAGAGCTCCTCGTCCTCGTTGAAATTGTAGAGCTGAAGAGATCTGACCACTGCTCCCCTGTGCCAGGCCAACACTATCCCTGTCCTTCCAAGATCAATCGGTACGCTCAATAGGCTATGCTATCGCAGTAGCCTACTCATACACGCTCATGCTGCTCTTCATGACCTACAATGCCTACGTGTAAGTATCTGTCCCCGCCCTCTGCTGTCAACTTGCACAGGTAACCCCATAATTAAGTCTCCTCTTCCGGCACCGATTCATCCACAGCATCTCTGCAATCATCGTCGGAGCAGCCCTCGGCCATTACCTCTTCAATCGACCTGCCACAAACGACGAGGATGATGGGGAAGATGTTGAGAGCGAAGGAGAAGATCGCGGCATGGCCTGTCATTGAGTCTGTGCGAATACATAGACCTATCGGTATTCCGGGCATGATGGAAGTGCTGTGCCCTTCCTCACTCCTCGCTCTTCCTCCGCTTCTCGAGGTGCGGCACCTCTTCACTCCGCTCCTTGTTCTGCTGTCCCTTCTTCTTACCCGCACTCTTGACAGCAGGCCCACCCCGCTTATCCACATCCACAATCGCCCCGGCCTCCCACCGCTCCTTGAGCCACTGCCGAGCTTCTTCCCCGGCGGCTTCAGCTTCGGCTGCGCCTGATGGGGGTGGACGCGATAGCTGCCAGATCAACAGGGCGTTCTGAATTTTGGGCAGTAGCGGTGAGGGGGAGAGGGAGAGTACAGAAAGCAGCTCCTTGCCCTGTGAAGTGTGATGGGACAGGGGGGATGGATGAGTCATTGTCTCAACATTGATTCCAAAGTTATAGCACGGCACTCACGTCCATCAAGGGCTTCTCGTCTAAGCGCTCTTCGATCCTCTTATCCCGCACGTACTTGCAGAAGCCACTGTATGCTTCTACGATGCTCTCTATTCTCGTCGCGTCGCCTTGGACGTCTAGTACGTCCTTGACGAAAGCCATCGTCAGTCCCGTCTTCCACTCGATTCCGATCGAGGGATTGTGAAGATTCTTGTCCCTGAGCAGTAGCGCCACCAGGGCTTCTCGAGGAATGTCGATCCCGTCGGGCAGGTGTTGAAGCAGTGAAGCTCGCGAGGAGTCTATGGAAGCAGGACCTGAGAGGAAGGGAATGCCACGAATGAGGGACATTACCGGAAGGAGGGTGTTGTTGCGACCCAGCTGATGCAACAGGGATGGTTGTCAGTAAGCGCTCATCGTAGATCGTCTGCCATCGACCGTCTCACCTTGAGTCCTGCCATTAGGATTTTCTCTCCACTCCAGCTCCACTTGCCCTTCTTCTCCTCTATCTCGACGTCGGAAAGAGGCAGAAGAGCACTTGCGAAGTGTAGAATCCGCCGTGTCTCTGGCTTCACGAGGGATGAGGTTATCTCCTGTGGGACGTTGAGTTGCTCGAAGATGCCCGTTGGAGTGGTCGGATGAGGCGATAGATCGTCTAGGATTTGTGAGGCTGCGATGGCTAGGGACGAGGCTGCTTGAGGATCTGGCGTAGAGGTTGGCGTCTGAGTGCTTGCCAAACGCAGTGTGCATGAGGCTTGTAGAGATTCGATATGGAAGACGAGGGAATACAGATCCAGCTCCTTCAGCAAGCGTAGGGCGAGAAGTGGGTTCGGGCCTGATAGGACGGGTAGCGTAGAGGGTGAGTCTTTATGCAGATGTGAGCAGCAAGATGTGCGCCAGTGTATCCGCCACTCACCTGATAGCATCTTGTCTACCTCTATGCCGACCCTCTCTCGCGATACCTTCTTCATCAGAGCATCTCTCACTAACTCTCGACCTTTATGTGATATAGATGCCATTTCAACGTCTCGCAGTCGAGGATCATCACTTGCAGAGGTCTGCATGGAATGTCCTGTCCCAGTCAGGCAAGCTCGAACATCGTCATCAAGCTTGTAATTGAAGCGGGAGGCAAATCTGATGCAGCGCAGCACTCTGAGCGGGTCGTCTAGGAAGGTCGTCAAGGGCGGCAGAGGCGTCCTGATCAGACCTGCGCGCATGTCGAGGAGACCTTTGTCTGTCCAATCTTCGACCTGCCTAGTCTTGACATTGTAGAACAGAGAGTTGATGGTGATGTCTCTCCTCTCTGCATCTTCGAGAGGGGTACCGAAGGACATGATCGGTATCCGTGAGTTGCCCTCGTAGATCTCCTTTCTCAGATTGACAAAGTCGAGCGACAGGCCGAGAATGTTGGCCGTGGCAGTCTCCAAGCTCTTGGACTGTTCCGGGTTGGCAGAGATCTTGGTGATGCGGGACATGGCAGAGGCAGCGGCTGAGCGGGTAGACGACGAGGCGCCTGATGCTACCCCCTTCTCTCGCTTCAGCAGGAAGGCCTTGAACAGTATGGCAAAATTGAGCCCGGTCATCACCGAGAGGGACACGTCCAGATCGTGACTGTCCATGCCTAGAAGCTTGTCTCTCACCCAACCTCCAGCGATGCGTGCAGTGACCTCGCCGGTATACTCGACTCGGGACCCGCCCTCGGCTTCGCTCGGCTGAGGCCGCTCGGCATTGATCCAATCGCAGCAGGAGTCCAAGAGAATCACAATTTCCTCCTCGACGGGCTCTAAAGAGATGCTCGGATTCGCCAGAGTCATCCTGAAGTCGGTACGAGGTGGATCAATGCCGAATCGAAGCCTTGGGCAGGAGGCCTGAGGAGGAACCTTCGAGGAACGCCAGCGCCGAGTTGGTGTGAGCAGCCGAGCTCTACCACGAGATGGCAGATGTGGAGAGAAGCGAGGGGGCGCAGTGGTCGGTCGACGCAATCTTTCCTCGAGGATGTACGTGGATGTGGATCCGAATCTTTGACAAGTGCGAGTCCTGAGTGAGGCCACCATACACGTGAAGCACTCAGAGCAGGACTGTGAGGCGGAGCGATCTAGACGATGGTCACCATCGTCCAGCTGTGTGAGCATCAGCCGCCGGGAAGCTCAAAATTCCACTGCCCTCGCTGCTTCCGTCTGTGCAACCTACGCGCGGAAGTCAGGACCAACACCAACCCCAGACAGCTGGCTACTCGGCAAGGCTACCGAGATCAGAAAGCCGCTTGCCTCGAGTCTGACGGTGGATGTGAGGAATTCATTGCTGATATCAGAAGGCGATGTCAATTGAGCTCTTGGAGGCCATGGACATGAGTGACGCGAAAGAAGACTCGCCCATCATGTTGCTGCTCTACGTCGCGAGTGGAATGTCCTGTCACGCGTGGCTGCTCTGCCGGATGCCAAGTGACATTGAGCGCAACTCTCTTCGCACGGCTGACAGCGTCGGGTGCGAGATGGTTGAGTAGGCGGCGATGCTGTCGAGCATGTGACCCCCCTCCTGGGCCTGTGGGATTGGGGTAGCCACTGGCCCATGCCCCCCCTCTGGTCCCATCTCCCTCTGGCACTCACTCTCCGACGATCGGAGTCGCCTTTTCTCCACACGATGGTGAGCTTCGCCTGCCTGCTGCGACGCTCCTCGGTGAATGGCCGGCCCACTTTCCTGGCCCCCCGGCATTTGGGCGCAGCTTCAGGGATCCATTGCCCTGGCCAGTGCCTGAAGCGAGGCAGAGGGGAGTGCACCAAGGAGCAACAGCAGCAGCAGCCATCCCACGCCCCGGTCTCCACTGCCGCTGGCCTGTGCAAACGCCGTGCGAGGTGGAGATGCCCGGTGCACGGCGAGCAGGCAATTCACCCCGCATTGTTCCACTTGCTTCCTTTTACTCTTCACCACAACACGTAGATCATATCAAGCCCACTTTTGCTCAACACAACTACACACACATACAACTACAACAATGGCATCGCTCGTCAACACTGTGAGTCAGCGACGGCGCATGTAGCTTTTCACTTGCCGGCCACAGCATTCTGACCCACTGAGCCTTCCTCTCATCTCTGCCACAGCTCGCCAGCAAGGTCGCCGAGGCCATCCCCTCTATCAAGGAGGGATCTACCATCCCTTCGGGCTACGCCATCAAGGAGGACAACCCTGAGCAAGCTACTGTCGACCTCGGCAAGCTCGCCGGCAAGAACCTGATCATCGGTGTTCCAGGAGCCTTCACTCCCCCCTGCTCCTCTCACGTGCCCGGCTACGTTGGTTCCTACGACAAGTTCTCTGCCAAGGGTATCAAGGACATTTACATCGTTGCCGTCAACGACGCTTTTGCCACTCAGGCATGGAAGGAGAAGCTGGACTCCAAGCAGCCCAACGTGCACTTCCTGGCCGATGACACTGGTGCCTTCACCAATGCCGTCGGTCTGGGCTTCGACGCCACTGGCCTGCTGGGCAATGCCAGAAGTCAGCGATACGTCGCCGTCGTTGAGAACAACAGCGTCTCTCAGCTCTTTGTTGAGCAGGCCGCTCCCGATGTCAAGGTCACTGCTGCCGACCACGTTCTGTCGCAGCTGAAGTAAGGAAGGACATGTGAGGGACGTCTGAAAGATGTCATGGCGGCAAGGAGAGATTGTAGAAACAAAGAATGAAAATTTCGTTACACTGACTCACATCCAGAAAAGAAAAAATAGGCGAAGGCGAGATGGGTGTGATGCAGTCTGTCCCACTCCTGAGGTCCCGCAATGTTCTCTCGGCGGTGTGTGTGTGGGAAGAAAGCAGTGAAGATCCCGTCCGTGCACGCAGGAGTGACAGGTGACTTCCGACGGTACCGACTCCTGCTACTTACCCCACCTTGTTGTAGAACCCTATGTCCTGAGGATGATGGGGCGAGTAGGGCCTGGCCCAATCTCGTCTCGTGGATTGTGATCATCTCGTCGTGCTGTGCCAGCTAGACTGATCAGTGACGAGGTGGCGTCTCGGCACCGCCCCGGCCCGCCAGAAAGGGGAAAGAGTGTGGAGGCGAGGCGGCAGCGACGACGCACACGGGGCGCGGGCGACGTGCCATCGGGACAAGGTTGCCTCGCCCTGGACCCTTACCAGACAAGGGGCACACACAGACTAGACTTATAAGACACCAGCAGACCCAAGCCAGTCGGAGGAATTGCCGTCCTCTTGGAGTACAAGTCTGTGTCCTGTCTCGACCGGCTGTACCGCATCCTCCACCCTTCACAACTTGTACTGATCCCTACCTCACCATGACTCGGCCTGGCTCCTCTTCGGCGAGTCAGAACAAGGGGCGCTCTGACGCAGCCTCTGCCATGTCCACTGTGGCCAGCATCTTCTCTGGTCGCTCTGGCTCACGCCGCGGATCTAGGGTACCCTCCGAAGACGGTCATGGCGATGCATCCTCTCATCATCACACCCCTGGTACACAGGCCAGCCTTCTGCGCTCCCCTTCTCTGACCGCTAGCGATCACGGCAGCTCGCCGGGGAAGCCACTCAATCGTCATGCCCGAATGAAAAAGGCAATGGCAGAGGCTCAGAACGATGCCATTGGCGAGCAGACTGGCCCAGAGTCAGATCATCCCGCGACCGCTGGGGAGATTGTGCGTCCAGACAGCCCACGCTTCAACATGGCGGCTAGGGCGAAACAGAGGGAAGAAGAAGGCAGGGCGAGGGGTGTGACCGACTCTACCAACGGTCTTGGCCTCATAAGCGGCGAAAAGCCTGGCGAAGGCGCTCTGACCATTGACCTTCTCGACGGTGATGAGGTGGTCACGGCAGAGGGCGTCCCAGCTCACAGCACTCCGGCAAAGAACGGCGCGTCCGCCCCCTATGCCCCTGTAGCTCGCTCTAAGACCGACACTGCAGTCTCGCACGACCCGTCTATATCCCCGAGGACCCGGCCAAGTGAAGATCCCTACGTAGCCAGCCCCGCCGCCATGAGTGCTGGATCTCGAGCAAACTCTCTGCTTGTACCTGGCGAGCAAGGGCTCGGCGCACGCAATGTATCTCACGCAATGCAGGGTTCCCAGTCTACATCAGCCTTGTTGCTCGATCCTCATCACTCAAACGGCAAGCCACGTCTTTCTCGCAAGCTCTCTGAGGCTTCTTCAGTTGGGGCATATAGCGAAAGCGGTCGAGACTCGCCTACGCAACGAAAGAAGATCGTTCCAGGCAAAGGTGGCATTGGCGCTGCAATCGCTGGTGCTGGTGCTGGAGCATTGGGACTAGGATATCAAGGTCTGCAATCGCTGTACGGTGACAGAAGCACATCCCCTGCTGCAGTGGCTGCTGCTGCTCACGCTGCCAGTCCCATGATTCGTAACGCCTCTCACGGTCAGCCTGTGGACAAGGACTTTGTAGGAGACGTCCAGGGAGGACTCTATCGAGACCCTGAATCTGGCGAGATGATAGAGAGGAACAATGCAACAGGAGATGCTTCGCGGCTCCTGAACGTGTCTCATCCACGCTCTCGTGCCGTTAGCGAAGCGTCGCTTGCTGAGAGTGATGCCAGTGACGGTCTTGCAGCGGCAGCTGGCTTCACAGCAGCCATGCAGGGCGGTGCTGGACATCTCCCTGGGCCCTCTTCCGGGCCAAATCAGCTCGGCTCAGCTGCTCCGTCCGTGGCAGTCGACTCATCGCATGCCGAACCAAGATCCTACGATGGCAGGTCACCTTCACGCGATGGTCGATTGAGCGCGCCAGACACGGCTTCCACGACCGGCTGGCAGCACTCTGACGTGGGCTCACAGATTACGGGATTTGCAGTGGCAAGCTCTAAGCGCAACAGCGAATTCCACGCCTTGTTTCCTACAGTGTCCGACGAAGACTACTTGATCGAAGATTACGGCTGCGCCCTCGTTCGCGAAGTCTTCATCCAAGGTCGATTGTACGTCTCCGAGCACCACATCTGCTTCAACGCCAACATCTTTGGGTGGGTAACAAACATCGTCATTCCATTTTCGGAAATCGTCTCCGTTGAGAAGCGGATGACGGCACTCATCATCCCGAATGCGATACAAATTGCTACTCTTCACCACAAGCACACGTTCTCGAGCTTCCTCGGCAGAGACACAACCTACGACCTCGTTGCCAACATCTGGAAGCTCAGTCATCCAGATGTTCCTTCATCAGCAGCTGCCACACATGAGATGGACGCCGACTCTTCCGACGAAAGCGACGACGGGGCTTCCGTCACTCCGGCCTCGAGTGGAATGGCCTCCAAGCTGAGGAAGAAGTTAAAGGCAAATAAGAGTAAGGATGCAGAAGCCGCCACGACGAAGGACGCCAAGAGCAATGGCGGCGCAACAGCAGACAAAGGCGATGACAAGGGCGGGAAGGGTGCTGGAGGATCCAAGGAGAAGCATCCAGCCACTTCTTGCCCGTGCGAGGGAGAGAAGAAGCACCTTGCCGTGACTGCGCTCGACACGACCTATCCCGCAACTCCTGAGAAGGTATACAACCTGCTGTTCAAGAACGACGACTTTATGAAGAACTTTTGGACGGTTGATGAGAAGCTGTTCGACCTTGAAGTCAATGAATGGAAGGACGGAGAAGGTGGACCCACCCGCTCCTTCTCCTACATCAAGCCCCTCAATGGCTCGATTGGGCCGAAGCAGACCAAGTGCAACATTACCGATGAGACGGTCCACGTAGATGGCGATGAGTACATCACGATGCTAACGACTACTCGAACGCCCGAGGTTCCTTCTGGCAACTCTTTCAGTGTCAAGACGCGGACCTGCATCACATGGAATGGAGGTGGCAATGTGTCCAAGGTGCTGGTCACATGTGCCACAGAGTGGACTGGGAGGAGCATGCTGAAAGGTGTCATTGACAAGGCGTCCATTGACGGTCAGAAGCAGTACTACAAGGATTTGGACGCAGCGATCAAGAAGCACATCAAGGATAACAAGGAGGACTTCTTGGAGGAGGGCCAGGACCCTGACGAGGTCGAGCAGACCGTTAATGGCGAGGCGGAGAAAGGTGCGAAAGAGGAGACGGACAAGGGATCAGCCAGTACAGACGGATCGCAACCCGAAGGCGTGCTAGCGCAGATACTGGAGCAGGCCAAGACGGTAGCCTCTACAGTCGCAGATGTTGTTGGCGGAGCGCTAGGAGAAGCATCGCCGTCGATGTTGGCCTTGGGCGGTGTGGTCCTGCTGCTCATCATCTCCAACATCTGGGCGTTGAGCTCTTCAGGAGCGGGAGGCGGACAATCTCGCGATCCCTTGGATCCACACCGTCTGCGATCTCGTCCCTCGGGCCGCAGCTCCACTACCTCCTCGTCCCACTCTGCGCTGAGCGCAGAAGCTGTAGAGATCGCCAATGCGGTGCGAGACGTACTACGTGACCACCTCGGACCCATGAAGGGCCACATTGGTGCGGGTCTGGTGCCGCCTACCTCTCACCATCCCTTGTCTGTCGAGCAATGTCGAGGAGAGGCTGCGAGCATCTTGGCCGAGCTGGAGGACATGGAGGGCAGGCTGAAGAGGCTCAAGGAGCAGTGGGAGAAGGTGGTCAGTCAGGACAAGACTATCGAGGGTGCTCCTTCTAGTCGCATGTAGCGGCCTTCCGCTCCGTCGTAACGCCGACAAATACCATCATTTGCCTTTACTCTCCCTCCTCTGTGCCCCTGGGTATCGCCCCCAAGTGCTGAGCCTCTATCTTCGACTGAGCGAGATCTTGCTCTGGGGTGACGTCTGTGCTGCTGAGTCCCTTCTCTGCACTTCCACTCGCTTCTGCTGCCACGTTTGCGATCGCTGCATACGTCCGTCCGACCCGAGAAGAGGCTAAGGGCGTAGCTTATCCCCCGATCGGGACGGGGCCAACGGTGGCGCCCGGGGAGAATCTCTCGCAAGCCCCGGTGGCTTGGCGTGGCGCCGAAATAGAGCTAAGGCGCGTGAAGATCGGAACGGGGCGAGTGCATGTGGCTTACCCGCGTGGGCCTCTAGGCTCTGTCACACGCGGAGCTAAGGCCAACAGAGCCGAGGCTCCGATCCGACATGGGTCTGCAGGACGGGAAGGAATGGACGGATGACGCCCAGCAGCAGCCTCGCCTCCACACCTCGATCAGCTTCCACGACCGAAGAGGCCAGCACAGTTCAACATGGCTCGCTGAGCCAAAGTCGACGTTGGCCCGAGGGGTGCGTAGAGGTATAAGAAGCCCACGTCCCGACAGCTTCATCCTGTCCATCTGTTTTTCCTCATCAAACATTTCTATCCACCAATACCTACCCACTCTAGCACTACCACACCAACACATCCACTCACTACACATACAATGTCGACCACCACCATCGCCGTCTTCGGAGCCACTGGCAACCAGGGAGGAGCCGTCGTTCGCTCCCTCGCAGCTTCCTCCAAGCTCGCCAAGAAGGTCAAGATCCAGGCCGTGACCCGCGACCCATCTTCGGACAAGTCCAAGGCCCTCTCCAACATTCCCGGAGGAGAGGCCGTTGAGCCCATCAAGATCGACCTGGACAGCCTGGCATCGGACAATGCTGACTGCCTCAAGGGGGTAGACGTCGTGTTTGCCAACACCAACACCTTCGAGGGTGGACCCGAGAAGGAAGTCGCCCGTGGAAAGGCCCTCATCGACGCTGCCAAGAAGGCCAACGTCGGTCTCTTTGTCTGGTCTACTCTGCCCTCGGCCAAGGAGATGTCCAGCGGCAAGTACACCGAGGTCGAGCACTTCGAGGCCAAGGCCAAGGTCACTGAGTACCTCAAGGCTTCCGGTATCAAGTGGACTGCCCTCTCTCTCGGCTGGTTCGCTGAGAACATCCCCACCTTCCACATGGTCCAAAAGGACGGCTCTGACGCCTTCAAGGTCAACTACTCCATCCTCAAGCCCGACACAAAGGTCGCCTGGACTTGGGTCGCCAGTGACCTTGGACCTGCCGCTGCTGCCGTCATCGAGGCCCACGTTACCGGCGCTGACGCCAACGTCTTCAACCGCATCATCCCCGCTGCTGGCTACCAGGCCTCCATGGGTGACTTTGTCGCCGCTGTGGAGAAGGCTTCCGGCCTCAAGGGCTCTTACGTCGAGCTCCCACCCTTTGGCAACGGTGACATTGACGACATGCACAGGCTCTACAACGACCACGGTCTCTACCAGGGACAGACACTGCCCGACCCTGAGCTCGTCAAGCTCGGTGTCAAGTTCTCGACGATCGATGACGTTGTCAAGGCCCTCGCTCTGCCAGCTCTCAAGTAGAGGGTAGATCGACTAGCCAAAAGCAAAGGAGGAGAAGATTAACGGGAGAGAGTAGCTTGTTTATATCACGAATGTACCAATTGCCAAAAATGAAAAGACTGTCGCACATCACAACGCTTCGAACGTTTGTCTTGAGTTTTCCGATGGCTGGAACGTGCTTCAGAGGGCGGGTACGTGTCACGATGATCCCTCAGGAATGAGATTGAACTGACTACATCCGAGGGCAAGGTATCCTACCGACAGGCTCGGTAAGATGTCATCTCGAGCAAAGAGGGGAGAATTCGACAGCGCGACGCAATTCTTTTGGTACGAAATTATCAGGGCAAACAAACATGTGATGGAGTGTATGGAACTGGCTTTCTATTATTGCGTTCCGCATTGGCCACATTGATGATGTCCACAGTCACTATCCTTGCGCCTTTCATCGACTTTCGCTCCCCTCGTCCAGAACTATTCTCTCATTCAGAACGTCTCAGAGAAGGGCCTCAAATCCTGCTCGTGTGTCCAGGCAGACCGCTTCTGGGCAGCTACGCGGTAGTAGCTCTCTGCAATGTCTGCTGGGTCAATGCGGGTGTGGGGCTTGAACTGTTGTGACCGAGAAGGATCGTTAGCATTGGAGCGAAATGCCCTGTCAGATTCTGCAAGCGGCGTGGAGTGGTAGAGGACACCTCTGAGAGCCCATCACTCACGTCTGTGCCGAGCATGCCACGTGTGGCTTCGGTGTCGATGAACCCATCAACGATGGAGTGGAAGACGTGCACTCCCTGCGGCTGCCACTCTCTTGCAGTAGACTGGGCCAGGTTACGCAGAGCTCCTTTAGCGGCACTGAAGGCGGCGAACTTGGCCGAACCCTTGAGCGAGGCGGAAGCTCCAGTGAAAGCCAGGAAACCTCGTGCCTCATTGTCATCCGAAGATGCGGCTGAGCCTTCCTCGCCCTTGGTCAGAGCATTGAGGTAGGCTTGTGCGAAGAAGAACCCACCGAAGAATTGCACATCTACAATCTGCCTCAACTTCTCCTCGGTCACCTCGAGCAGAGGGGACATCAAGAATCCCCCGGGGTTGTAGACTGCTCCCCACACCTTTGCCTTTTCGCTTGTGCCCTGATAGTAGCGAGTGATCTCAGTGAAAGCAGCATCGACGCTCTGCTTCTTGGAAGCATCGGCATCAAAGACGTGCGCAGGACCGGCCTTGAGGCTGTTAATCTCCTCTGCCAGACTTTCTAGGCGGGAGCGCTGGCGGGCTAGAAGAGCGACGGGGTGGCCGGCCAGAGCGAAGCGCTTGGCAATGGCGAAGCCTGTGCCGGGCCCGGCACCCATGATGACCACGACCTTCTTGGCTGCATTGGAAATCATTGTGAGATACAGGAATGCAAAGGTGAGAGAGAATATCTGTGAGGAATGATCAAAGCAGGAAGAAGCGACTGGACTGCCAGTAACCAATAAGTAGAGCCTAAGCTGCACTCCACTTGCATCGGGCGGGAGCCTGTCGAAGTCTAAATCCGGCTTCCGTTCCGAAGACGCGCCTCCGAGCCGGTGGGGACCTCCAGCCGTGCTACGCTCGTATCGGACCGGACATAGAGCTTCCACAATCTTTACAGCGATGGACGGCGGTAAGTGAATGACGAAAGATAGGTTCGAGATCCCCTCAGTAGCTTCAGCACCATAGACAACCTGCGACAGCGGCAACACAATTCCATCAGGAAAAGACGGATGACATGCTGCATTGCTAGGGATAGATGAAAGATGATTTGCTACAGCACAGGATTGCAGAGTCGTACGACGAAGGACTCTGCGAAATGAATAAGGGCTCAACCGGTCCCTTCCTTCCATCTGGCATCTACGCTCTCATCTTCGTCTAGTCTCAGAGGCTCCGCCTCTGTAGGCTTCTCCTCGTCGCTCTTGAAGCGCTTGCGAGCTCGGCTGGCCTGTGCAGCAGCGGCCTCTATCCTCTTAATCTCGGCTTCTTCGTCAGCTGGTGTCATCGTGGGTTGAGTAGGAGTTGAGACTCCCTCGGAAGGTCCACCAAACCGAATGGGAGGGCCCAAGTTGGGACCAGGGGGTCCGTTGATGGGAGGGGGATTGATCTTGTTCTCGATACATAGCCACTTCGTCAATGCCTCAGTCTGAGGGTTTGTGTACCACGGAGCTGGATAAAGGGCAAAAGGCCTGACGTCAGTATGAATGCGACCTTGTCACCCATTGAAAATTCCATTGTACTCACGAGGTCCTCTTTGACCGCCCAGCGGTGACGAAGCTGTAGGCGCAGTATGCGCAAATTGCTGTATCCGTCCAATTGCCAGGCTGTCCTCTCCTGCCTGACTTTGCAGGTCACTTCGCACCCAGACTTCCTCTTGCTCGATCCGCTCGAGCAGCGCGGCATCGCTGGGATCAGGCAGATGAGGCTGCTGCCTAGTCATCGACAGCAGGTGGTTGGTGGCCCGCAATACAGCCAGCCAGCGAGGCACAAAGCGCAATGGCGGGAATGTACGCTCAGAGCTTGAGGAAGCTTCTGCCGTACTTCCGTTACTGCGATCGTCGCTCTCTCGAGGATGAATGTCGAGGAATTGTAGGAAGTCCTGACTCGGGAGACACTTGCTCAGGGCCAGGAAACGCGTCTCGCCTACAGGGGACGCTGAGTCGAGATGGCTCATGCCTGCCGTCTGCGCCTCTGACCCATGACCATGGTCGTGAGGAGGGTCCTCGTCGATCCCTGCAACTTCGTCCTCATCGATCGCGAGCTCGTCTGGATTCACGTTGGCCTTGACCACGTCTTCTCCGGCGGACTTAGTGCTTTGCTCTGCGTCCTCTTCGTCGTCAAAGTCGAGGTCTATAGCCTCCGGATTCTCACTAGAAGGATCTGATACCACACCCGCAGACGCAAGTGTCATATCTGGGTCCGAAGAGCCACCGCTCTGCCCACTTGATTGATGCGCTCCTCCAGAGCCCTGTCGATGCTCGAATATCGCAGCAAATTTGACATGAAGATGGGCCGAGAACCAGTATTTCGGCCGCAAGCAACGCATCAGCTCCAACAGAGGCGGAGATCCCAGAGTCGAGCTCTGGATCTCATCTTTGAAGAAGGGCTTGCGGCTGATGAGCTTTGCGGTATCGCCGTATTGCTCAATTGTATTTGGCCAATCGTGGGAGAGGACCACATCGGGACGAGATGCAGCGGAAGAAGCGAGAAGCTTCAGCCGCCAGATGTCGTATACTCTGGTGTGATAGACTGATCGGATGGAGGACTTGTCGTAGGGCATCTGCTCATACCGGCCTCTGTGGTAATCGTGTGATTTGTAGATGCCGCTTGCGCCGGCAATGATGACACCGCCTACGTCTATCACTCCCGCCTCTCCAAGGAAGTAGATGTTCGGGGCGAGCCAGCCGCCATGGTAGCTGATGAGAGCGGGATAAGGCAGATGAGTAGGGTTTCAAGCCATCAGTAAGACCGGAGAAGATATCAGATCGAGGCGATCTCACTCACAGCTCCCACATATAGTTGCTCGCCTCATGATTTCCGCCAATGACGATGGTCAAGAGCGGAGCAACCTTTTCGCCGGAGTAGTACCTGTGGAAACCTCCAAGCTCGCGGTACTTTTGCGGCACTGCTAGACATTCTAGATCTGCTACGTTGCGGAGGGCTTGGAAGTCACCACATAGAAGAAGCACGTCGGTCTTGAAGTTGCCTTGTTCTTCAGCCTTGAGGATGGAAGCATAGATGTTGTCCAACTCGCCATGACTGCACCCCTCTACCGCAATCTTCATTGCCTGCGTAGGTGGCGCTCCGCAGCAGGACACAAGCGCAAGACTCTAGATGTACGAGCGTTGGTCGAGCCAAGGCAGAGCAGACTGGATGCGCGGGTCAGGCAGATAGGTAGGAGGTGGTGAGTGCGTGTGGAGCGTTGCGCCTCTTTCCGGGGAAGCGGAGGATTGGCGGCCAGGCGGAAGTGGGGACAGAAAAATTTCAACCGGAGATCGTCTACTAATCTCTGCGTCTGTGACATCCAGCATAGCATCACCTCGTTCAAGGGAAGAGTCCAGCATAGTACCATGGACCAATCAACAGCAGGTGAGCAACAAGGTGAACACGTGCAACGCTCGAAAGCCAATGCTGACCACTGCTTCCCTACCACCGCGCCTCACAGACACATATCGCCTCGTCTATGCCTTTCTGCAGCAACATGCCAAGCCAGCTGCAAAGGCCCTGGAAAAGTCAGGTCCAGCTGACATTCTGTCCTCCGTAGGGAAGTCCTCAGATGTATCAAAGGCACTGACCGGCGTCGTCTCTGCAGCTCGTGCCTCGGGGTCTTTCAAGGAGCACGCCTCAGCCCTGCCTCTCGTTAAGAAGGAAGAGAAGAAGACCAAGGAAGAAGCAAAGAAAGGAAAAGCAGCCGCGGTGGCAGCTGAGAGCAGCTCTGATTCCGACTCTAGTTCAAGCTCCAGCTCCAGCTCCGACTCGGACTCTGACTCTGACTCTGACTCGGACTCGGATGACGACGAGGAGGAAGAGAAGAAGGTAGCAGCGTCTGTGATTCCTCCCTTGAAGGAGGCGTCGCAAGCTTCTTCAGCGTCCTCTGCGGGCTCTACCTCTGCTACAACCAGCACAATCAAGAGCTCCTCGCCCGAAGCGCCCGTGGTGACTGCCAATGCGAATTCGCTAGGCAAGAGGAAAGATCGGGAGGAGAACGATAGTGACAGTGACGAAGATAGCAGTGACTCTGATTCAGACTCGGATGACAGTGATGTGAGTTGACATGGCAGAGCGCCAGGAAACGGTCATCCGCTGACTTCATCTTTCTTTTTCGCTCGTCGCAGTCTTCGTCCTCGTCTTCCTCATCCTCTTCCTCTTCTAGCAGCTCTTCGTCCTCGTCTAGCTCTTCTTCCTCCAGCGAGTCCAGCTCTTCTTCATCGTCCTCATCGTCCGATGATGATTCCGACTCCGACGACGACTCTTCTTCCTCGTCCGAGAGCAGTAGCAGTAGCAGCAGCAGCTCTTCCTCCTCTAGCTCAAGCTCCAGCTCCGGCTCCAGCTCAGATTCGGACTCGGACTCGGACTCGGACTCGGACTCGGATTCCTCCTCTTCCTCCTCTTCCTCCTCCAGCTCAGACTCGGAAGACAGCGATAGCGACAGCGACGATGATGGTGACAAGAAGATGGCTGAGGCACCTGTGATTGCCTCGACTCCGCTCGCCAAGCAGCTCCCCACGGTCAATGGCATACTTAGGTCTCCCAGCCCTGCGCCAAGCTCTCTGCCTGTGAATGAGCGACCGAAGAAGCAACCGCGTACCGTCGGCGTCCCCTTCCAGCGGGTCAAGTCGGACAATGTCTCTTCTCTGGACGTGTCGTTGCAGGACATGTCGTACATGGGCAAGCCTGGCGCGGGGGACTGGGGCGCTCGCGCTCATGCAGACCTGATCGTTACCCGGGGCAAGGGCTTCACAAAGGAGAAGAACAAGAAGAAGAAGGGCAGCTATAGTGGTGGAATGATCGACCAGAGCAGCCACTCGTACAAATTTCCTGAGTAAGCTTGACCGTCTAGGCATTGCTCTGCATCAGGACGTTGGGTATGGTTGACCTGAATGTGCTATTTCATGCTGTTGTCGCTGCCATCCACAATTATAGATTTGCAATTGTGCGGAATCACATGTGCCTGTGTGTTTGCGTCCTTTGCCTGGACGAGTGTGGTGCCCTGAGTTGCTTAGGTCACAATTGCGCCCATGGGATGGCAATACTGGTACAGCCGAGCCGCGTGGCCATGGGAGGATGGGTGGGCCTGCTGCACTTGCCTTCGGCTTCCCACGGCCGGCAAAAGCGGAGGCTGAACCCGGAAAGCTCGGATGCGCGGAGTGGCTGGCTGGCTGGCTGGGCTGCGTGCGGGTTGGTGCCTGGCCGCCAATCTGCCCGCCTCGCCTTGCCCCGCCTGGTGTGCGTCTGTCAGGCGCTGCCGACGTCGGTCACTCAGCCAGTCGTCCGTCCGTCGATCCTCTTCGCAGACGCAGACGCATCCTGGCTGCTCCTCGTCCTCCTCTGCCCCTGCTCCTTCTGCACCACCACTCACACCCACATATCGCATCCCTCTCCTTCTACCATCCACACCCAGATACACACACACACTCAGTCCCCCGCACCCCTACGTCGGTACCACTGGCAAAGACGAGCTCCCTCCTCTGCAAGCCACACATCGCCAGCAGCGGTCGCACCCAGCAAACGGGCCCGCGGACCACACGATCCCAAAATAACAAGACGTGCATCCTCTCCGTAACCCCAAGGTCACGTCCATCCCCACCCTCGCGCGTCCCTCGTAGTCGCACCGAGGTCTCCCCTTTTCATTCGTCCCCTCACTACGTCCATCCACCATGTCGGGAGTCTACCAGCACCGCACCCTCGTGCCTGCATCAGCACCCGTAGCAGCCGCACCCCAGGGCGTGTCCGCTTCCAGACTCAATGACCTACTCGAGTTTGTCAAGCAGGAGTTCGACTTGATCGGCACAGACGCACAGTCCTTCAAGAGTCAGAGGGACGAGTTCGAACACAGAGGTGAGCATCACAACCACAGATGCAAAGCAGACGATTGAGTCGAGTGAGACCAAGACCTTCTGATTGACTCTGACCGCCGCCTTCCCGTCCCTCTTTCCGTCCTCTGTTCCGCGTTACTAGTCGGCCAACAAGTGAGCGAAGTACAGATGATGCAGCAACACATCATGGATCTGGAGGCTCGTCACACCTCCATGGCACAACAGTGAGTACCATGACGACCATCACAGCGCCCCCTGTGACCATCTCTGATGACTCTCATTTCACGGCCCACCCATTCACACTCTTTACCAGATACGAGGAGGAGATCAAGAGGCTACGACAAGTGCTTGACTCCCGAGGTGGCGCTCCTGCCGATCTTGGTCCAGGGTCTCCTCGTCTTCAGCAGCAGCAGCAGCAAGGTCCACCACCTCCCATCGCCCCTGCAGGCGCATTGGGCAAGGGTGGGGCGCCAGCCCCTTTTGGAGCCCCGCCAGGATCAGAGGCTGCTCACCAGCAGAACGGAGGCTACGAAAGGGAGAGGAATGGAGGCGCGGACAGTAAGAGGATGAGAGTCGATGGCGCAGGAGGACCCCCTCACCCCGGCTATGGAGGCGGGCCACCCAGCCCTGGTCGTGAAGGAGCTGGAGTGAAAGCCGAGAGGGATGCTGCTGCTGCAGGCCGGAGAAGTGGCGGCGGACCTGGCTACCAAAGCGGTCCGCCTCCGCAAGGCTCAAATGCTCCTTCTAGTGGTCCTCCCGCACCTCCCAACCGCGACACAGAGCCTTCTCCAGGGCCCGGCGCTGCTGGCAACAACACACTAGCAAGCTGGAGCGACTTGGATCCCGACGAGGTTCCCAAAGATCTCAAGAAGGAGGGATCCGACTGGCTCGCTATCTTCAACCCAAAGGTTAAGCGAACCCTTGACGTCAATCTTGTCCACACTCTCATGCACGAGAGCGTGGTCTGCTGCGTTCGCTTCTCCCCCGACGGCAAGTACCTGGCCACCGGCTGCAACCGCTCAGCTCAGATCTATGACACAAAGACGGGAGCAAAGGTGTGCATTCTGATGGACTCGGCTGCTGCAAACAAGGGAGACCTCTACATCCGCTCTGTATGCTTCTCCCCGGATGGCAAATTCCTGGCAACTGGAGCGGAGGACCGTCAAGTCCGCGTGTGGGACATTGCCCGAAAGAAGGTCAAGAATGTCTTCACCGGCCACAAGCAGGAGATCTACTCGCTCGATTGGTCGCGAGATGGAAGGATCATCGCCAGTGGTTCAGGTGACAAGACGGTCAGAATTTGGGATGTTGAGTCTGGCAACCTCCTGCATACCCTTTACACTTCGCCTGGGCTGGAGCAGGGCCCCTCTGAGGCAGGTGTTACATCTGTCAGCATCTCCTCTGACAACAGGCTCGTAGCAGCCGGAGCTCTAGACACACTCGTGCGAGTCTGGGACACTAAGACTGGCCAGCAACTAGAGAGGCTAAAGTCGCACAAGGACTCGATCTACTCCGTCTCTTTCACTCCCGACGGCCGAAACTTGGTCAGTGGCTCTCTTGATAAGACGCTCAAGATGTGGGATCTTTCCGGTACCCACAGGGCTCTGGACCAGGGCCTGCCAGACGAGGAGCGAGTAGGAAAGGCGGTATGCTATACTACCTTCTCCGGACACAAGGATTACGTCCTGTCCGTCAGCTGCTCGCCCGACAGCCAGTGGATTGCCTCTGGAAGCAAAGACCGTGGTATCCAATTCTGGGATCCTAGGACAGGTCAGACGCAGCTCATTCTCATGGGCCACAAGAACTCTGTCATTGCTATCAGTCTCAGTCCTGCTGGCGGGCTTCTGGCGAGTGGTAGTGGAGACTTCAATGCTAGGATCTGGAGCTACGACCGAGTAAATGGATCGTAGCTTCGTAGAGGGGACAAAATAGATGCACAAGGTTTGCGAGGAAGGAGGAAGGGAGAAAAGTCAAAATACCGAGAGGCGGAGCAGATTCGTCGATCCACCGTTGCTACGTCAGAGCGCTGTTCATACGAGGATCCATTGTCGTATCTGTCCTTTGTTATTCGTTCTGCTACTTCGTTCCATCTGATAGTATTGCCGTTTGCTGAGCGTGTCGCCTACCACACTCTCTCACCCGCCTAATTGCAGGTCGGCCATCTCTCCCCTGACCTCCGTCATCAGCTCCGCAATGTCCTCTTTCCTCAGTCGCTCGATATCAGCATCCAGCTCCTTCACCTCTGCTTCCTCTTCCTCCTTGCCCTGAGAAGCCGCCGAGTCCGTAGTGGCGTCCTCGCCCGCGGCCGGAGGGGCTACCCATCCTCTTCTCAGCTGGTCCCTGCGCACGATTTTCCTCAAGACGCTATTCTCAAGGTCTTGGATCTTGCCAATGGTCCGCGCCAAATCCGGGCGTGGCTCAAAAGGCGCAGATGCCGCGGCGTTGCTTGATGGTGGTGTAGGAGAGGCGGCTGTTCCTTCTGCCGCGCTGGAAGGAGAGCCGAGCTCTAGAGCAATGGTCCGTGTCTCGTGCGCACAATCTAGGAGACCCGAGGTCACTAGGGAAATGATTCTTGCGAGTAGGGCAGGGTCTGACAGAGGAAGTGGTGTCGAGTCGTAGTGGCTCGAGCCGTGGGCGTGAGATTCGCTATGATGTTCTGTCGAGCTGGTCGCAGTGCTCTCAATGTGTCCATTGGTCAGCGGCCCTCTTGTGGGTGCTCCATTCGCTCCCGATGTGGCTTGATCTTTTTCGGCCTTGACAGCCCTCAGATGACCCTCCATGGCTTCTTCGTATTCGTTCCACAGCCCGACCCTCCTCTGCTGTGTCTCGAGGAAGGTACGTAAGATCGAGAGGACATCCTTCGGCGGCGCAGGGAAGCGCACACTGCTTGAGCTGGCGTCTGAGTCCCCATTGATAGTACTGGTGGAGGCATTGCCAGTCGTAGTGTGGGCAAAACTCGCCATGTTGCCGAGACAAGGGAATACTAGATGTAGCAGACGACACACGAGACTCTTCCTCTGATCGAAGATGGTCGTCCTTTCCGACTCCACTTGAGGCAAATTCTGTCCGACGCGGGGGACACGCTCCAGTGGAAATTGGCGCGTTGGTTGCTCTGAGCCCGACACTGCCAGCTACCATAGTCTGCCACTGGTCATCGTCATACGCGGCTCCATGTTGATAGACACTGCTACATAGCATGGCGCCATCGAGTGTAGAGCCTCGACCACTGCCAAGGAATGCCGCGGTCGACTCCTCTGCACGCCTGCCCACGCCGGCAAGGACGGGCGCGGCATTCTCCTTCCCCTATGCCACGCCATATTCGATTCAGCTCGACATTATGACAGCCCTCTTTGAAGCAATAGAAGGACGCAAGGTGGCAGTCTTTGAGAGTCCTACGGGGACCGGCAAATCGCTCAGTCTGATCTGTGCTACCTTTACTTGGCTCAGGGACAACGAAAAGAGAAGAGAAGCTATTGCCCTCGATGAAGGTGACGGGGGACCCGATGCTGGTGCGTGGAACGGCGAGCTTTGTTCCGCAGGTACGGCATGACAGCTAACTTATACAGACAACTTGATGACCACCTCCCATTAGAACCTGCTTGGGTCAGAAGGCAGGCAGCTGAGAGGAAGAGACGCGACTTGACTCGTCACGAGGAGGAGCTCAAGGAGCGGATAGCAGCCGTCAAGGTTAAGGAAGCCGAGCTCAGAAAGAGGGCATTGAGGGATGCCAAGCTTGGGTCAGCCAGATTCGCCAAGAAACAGGTGACTATTCAGTGGCCGAGGGGCTCTACATCTCCGTCATTCGATGCTGAAGACCTTGCACTCTGCTCTCCTCGCCCACACAGCGTCTTGACGAGTCTGGCACAGATGATGACGTGCCCTCAGACGACGACGCTTTTCTACCATCAGATTCGCCTGCCGACGCCTCCTCATCGGCATCGGGTCAGCCAGCATGGCATGCACTGACCTCTAGCAGCGATGACGACGCCAACCTTTCTCCCGCTGTACGGGCCTTGATGGCCCAATTCTCCGGACCAAGTACGAGCGACCTCGAAGAGCTTCCAGAGACAACGCCAAAGGTGATCTACGCCTCTCGGACTCACTCTCAGCTGACTCAATTCGTAGCCGAGCTGAAAAAGACTTCTTTCGGAAAGGACGTTCAAGTAAAGGAGGGATCAATGGGCGAATCTGAGGCTATCCCTGCCATCCGCACGATCCCCTTAGGTTCTCGAAAGCAGATGTGCATCAATGAGGACGTACAAAAGATGGGAGCGAAAGCGGGTGCAGAGGCCATGAATGAGGCGTGTCGTGAGCTGGCGTCAAGCAAAGAGAAGAGTAAGCGCTGTCAGTTTCTACCTCCAACAGATGCTATCGGTCGTGCTCAAGTTCTGGACTTCCGGGACCGGGCTCTCGCCCAGGTCAGAGATATTGAAGATCTTGTCCAAGTCGGAAAAGAGATGAAGACGTGCCCCTACTATGCTGGCAGAACAGCGGCGAGGCAAGCCGAATTGGTGACGCTTCCTTACAATCTGCTCCTGCAGAAGACTGCTAGAGAGTCGCTGGGGATCTCCCTTGATGATGCGGTGATTCTGATCGACGAGTCCCACAATCTCATCGACACCATTCTTGGAGTCTACTCGTGCACCATCACCTCTACGCAACTCACGGTAGCCAAAGCGCAGATCAACGAATACCTACGTCGGTTTGCAAGCCGCCTGAGAGGGGAGTCCGAGATGCACCTGAGAACATTGAGAAGGCTGCTCGAAGGTCTCGAGAGAGTGGCGAAGCAATGGGCTGAAGGTGCTAGATCGGGCAAGGAAGAAGTCTGGACCGCCAGCAAGATGGTCGAGGCGATGGGAGGAAATCTTGATACCATCAACTTTGGAAAGTTGGAAAGTTTTCTGAAGGAATCGCATATCGCTCGCAAGGTCAGCGGCTACGCTGAGAAGGTGGCAGAGAGGGCAAGCAAAGCAAAGGAAGAAGGCCCGAGGGTAGTGAAAGGAGCACGCAGTACCACGACTGGTACCACGTTGCCCGCTGGACCTCTGCCGCCCTCAGCCATTGCGGCGATGCACAACATCGAATCATTCGTACTGTCTTTGTCGAATCGAGCGCAAGACGGTCGTGTCCTGCTGAGCCTACTGCCAGCAGCCGAAGGGAGATCCCTCGGCCCTTATGCAAGCATGGCTCCTGTGGTATCGCTTAAGTACCAACTTCTGAACCCAAGCGAGTCTTTCTCGAGTCTCATCACAGCTGCTCGAGCCATTGTCATGGCTGGTGGTACTATGGAGCCGATCTCTGATGTTCGCAAACAGCTCCTACCCTCTCTGCCGAACGAAAGGTGGTCAACGTTCTCTTGCGGGCACATCGTGCCCTCCGAGAACCTCTTTTGCTCGATTGTACCATCTGGCCCCCGGGGAATACCATTTGACTTCACCTACGGCAAGAGAGGAGACACCGCTTTGCTAGACGATCTTGGGAATGCCATTGCCAACTTCGCTGCACTAATACCGCATGGCGTTGTTGTCTTTCTACCCTCGTACAAGCTTCTGGACGAATTGGTTGCTCGATGGAAAGAAACAGGTACATGGACTAGGCTACAGTCGAGAAAAGCCCTCTTTACCGAGCCCAAGCTAGCGAGCGAGGTAGAGGCTACGTTGCAGGCCTACACGTCTGCGATAGAGGATGTCAAAACTGCTTCTACAGTCACGGGGTCCCTGCTTTTTGCCGTCGTCGGCGCCAAGCTATCCGAAGGCATCAACTTCAGTGATAGGTTGGCCAGAGCAGTGATCATGGTTGGGATGCCATTTCCAAACTCTCAGTCTCCGGAGTTGATGGAAAGGATGAAGTATGTGAGGTCACTGAAGAAGAAGAGCGCTTTGGAGCCAGCGTCTTTGGCTTCCCGAGAAGATCCGGGCCAGGCATTGTACCTCTCTCTGTGTCTCAAGGCAGTCAATCAGTCGATCGGTAGGGCCATCCGTCACCAGGGCGACTTTGCTTCTTTACTACTCCTCGATGGCAGATACGCCCGGAAAGAGATTCGCAATGGGCTCCCTGGATGGATTCGCGATGAGGTCAAGGTGCAGGAAGGCTTCGGTGGGGCGATGAAGGACTTGGGCGCTTGGTGGAGGGCCAAGCGTGCCAACAACATGGTATGATGCGGGGTAGCGGAACCACGTCTCCACTTGCAATTCAGTATACCCAGATCATTTGTATGGCGCACGGAAGTGGCGGCGGAGCGTCAATGCCAGAATGCTTCTCGCGCCTTGGTCTGTCTGGCTTGTCTCTGCTCCGCCTCTCCTTTCCCTCGTACCACACTCTTCACCAACCTCTGGCCATAGCGCCATGTCGTCTTCGACTCCACTGGCAGCGTCGCCTGCCTCACAGCTCATGGCTATGACATCTAATTCTCCACAATCCGGTCTAACACCGCTCCAGGCAGCCACCGCTCTCGGCACGTCCCCCCAGACCTCTTCCGCCCACTCACGAATCGGCAACCTCGCTGCTGCTTCTTTGAATACACCTCTCACATCAGCTGCTTCTCCCGCCGTCAGTGTTGGTGGAAGATCTTTGACAGGCATTGCCAACTTCTTGGCCCCGACGCCTGCACATATCCCCGGACAGAGGGGCAGCAGAGGTAGCGCAAGTGGAAGCCAGTCGGTTGATGTGAGACATATCAATGCAGTCCGAGCAAAGACGGTGGAAGAAGAGGCAGACGGATTTGAAGGGGCACTGAAGGAGCTGTCATCACTAGGCGAAGCGCTGTATGATCAATTGTGAGCAAAGCAGGCAGCCCAATGAAGTCCATACATGTTCCTAAACAGCGGCGCCCTCTCCTCCAGAGAATCCTCGCTCTCCCACACAGCTCAGTCGGTACAAGCCGAGCAGTCCCTCTCCGCTCTGGTTGCGCATCTGGATAAGATGCTAGCTGAGCTAGCGTCATCTTCTTTGGGCGGCATCACAGTTGAAGAACAGAGCGGTAGCAACAGCGCTGCCATCGGCACAGGAGACGACACGAGGCAGGTGGCTGGCCCACTGAAGGAGGAAATTGCAGCACTGAAGGCCGCTTCGGATGACATATACGAGCGAAGGATGAGGCTTCGCGAAGGCGCAGGCATGACCGCTCATGTGCTGGCCGCTGGACAACGGAGGAGTGGCCTGTGAGAGCCAGGCAAAGGAGCCATCAGACTCAATGCTGTCTGCCAGACCACCACCGTGACTACTCCTCGGTCACCACTGGACAGGTACAAGCTCACGCCATTCACACAAAGCACAGTCTTGCAAAGGTGTCTCATTGATCGAGAAAACTAGTCATACCCTCGCCCTGTCTTCTTCAAGCGCCGGCACGCGGCACATTGGACACACTCTGCTTCTTCTGAACCACTCTCGAGCGCAGTCTGGAGACGGCAGACCGACGGATGCTGGGCCCCCTTCCGCCTCGGCTCGGCCGTGGAAGACGTGCAGGCAGCCGCCTAGCACATATGCTCCTTGACCTTCTTTGAACTGGCCTAGGCAGATCCCGCAGCGATCCACCCTCACTCCTAAGCACGCAAGCTTCGTCTTGGTCTTTCCCTCTTTCGTTACTCTCCGCTTCTCGACTTCGACGATACCCAGTGGAATAGAGGAAAGCTCTGCAGGCGATAGGGAAGACGGAAGCGCCGGTCCAAGGAAGTCCTGTAGCAGAGCTATGTCATCAAAGTGAGAAGAGGAGGGGTCGGCCTCCAGACGTGAAGCAACGATGTCGAGATCCGTAATATATCGCTGGCCGGTTTCGGAGGTGACACCGTTTGCTGGAGCGACAGACGGTCCAACAGCGGCAGAAGCAGGCGGCTGCGCACTCGATGGGGTGTCCGAGTCCCGTCGTGTACTGCTCACAGGCAGTACCTGTACGACTGCAGAACCTGGCGGGCCTGGAGTCACGGGAAGCGGCCGCCTTTCGCCGCTATGCAAGGGACGCGAAGGACTATCGCCAGGCAGACTGGGTGGAGGCCGTTGGGCCAATCTGGAGGAGCCAGAGGCGCCTGGTGTTGTAGGGGCTGTGACTGGCCTCTCCTCCGCAACCTCATTTCTAATCAAAGCATCCAGCGCGCTTCTTCGGGCACGATCTTGCGGAGAGTCCGTGTGAAACAAGTGTGGATACGAAGTAGATCGTGGCAGAGCAGGTGCCTCGGGATTGCTGACGAGGGTTTCCGCGATGCGAGGAGGAAGTGGAGGTGCCGGAGAAGACTGATGTGAAGCTGAACCAGCGGCTTCAGCGAGAGTCGGTGGCGGTGGCGGTGGCCTACGTCTTTGAGGTGTCGAGGGAGGTCCAGAGTCTGGTATCGAGAGGTCAATCAGAGGAGGCGAAAAAGGTCGCGTTGATGTACGGGCTGACGAGCCGGATGGGGCTTCCACGCCATCCATGGCAACCTCGCGATGGGGACCGGGAGAGCTCTGTGCAGCGGCACCCGTCCTCTGCGGGCCTTCGAATCTTTCCAACATTGCCGACACTCGACCGCCAGCTACCGGGATGCGTGGAGGCAGTGCTGGCGGTCTGCGCTCGCTGCCGGCTTGTGCATCAATCTCTTCGTCCCCGGCCGCGCTGCCTCCGTCGCCAGTGGTGCGAGGGAAATGACGAGTAGCATCAGTAATGGTCGGTAGTCGAGTCTGACGAGGCAGTGGAGCAAAGGAAGACCGCGGATTAATGAAGGATCCGCTCCGAGCAATACTAGCAGCGGTGATGAGAGGCACATTCGTGCGTGGCGGTACTGGGGGTGGAGGCCTGGAGCTTCGTCTGGAGCTAGTAATGGCACCCTGTCTCGACAGTCTGGCTCCTGGAATTGGGACTGCATTCGATGCATCGACTGGCTCGCTGCGCAGCGAGTTCGCCAGTAACCGTTCTAGAGCTGCCAAAGAGCTACCTTGTGGAGCGACACCTTGCAATCGAGCAATGTCTAACAAGGTATCTCGGCGGAGTTGTTGCTCATCTGTTTGTGCCACCGAATTTGAAGGGGTCGCATGTCGATCCGCAGAAGAACTCTGACTCGGCAGAAGTCGAGGTGGCAATTCAGTTTGCTTGACAGTGTCAAGGTAGGCTCGATCCGGAAGAGTTGGCGACGATGGCGACAAGGGGACGCCAAAGAGATCTTTCAGTCGATCCGTCGTCTCTGCCTGGCGCGACGGGGGTATCGGAGCGCCAGGTAAACGTCCGTGCCATATTGAAGATCCTGAGGTGGTCTTGAGCGAGGTTGTTGACGGGCGACGGTCCACGAAGGTGTGTGCCGAGTCGAGGGACGGACGTGAGACTGTTCGGACCGGAGCAGAGTCGTCCTCCCCGCCCCTGCGGTAAGCTGAGCCCAGCTCTGCTGGACCTGCAGCGTCGGCAAGAGAGGACTGAGCGGGCAAGACCAGATCAGGAGCAGACGAGCTAGCTCTGGACGCAGCTGCGGCTGCTTTGCGGGGCCCTCTTCGTTGTTTCTGAGCTGCCTTTTGCGCACGGCTTGTGGGAGAACGAACGGCAGTGGCATCCTGCTCGCCTTTAACGCGGTCGACATGATGCTCTGGAGCAGCTCTGTCAGCAGCGCTAGCACTGGTGTAGAGAGCGCGATCTGCTTGTGCAGGCTCTTGGCTGGGTAGGGCCCACCGTGGATTTACTACGCGCACGAGTCCGTCGTCTTCACTGCCGCTGTCTTCGCTCTCGCTCTCATCATCTTCGCCCAGAGAGTCATCGGAATCAGAGGCATCGTACGCAACGCCACCCCCTCGTGTCCTTCCTAGAGCCAGAGGAGGCGGAGCCTTGGGTAGTGCGTCTTCCAGGCGAGTCATGGGACTGCGCAACAGTGCAGGATGATGAGCATATTCTTCACCGCTACCATCGCTATCCTCTTCAGAGTCTTGCACGGCGGCTGTCGTCTCGGCTGCTCGACGGAGCGCCTCGAAAGCAGCAGTCTCCGCAGCCCACTCAGCCTCTGACGACGAAGAAGGATCGCTGTCATCTGCGGTGCCGTGGTCATCTGCGTCGAGGAACGCTCCGGGCATTGTACTTGGAACGTTGCTACCAATGGCGGCAGTCGGGATATGTGGATCCAGGGCAGGGAGATCTGCTTCACTCCGACGAGCTGGTGCGGTCACTATCTCCATTTGCCTTCCGGGTGCAAAGCCCCATGCGAGTCTCCTACGATCGGCGGCAGCCGAAGCATCATCACGGAATCTAGAATAGCTATCCGAAGTAGGACGTGGGCGTACAGCAGTAGGAGCCAAACTTGACGTGCTAGGCTCTCTGCCTGGGCCTGGGCGTGCAGCACTGGGACGCTTCTTCGGTTGTTTGCTGTGCTCTCCCGCTGGCCGAGGCAGTGATAATTGCGCCAGGGCTCTATTTTGACTGAGGCCGACTTGCGGTGGCATTACCAGCGCGGATGGATCTGTAGGCCTCATATTGGCACTAGGCGAGGGTAATTGCGTGGCAGGAATGGCTGCACTTGGCGTCGGAGAGGGAGCTAGTGCAACTGCTGAGGGTAGACTTGACGTTGCCCCAGGGGTCTGAAGAATGCTAACCTCTGCGCGTACAGAAGCAGCTGCCTCCACAGGCGTTGCAAGCGAGGGTTCAGGCTGCGATTGGACCAACAATGGACTTCCAGCATCGCCCGAGACTCTTCTATCACCTTCGTGAATCTCAATTGCAGTCCCGGCCAAGTTGTCTGCCCTTCTCCGCCGCGCTTCCAGGCGCTGAACTCTCTGTTCGAACGACAGACCCCTCTGTACATCATCTTCCCACGCCCGGCGGTCTTCCGACATCGGCGACCGGAGCGTAACATCGACGCTGCCCTCGGAGCTGTCGTCGCTGTGGTCCCCGTCGGCGGGAGAATGAGCAGGCGCGCTCGCAGAAGAGATGGCCTGTTCGGCTTGTTCCTCGCTGTCACTTTCGCTCGCCTCGCTCAGGAAAGCAGGCGGAGGGCTGTCAGGAACCCTCCTGCGATAATCTGCCCAGGTCCTCTCGTCATCTGAGGTCCAAAATTCGCCGGCTTCTGTGGGCGGGGCTCTCGGGGGGCTTGGCGGCCGTGTACTTCCTTCTGGAAACGGCGGTGGCGCAGGTTCTGCTTCGATGGGGGGCGGCGCAGCAGGATTCGAGCGAATTGAGGGCGTTACCGACCGTTGTCTCCCTCCTGAGGGATTCATACGGGGGACATTGACATTGGTGTTCTCGACGGCACGAGGGGCTGATGATGCAGATGCCGGACGAGAGGGTGGGTCAAGAGCCAAGGCTGCTCCCCCCGATGAGCTCGCTTCCAATGACTCCCCAGTGGCAATCGCAAGGACACCAGTCGAGCTTCTCGAATGCGTTGTCCGAGGCTGGTCGCGATCGTGTGCTCTCGTCCGAGATTGACGTGCAGAGGGAGCCGAAGTCTGTACCTGCGCTGCCACATCTTGCGAGATTGCTTCAGGTGCTCGAGGCGCCGATGTTGCCCTCTCTCTGGTGCTTCTGTTCGGTGACCTTCCGTTTCGAGCTCTCCTTGCTTCCCCGCCGCTGCTACTACTTCCATGATCCTGAGGCGTGACTGGGCGCGATCGTGGAGCTCGGCCTGGCGCTGAGGCTGGGACTGTCAGGATTGGCAAGGGGCGATGGCCATGGCTCGCGCTGCCTGAGAGAGCAACCATTGCCTCCCTAGCCCTTTCTTGCTTCTTCACAATCTTGCGAGCTCTGCGCTCCTTTTCCTTCTCCTGTGCCCGTCGTCGCATCATGTTGTCGGGCGCCGTCAATGTCATCCTACCCAAGTGAGCTTCCGCAGAGGCGAGGTGCGGGGCAAGTGGCTCGAGGGAGGTCGTAGCAGGGCCTGGAGAGACAGCAGGTACGGAGGCATTGGCGTTGAGTGATTGAGTAGAAGTCGTCACCCCAGGCAAGCCATAGAGTGCCAATCTGGACGAGGAAACGGTTTGCAAAGGGGGCGCAAGGGTGGGATTGTGTATCGGTAGTGTGACAAGGTGGGCATGAGAGGAGCCCGAGGGATTGGGGCTGGAGCGCCCATGGGTACGGCCGGAAGCATTTGTGGGCAAGGGCGGTGACGATGCTACAGGAGCCATCGATCGCAGGCAGGTCAGGACGAGCGTAAGGCCAGCATCGGGCGAGGTGAGGTGTATGTATGTGTTAAGGAGTCAAGTCTGGAATGGCTTCAAGGCCCATCCGTTCGCTCCACTTCCGCGTCTCGCGGGGCGAGGCCAGACCACGACGCCTGGCCCCATCGCACGTCCTTTCCGCTGCTACTGCTGCGACGTCAATCACAATACTTGAGAAATCAGACATGTGCTTCCAGGCCAACCACATATGTACTAAGCGCCTAATATCCCGATCATTGCTGACATTCCCATCAGATTCCCATAGGTACAGGCCAAAGCGACGCAAAAGCAGCCGAGCATTCGGAAGGTACAGAGCTCATTGCATATCAGTCTTCAATCGCAGTCACCATGATTTTATGTACTCTCTAGTGCAGTCGCCGTGGCAGCATCAGTAGTCACTGCTGTAGTCGGAACTGTAGTCCTGATCATAGTCGGAACCGTAGTCCTGCTCAAAGTCGGAACCGTAGTCCTGATTCAAACTGGACCCATCGTCATAAGGAGCGCTGGCTACGAACTCCACGTGATCCGCCTGATACGAAGCGCTCCCTTCAGCCTCTTCGCATTGTACTGACTCCCCGTCAGAGGCAGCGCTGTCGTGTTCGGACTGCTGCCCATCGCTCTGGCAATCGTCCGCGCCAGAGTCTGTTCCCTCAGCGTCAGAGTCTTCATGGTCATCCTCTTGATAGACACTCTGCGAGGCTTGATCCAGCGTTTTCCAGCGTTGTTTATATGCTCGCTGTCCGGGAGGCCAAGCTCGTTGCTCAGCAGCACCGCCGTCTGGCTCCGTGCTCTTGCATGGACCGGTCCTCATACCATCGCACGTTGGACCTTGGCTGAGATGGAGGATCGACGATGAGTCAGCACCTTTGCTAAGGGGTCCGCCTCGTGACAGGCGAGAGTGTCTCTCACCTCGACTGTCTGTACAAGAGCTGAGCCTCTTCGAGCCGACGTGCGTGCTCCGCTCTTGCTTCTTGCAGAGCCTGTCTCCATTCGCGGGGATTGTGATCGGGTTCATCCCAAGGACAAGACATTGCGGTACGATGATCCGTCAGCCTTCAGGCTCCTGTTGCGAAGCGTTGTGATTAGCGGCGAGGAATGCTTCGAGGGGTCGACGTTGCCTCGAAGGGAGTCTTTGGCGCCTTCCCTCTCTGCTGCACTGGGAGAAAGCCAATACGGGCGCGGGCTTGGTCGCGCAACGGCACTAAATCGATTGCGCCAGACCCGCAGGCGCTGGCACGCAAGTCCCCACGGCTCATGCCAGAGCTACCCGCTCTCGAAGGAGCGAAGAGCAGAGCTACCAGTGGAGAATGGCGTCGGTGTTTTATTGGTCGTATCGGTGCGACCACACAGAGCTGGCAGATATGTCACGTCCAGTCATGATGGCTTTAGTAGCTACTGTCTTATAGACCGGCAGCGTAGAAGGTCTAGCCAAGCACTCGACAATTGCCGATCAGTGTCAAAAGCGATCGTCGCAAAGGTTGAAGCAGAGGCCCATCAATTGACCTCAGGGAACACCGATTCTCATCGTACCACACGTCATACAAAGCTATCAACAGGTATTTGCTAGCGCGACGCTCGTCGTCGTAATCATCACCAGCCACTCCTTCCTCGCACTGCTCACTAGCAATCTACCGGCTCTCCGTGATAGAAACTACTGACTCCCTGTCCATCGCCCGACAGGATTCCTGCCGACTTTGCCCTTCGCGTTGTTAACGCTTGATCTCTTGACTGCTCTTTGCTCGTGGTCTCAAGTCTGAGGTTGCCGATAGTGGTAGCGTCAAGCCTTATCGTGGCGCCTTCGTTGATGTGCTCTTGCCGGCGCCCGTCACTTTGGTACCGTTTGAGGGAGCTTTGCCTTGCCCACTACCAGTGCTTTTTGCATCGCTGACGCCAGTAAGCGGTCCTACAGTCAGCAGTCCTGTTCAAATTCTGCCTTGTGGGTAGTATCGATTCCCACTCGCCTTGAGTTTTGCTGCGCGACTTTGTCCCCTTCGACTTGCTTGTCGTACGCCGCTCTCGCCTCTCGCATACCCTGCCTCCATTCGCTGGGCTTATAGTCGGAATCCCACCATGGACAAGACATTGCGTAAGGGGTAGTAATTGATAGTCGAGCCTGACACTTAACAGAAGATGGAGAAGACGATAGATGAGAATGATCTCAGTGTCTCCGCTGCCCTTATTGATAAGTCGGCCTGAGATCTCTGCGGTTCCGATCAGTCAACGGTGATCATGATCTGCCGGCCGTCCCTTTGGCAGTGAATCGGTACGGGACGGAAAAACACGTCGATTGCCGTGCGCGGATGACCAACAATCCATCATTGGAGTCCCGTATCACAGGGGCACGAGGGTGAGGGAGGGCTGCCGTGGTCCTTT